CTCTAACAAGACACAACGAATCTAAAAAAGGGCCAGACCTACCACACTAAAAAAGTCACAGTCAAACGATCACAAACAAAATAAAGATAGAAATAAATACATTTTGACGGGTATAAGACCTACAGGAAATACCGCAATAAAAAAAAAGCTTGAAACTCTTCCTCTAAAAAGTTAGAAAAAGACTTCTTATGGGTGTACGAGCGCGGCCATGTTCACCCGAGGATTGGTCGGCTCTCGTTAATCGCACCGAGCTCTACTTTTTTTTAAATTGTAGAATAAAAAAAGAGGTACAAAATGTTATTCAAAATAATTTGTCATAAAAAATACCGTTTACGAAATATTTACAAAAAGTAAAAAAACAAAAGATAAAATCAATTTTAGCATTTTAACCAACTATATTTTTTTACTCATTTGTTTAAACAAAAAATTCTTTAGATATTATTGTGCAATATACAGGAACCGAGATATTCACTAAAAACTAAAAAAAATATATTTTTGCGTATATCTATAAAAAGTGCAAATAGTCTGTAGTGTGGCAACTAGTGTGTGTAGACCACCATTTGGAAGCTTTTCACGAGACAAACAAAAGAGGATAACCAAGGGAGGAAAGGCCAATTTGCAATTCTCGATAAGTAACCTTAAACATCTGCATGACCTAATATTATTTGCCACCATGACAGGTACCTTGAAAAAGACTAAATGAGGCACTTTTCGCTTAAACATGAGAAAAACTAACCAAAAAAATAACAAAAAAATAAAATAAACACAGTGCACCAGTAACATTAAGACAATAGTAACAAAACAACAACAAATAAAACAAAACAAAACCGCCCCAACTCTTAACTGGGACACAGGAAAGCTGACTAGGGCAATAAATCTATCAATAACAAACGATAAAGACTAAACCCATAAATTAAAGAAAACGGCCCAAAAAAAAATTTTAAACGAAATGATAACAAATAAACACTTCAAATCCAAACGAACATTAAATTAAGAAAACATAAACACAGAATATAAACACACAAACCGAATTCTTATGGAATTGGTAATTACATTAGTATACAGTGGAAGTCAAAAATACTAGAGATGGGAATCGGAAAGTTTCCATTTTAAGGAAACTTTTTCCGTTTTGGAAAGTTTCCAATTGGGAATTTATTTTCATTTTGAAAGTTTCATTTAAGCTACCGGAAACATTCCTTGGAAACTTTCCTTGTTTTTTACATTTAAATGTCAATTGTTTAACCGCTGATTTTCGTTAAGAATAAGAATTTAATGTGTGTTAATTTAAAGCAGAAGAAGTATAAATAATGTAAGTTTTGTTACATAACCTGAATGAAGCCGGATTATTCAGCATCAGGGCTGGATGCTCCCGCGGACGAGTTTTGGTTCGCGCCGCCCATGACGTCACCCGATGAGTAGTTGCAGCGCGAATACACGTATAATAGCTATATTATCAAAGAAAGTAGACAAATATCTGGACATAGTGCGTTATTTTTAAACTTGATATTGAAAAGTGTTATAATATGGATGATAGATGATTTGGAAAAATATTTGATACTATTTAAATCTATTTTTTGTTGTAAATTTGATATTAAAAGTATTTTATTAATATGGATGCTAGTAATATTATCAAAACATAAAGAAATATCTAAACATATAGTGCGTTTTTTTGTGAATTTGATATTAAAGATAGTTTATTAATATGGATGCTAGATGCGTTGGAAAAATATTTGATAATATTTAAATCTATTTAAAAAAAAAATTAATGAAAAGAAAACAATAGTTTTAAGTAAATCTATTTTTTATTACTTTTTATAGGTATTAATTATTAAAAGAAAAAGAAAAATTAATTAAAAATGTTTATTACCATATTACCATAGTGTAATAATATAGATGCTATGTTTTGAAAACATATTTAAATCTATTAACATGTATTTTTTTATTACTAAAAGAAAATACCTACATATAATTTTAACCAAAAATATTTATTAAAATTTGAATTACCTACGAAAATAGTCCACGATAACGTTTATAAACGTTATCGTGGCCCTATAGGGCTGTAGTTTAAGAGTTTATGTTTTAAATTAAAGTTGTAGTCACTGTACAGAAAATGTTTAGAGCAAACAGTAGCGCGCTTAACGTTAATTTTGTCTCTTCTTTTCGTGGCATGTAACCACTTTTTGCACAAACTTATGTTTTTCGGAAATCGATGGAATTTAATGTCTTTATTTGTAGGGTTTTTCTTGGACTGGTTGTCCGAAATGCATCCAAATATGGCACACCGCATTTTATTAAATGCAAATGGCACAACACAAACTAATACACAAACAAAACAACGAAACACAAAAACAATAATTTTAGCACAAACAGAACAGGTTAACACAAAGCAATAACAATAATTTAAACACTGAAAAGTAATTCTAACCTTACAGAACGCAAAAACAACAAGTCAAACAAAAAAACAGAGCAATTTAACATCTAACAGCTTCGCAAAAACCAGAATTTTGGCGGCAGATAATTAAAACAAACGTTAGAGATTTAAAAATTTAAATCATCAAGTGACGTCATGTGACGTATTTTAGCTCCGCCCACCATGCGCACCATCCTATCTTAAGGTGTATGTATCTTGATTCAGCATCATCACAAAAAACTTTTTTAAAAAAAGGTAAACAAAATAAAAACAATAAACAAAGTTAAAATCATTCTTACATTTTTGTTGTTTATTTATAGGCATAGCACAATGCCAAGAAAAAAATCTAGTGTTTGGAATTATTTTTTACTTTACTTTTTACTTTGCAATATTCCTATACAGTGCTTGCAAATGCAAGTCCGACCGCACTGGAAAGGACGGCTGTTCAATACCCGCGTGAAAAGAACAAGGATAGAACGCCAAATAGAATTTGATTGGCCAGAGCCCCGGATGCGTGCGAATTGTAAGCGAGGTCAACTCTGGGCCAGAGTCTCTGGCTGCATTTAGACTAAATGATTTAGTGTTAAGCAAACTGCGTTGGAGTGGAGATGCACATTTTAATTTTCTTTTTAAATATTTTATACCCGAATCCTAAAAATAAAATGTTTTGATTTTTTTCCTTGAGAACTAGGGCAACAAAAAAAATAGTATTCTTAATAAAAAAGATTTCTCAAATAAAAATAACTAAAAATAAAAATATGTCCCAAATACACTGTAATTTATTTGATTTGAAATATTTATTATTTCGCCTTATTTTGACTTAATATCAAAAAAGCACCCTAATTTTCAATCAATCGTAATCAGAATGAAGTATCTAAATTCAATAGTATGATTTACATGTATTTTTATATTTTATGAGATTTTCTGACATAAATGTTATTAGAATTTAATAAATAAACTTTTTAACTAAAAAAATTGCAACAATCACATTTTTTTGATGAAATTGTACATAATGATTAAAATAAATTTTCGAATTCGAGTTTTTTTCGTTATTCATTATAATATTTTTTGCATTTTCTGAGAACATTTACCATAGTAATGTATATTTTTTTACACCATCAGAAAGTAGAGATTTCAACAAACAAAAAGCACACCGACTTTTTGAAAAAAGCTGATATTTTGACGCGAGAATTTTCGATTGAAAATTAGGGTGCTTTTTTGATATTAAGTCAAAATAAGGCGAAATAATAAATATTTCAAATCAAATAAATTACAGTGTATTTGGGACATAAAAAGGTAAGTTTTCACCAAATTTCGTGGAAAAAAATTTTTTTTTGAAAAAGATAAAAATAAAAAACCAAAAACTTGGTTTTTTGAATTTTTCCCATAAATTTGGAGGTTATGTAAAAAAATTGTAATTACAAAAGTTGTAGATCCTTTTATTACCTACAACTTTGCCATTTAACTTTTTTCCATAGGACTTGTAGTTTTACCGGAAATCGAGATAAACCATTTTTTACCCTTAAAACCCCCCCTCCCACTTCCCAAAGTCAGATCGCCCGTAATTTATTTTTCCTTTTATTTTTATTATATTCTTCTCCTTTTCCAATGGGTTTCATCCTACTTTTATTTTTTTTGGTTTCAAAAATTATCGACCCTGGTCTAATAAAACTCTAAAAATAAATAAACTGAAAAATTAAATTAAATGTTCGAACAAGCAATTATTAACGGTTCGTCGAATTGTTTCTCTGTTTGGTCTGGCCTCGAACATTCCCGCAAATAATCTTTGAATTTCTCGTTCAGAATTACCAGCAAAATGCCAGATTAAAATCTGAACTTTTTGTTCCAACGTGTACCTACATTTTTTAATTAAATAATCTTTTTTACTAAAATTACTACCTCTTGGCAAGAGGCTCTTGCTGGCACCACTGCAGTTCTCGTTCTGATATCCTCGACGAGGATTCCTCGTGTCAAGCACGCTGCGAGGTGCGCGATGGGCATGCGTTGTCGTAGCCTGCCGGCTGCCAATCAAATTCTATTTGGCGTTCTATCCTTGTTCTTTTCACGCGGGTATTGAACAGCGGTCCTTTCCAGTGTGGTCGGACTTGGATTTGCAAGCACTGTATATTAGTTACTTTGTCCCTTTTAATTTTTTTACGTAATATCTAGGATTTACTAGCAGTGAATTTCTAATAGTAAAACTTTTATTTTTATTTTGTAGGTTTCAGTATACAATGGTTAATGTGTTATATATTTTTGCAAATCCCTGGCATAAAAAAAATATTTTCGCAATAAAAATTTTTTTTTTGAAACTTTCGGAAAATTTCGGGAATTTTCGATGGAAAGTTTCCGGGAATTTTCGTCAAATGGGAATTTTCCCATCTCTAAAAAATACGTCCGACCGGTAACTGTCAAATCGTATCGCACACCAACTGTTTAATACAAAGATAGGATTGCAACGCGTCAAGACGTTGACCACGACCAGTAAACTAGGGCCCTGCAGCGACCTAACAACTCTCCAACTCCAAACGGTTTGACTGGACTAAAGGTCCAAATAAAGAAAATGTTGAAAAAAGAATTTAATTTTTACCTTTAGCTTCGACCTTGGCTATATCCGCCTTGACCTTGACCTGTATCTGTATGAGCGTCGTCTGCAAGAGGGGCGGCGGTACCGCCTCCGGGCTGTTGTACACCAAAATCAGCGCTCGCAAATCGCCCGCCAAGCGGCGGGCCGTCTTCGTCAGATCCAGCGATGCCGTCTGCTCGCTCAGCGACACCACAGTGTTGTCGATCATCGTCAGCGTCTGTTCCGAGAGGACATGGGCAGAAACCTACATCAAAAAAGATACTATTTAGTAATTCAACATTTAAACAAAAAAGCAAAGTTGCGCATTTAATAAATGGGATAGAACGATATCACTTTTTTTTTGCCGATACGATATATCGGCCGATACCGATATATCGTATCGGCAAACAACGCCATCTATTTATACACGACCGAAGCAAAAACCCGTTTTATAATTCCGTTGCGAGGAAACGTTTGTGTTTGATAGTGAGTGACATTTCGGATTTCGGAGTGCTTTAAAACACGGAGTTTTAAACTTGACTGTTAATTAGAGATAAAATAAATAATAAATAAAAATATTCTATTGAATGGAAGCGGAAACGTTTGCAGATTATTTTGGACAGGGTAGTAGTAAAGAGGAAAATAAAAAAGTAACGCCAAAGGTAAAAGGAGTATCTTTTAGAGACATTTTGAGAAGTTGCAGACTGTAAACGAAAAAGCGACGTGTAATATCTGTAAATGAAATAATATTATATTTGGCATCTATAACTCTATTAAAAGATAAATCTCCTTTTAAGTGGAGGAATGCAGAAAAAAATTCCCAGTTTGTATAACGCAGCTTCAGTCTACCTTTCAGCAGTGTGTCAAGTAAACAACTTTTTAGTGAATTAGGATTAAAACGGAATGGGGGTTGCCAAAATGCAAAAAATACGTGTGGAGGGATGTAAAAGTGCATAAGCAATCGGCGCAGGGTAAAAAAGTTGTATAATTATCACGTAATTAATAAAAGGGGCCGATAATTGAAGTGACTTACAGTGATTTTCTGTGAAAAAGAGCTTGTAGCGAGTCAAAAACACGTATCTAATAGACGTAGAATTTGAAAGTGAAGTGAAAAAGCTTGAATTATGAAAAACAACGTCATAAATTGCGGAAAATGCAATTTAGGTAATTTGAGGTTATGCAGGTTCACAATCCAGCCTGCCCATAGATATATTATACCTCTATTGCTCAATGGGGCGGGGTCGGTTGGGTTGGCTTGTTAAGTTTGGGTTGGTTTCGCTCACCTTTGCCCATTTTAGTGTACCTGCATAACCAAGATGACAGCTAATCGTCATAACCTCAAATTACCTGATTTTAAAAATTGCATGTTCCTCAATTCATGACGTTGTTTTTCATAATTCACGCTTTTTCACTTCCACTTTCAAATTCTACGTCTATTAGATACGTGTTTTTGGCTCGCTGCATGTTCTTTTTCACAGAAAATCACGGTAAGTCACTTCAATTATCAGTCCCTTTTTTTATTAAATACGCGATAATTATATAACTTTTTCATCCTGCGCCGATTGTTTATGCACTTTTACATCCCTCCACACCTATTTTTGGCATTTTGGCAACTTTCCCTGCCGTTTTTCGGAAAAGTCGCTAAAGTGAAAATTTACCGAATTAGGTAATATTTACGAGCCTAAAAGAAATACACTAAATGCAGATAGGGCTTTACTTATGCAGTGAAGAGTGAAAAGCGCAATTATCTTGCCGATACGATACGATATCGGTATCGTTTTATCCCTAGCATTTATTTAACATACCTTTGGGAAAAATGCGCATAAAAATTCATAGATTATGTCTGTTGTAAGAGCGGAACGTTCGTCCAATAGAACTGCATCTATGTAGTCCACAAAATAGTTGCTAGATGTCAGCATTGATATGTATTTTCTATCAATGTGCTAAAAAAAACAAAATATAATTAAAAACAATAATTGTAAAAAACTTCATAATTACAATTTAAAATAATTATATGAAAAATTACCTGTGCTTTTAGAATGTCCAGCCACAATTTGGGAAAATAAGGGGAATGTAAAGGAACAGCTTCGAAACCAACCACAGCACTTAAATTAACTAAAACCTCGGAAACTGTATCGTTATTTACAGCTAACCTAAACAACATGTCTATAAAGTCATGATACGGCGTGTAAAATTTGTCTAACGCTTCATCATATTCCTGGTCTACACCCTAAAAAGGAAATTTATTACAAATATTAGTTTACAGTTCATCACTCTCCCGCTAAGGGATTACAGAGTAAGCAGAAGGAGCATGGTAGGATTCTTACCCTGCTACATTCGAGTTGATTGTGCGGAACAGTCATTTGGACCATGGGCCTAAGGGGCCGAGCGCCCCCTTTTCCCGCCACCACTGGTAAAGAGTGCCCCCTACGGGGAAAGTACGGACCTAACGGTACGGCGTCGTGGCTTTCTTGGAAAGCCGCGTGACAATGGCACAGCAGAGGCACCAAAGTCTGCATCGCTTCTGGAGCCATTATTAGTACGAATTCTTTTAGTATGTCTGAAAATAAAATAAAATGTTTTGATCAAAATAAGCAAGTTTTCATTATAAATTTGTAAATGCAAAATATCCACAATTTATGAGCAAAAGTACAAATTTATAAAGGCCCTTCTGCAAAAATAAAGTATAATATACATTAGGGTGGCCCAAAAAAAAAATATATTTTTTTTCTCTCGTCTCTTGTGAAAATATGTTGGTTTGTAATGTTTTAAGAGCCCTGTCAAAAGATCAGCTCCATTAAAAAAATTTTAGGGGTCGCTCAAGATTTTTAAAAATTTCCAAATTCGTCAAAAATTGGATTTTTTTTTATTTTAATTTTTTTTCTCGTTCCGATATTATTTTTTAATTTAAAAATAATAATGATTCTAAAAATTTCAAATCGATATTTTGATTTCTAAAGGTCGCTCAAGATTTTTTTAAATTTCAAAGTAGAGTATTTTGAATGTTTTTGAGCGACCTCTGAATATAAATATCAACGAACTTTTAGCGACCTTTACAAATCAAAATATTGATTTGAAATTTATTATATATTGAGACGAGAAAAAAAATTAAAATAAAACAAAAATTCAATTTTTGACGATTTTGAAAATTTTAAAAAATCTTGAGCGACCCCTAAAATTTTTTTAATCGAGCTGATATTTTGACAGGGCTCTTACAGCATGATAAACTAACATATTTTTATAAGAGAGAAGTAAAAAAAAAATATTCTTTTTTTTTGGGCCACCCTAATATACATATTATGTTGGTAATCACATTTTCTTTAGAAGATGTAAGAGTGTAGTAAAGTTAGACCAAATCATATGGGTATTATTGCAACTGAATGGATTCTAGCAAAAACATTTGTCAAAAAAAAAGTTTAAAGGGGAGCGTTAATAGTTACGTGTCAAGCTTTGTAAATGAATCTTTACGGGAGAGCTGGAAGTTTGTGACGCAGGACCTTTAGATAACGATTTTCAAATTTAAAATTTTAATTAATATGTCAAATGTGTAATTTTATATCATAAATTGCTTTTCTACAATTGTAGGCTTAAGCCTGTAAAACTTTACAGGTCTTTTATACAAGCCCGTAAAATATTACAGGTCTGCTCCCATAATGTAATGTTTACTTGGATACAAAAACAACAAAATTATTATAAAATGTCATTTACTAAGAATGTGAAAATAAAATTGATTTTCTTGAAACAGCTTACGTAACGAATTTGGGGGGAGGGAGAGGGCCTTATAAAACGTTACGATGCGTTACAGGGGCGGGAGGTGGGGGTTTGAACTAAGCTTTACGTAACATTGTTTCCGGTTCTTTACTCCACATAATTGTGATTTTTAGGTAAAAATGGTCACTTGTTGGTTACGTAACGTTTTACTAGGGGAAGGGGGGTACAGAAAAACGCTACGGCGAGTTACATGGGGGGAGGGTGGTCAAAAATCTCCAAAAATTGCGTTACGTTATACTTGAACGCTCTAATTATTATTATGCCTAGACATAATTTTAAATAATTATTATTATGCCTAGACAATAATAATTCGATATTTTTACTCCCAGTTTCCATTAAATTTTAATAAAATTTATGCTTATCATAATTTTATTTAATTATTATTATGTCAGACATAATTAAAATTATAAAAAATTATAAATTCCATAATTTTAAAAAACCTCAATTTCCTCAATTTTCTTTTACATTTAAAATATTTACGATTAAAATGTTTTTTCAAATGGACTCGCATTTTCACGAAAGTTTTGTTGTGTTTAATATTTGACCCCTGAATTGTCCCCTTTATAAATATATTTTAACAATTTTTAGGGTTTGTCAATGTTTTTTTATAACACAATATTTTTTTAACATTATACAATAGGGTGGTCCTTAATAAGGTTATTTTCAAATTTCTTTGCTCCCAGGGGCTCAAATACTTCCAAATTGATAAAAAAAAATTCCCTGAAAATTTGAGCTCCTAATATTAACTCTAAGATAGTGCGCATTCCAATCTAAGTTTCCTATGGAAATAACATAGGAAAAATTACTTTTGTTGTTTATAAATTTATAACTTGGGAACGAATAAATTAAAAAATATAAATCATACATATTTTTATAGAGAATTTAACGCTCTACAAAAAAGGTCTCTTATAATTTTTCCATTAGTCTATTGGTTTAAAAGTTATTCAACGCCAAAGTTTAATTTTCATATTATTATTAATATTATCAAGGCTTTTTATGAGGCGCCGTTTGTGTCAAAATTAAAAGTGCTAAATAAACTTATTTTGTTTTATAAATAATTAATTATATGCTTTACCAAATAATTTTTTTATAAAATAATTAAAAAAAAAAAAAATTTTTCTAACAAATTTTATAAAATTATTTTTTTATAAAATAATTCTTTTTTATAAAATTATTTTTTTTTATTTTTAGTTTTGTTTTAAGAGAATTGATTTATTTATTTTAATTTGTTTTCAAGAGAATTATTTTATTTATTTATTTTAGTTTTTAACAAGTGCTTTTTAATAAAAAACGTTTAAACATAAAGAATTCTTTTTAAAAACTAAAAATCAAAATGAATGTAGATAAAAAAATTAATTAATTAATTAATAAAAATAATAAATTATTATTTTCAATCGTTTCCCCAAATTGCGTCAAACAAAAGCCCAGTCCGTCATAAAATTGTATCTGGGGAGGGGCGTTCGGGTTCATTTGGGTTTACTCGAGTGTCTACAAACAAATAGAGATGGCTGCAGTAAAAATTAATTTATAAATGCGCCCGTCGTCTTTTATTAAATAATTTTTTATTCGAATTGAAAATTATTTTATAAAAAAATAATTTTATAAAAAAGAATTATTTTATAAAAAAATTATTTTTAAAAAAAATAATTTTATAAAAAAATAATTTTATAAAAAAAATATTTTATAAAATACAAAAAAAAATTATAAAAAAATATTTTATAAAAAATTATTTTATAAAATTTTTTACAAAAAAAAATTATAAAAAAATAATTTTATAAAAAAGTTATTTGGTAAAGCATATAATTAATTATTTATGAAACAAAATAAGTTTATTTAGCACTTTTAATTTTGACACAAACGGCGCCTCATAAAATAATATTAATAATAATATGAAAATTAAACTTTGACGTTGAATAACTTTTAAACAAATAGACTAATGGAAAAATTATAAGAAACCTTTTTTGTAGAGCGTTAAATTCTCTATAAAAATTTGTATGATTTATAATTTTTAATTTATTCGTTCCCAAGTTATAAAATTATAAACAACAAAAGTAATTTTTCCTATGTTATTTCCATAGGAAACTTAGATTGGAATGCGCACTATCTTAGAGTTAATATTAAGAGCTCAAATTTTCAGGGAATTTTTTTTTATTAATTTGGAAGCATTTGAGCCCCTGGGAGCAAAGAAATTTGAAAATAACCTTATTAAGGACCACCCTATTATACAATTTATTCATTTATTGTTTAGCAAACAATATGATATATTTAAATAAATTTATTAATTTGTATGCAATTATGTAATTTAAAACTAAAAAAAAAAGTGCACTTTATTTAAAAATATGTGTGTAAAAAGGGCTAAATTTATACAAGTAAAAACATATTTTAATTAAAAAGATAAATGTGTGGTGCTTACCTATACAAAGTGCTCTCATTTCTGGCGGGTTGTAGGTATTGAGCAGGGTTGCCAGCTTTCTAAGCACCTCTGGAAAGTCTTTGGTAGCCATCAACAATCCGCGCGCATCTTTGCTGTCCCTGTACGACCGTACGCACCTGACCAAGTCTTGTACGATGGTTAGGATGTCGAGCAGATCGCCGCAAACGTGGCAGGCGGTCGCTTCGTGGAGCATCACGTGTAAATTTTGAAAACACTACAAAGAAAATTTAGTTTTGTTGGGTCTTAATCGTTTAAGATTGTTTTACCTCGAATACGATTTGTAGGCCGCCATTATAAACTACGTAGAGTTTATCGTCGTTGGACTCTAATAGGATTCGGAAAGCGGAAATCAGGGTTCCCCAGCTGGTTCTGCCGTCCAAACACTAAAAAATATAAATGTAAGAGTGTTGATATTAAAATTGTTAATGGCACAATATTTGTGTATTTTCAATTTTTTTTTATGATACGATTCCATATAAATAAAAAATCCTGCCTAGTTTCAGCTCTTAATATTAATATTTAACTTCAATGGGAAAACATGTATTTTATAAAAAGAAACTTTAAATTAAATTGTAAAAATGTATAGTTATTACTTAACTCCTGATTTTTTTTTTTAATTTTTAGCTATTTAGCCCAGTAAAATTATTGCTTTACTGTCAAGTGGTTAATAATGCGCCGATTGTATTCGCAATTGTTAATAATTAATGACATTTATTTATTCCGCTGTGAACAATCTTATTAATTCCCCTGTATATATTTTCATTTCCTCCAGCTAAAGCTTAATTTTCATGTATCCGTTTGTCCGTCAGTCCGTTCATCCGGGAGCGCTCTTATTGGTCCAATTATAATTCGAAAATTATGACATTTTATCGGTCGGTTTCAACTTCGTACGTCTGACAGAGAAAGGTTAATAGTTATTTACGATATAAGTGGGATAAGAGCTTTATTAACGTACGCATGCGAAATTTGCCCAACGAGTGCGTAGCACGAGTTGGGCAATCGCAAAAGTAAGTTAATAAAGCGTTATCACACGTATATTGTACAAATTTTTATCTACGCCTCTAAATGAAAAAATAAACGGTAATTATTTTTGTCTAAGACTTAATTTAGGGTTATTTTGACATTTTGACTTTTTTATTTGATTGGTTAAAAACAGATAAAAACGCGTGCGTTAATGAACTTCTTATCTCACTCAAAATGAGTGGGATAAGAAGTTCTTATCTCACTGGCGTAGATAAATAATTTTAACTCATCCGTCACTACACATCTGTTTTTGACGCCTAACGTTATTTTAATATAATTTATTTTCAAATATTTTTAATAAGATTGTAAAACGGAAATATTACGTTCGTTATGTGAATAATGTTTTACTGTTAAGTTTTTATTTAATAAGAATAACAGAAAAAAAGAAAGGACAAACAAAAAAAAATTAAAACTAGAACTAAAAGGACCTGCTTTTTTAAAACTGTACATTTTAATGTATATTAGGGCTAGTATATTCTTTTTATAAGGTATATTTACCTACCTTTAAATTTATTAGACAGCTAACTGTTAAAGTTACAATTGTTGACATAATTGTAACTATGACAATTAAGCATTAGGTAAATTTAGTAAGTGAAGCTTAACGCTTAATTTTCATGTATCCGTTTGTCCGTTATTCAATAAAATCGTCCGATTAGAAATGTTCTAATTTTCATGCATCCGCTTTTTAATGACGTTTAACGGATTGGTTTGACGACAAATATAAATTAAGTGCCAGTATATTCATTTTACTTAATTTACCTAATGCCTTATTGTCATAGTTACAATTATGTCAACAATTGTAACTTTAACAATTAGCTGTCTAATAAATTTAAAGGTAGGTAAATATACCATATAAAAAGAATATACTAGCCTTAATGTACATTAACATGTATAGTTTAAAAAAAACAGGTGCTTTTAGTTCTAGTTTGAATTTTTTTTTTTCTCTTTTTTTTTCGTTATTCTTATTAAATAAAAACATAACCGTAGAACATTATTCACATAACGAACGTAATATTTCCGTTCTAGAATCTTATTGAAAAAATATAAAAAGATTTGAAAATAAATTATCTTAAAATAACGTCAAAAACAGATGTGTAGTGACGGATGAGTTAAAATTATTTAACCTTTCTCTGTCAGACGTTCGAAGTTGAAATTGACGGACCGATAAAATGTCATAATTTTCCAATTATAATTGGACCAATAAAGCTTAATTTTCAGGTATCCGTTTGTCCGTTAGTCCGTTCATCCAAGAGTGCTCTTATTGGAAATAAAGTTTTGAAAAGTCAAAAGTTTATTTTAGAGAAAAATTTGTTAAACGTTTGTTTTTAATTTAAATAAACTTTCTCACATTGTGGCACTTCTTTCTCTTGTTCATTCATCTCGTTTAAGTTTCACTAGTGAAATAGTCACGTGATCAAATTTTGTAACGCTCATAGGCTCAATGAGGTAGTTAAATTTTTTCTGACCTATACTTTTTATGGTTTTATTCAAGGCGTTTTGTAATATTAAACATTTCTGTGAAATCAGAATTTCAATTGAGTTTACCGTTTTCGAGATATTTACAAAAAATTAAATTAAAAATTTTTATGACGTCACAAACCTCGGCATGTGACCAACATTCTAAGATTTCTATTGGTTGAAAATTACCCTGTTGTCAAGTTGTCTTGTTAATGATTTCATTCGGTTATGTCAGAAAATACCCGAAGAGGTTATGTACAAATACTGTCACTGTCAGTTGAGTGAAAGATGGTCACCAAATTCATTAAGTACCTATCTTCCTTATTACGAGGTATCATATACTGTTTGATATTTTAGAGTCCAAGATATATCTAAAAGAATATAAAGAACTAGGCATTATACTATTGAAATGCATTTACGACAAAATATGATTATAATTATAGGTACTTAAGTACTTTATTTGTTTAAAAGCTCCAATGTTCAATGTAACCAACCATTCCACAAGATTCCTCTGCTTTGGAGTCCGTTATTAATAAATCACTTATCTAATATCAATTACAAATAACATAACAATAACATTGATTTTCAATAATCTAAATTTAAAAAAAACATAACCCGAAAAAAAGAAACGTCAAAAAATCAATTCTTCTTCTTCTTCTCAACTAAAATTATAGATCAAGTGGTTTTAAAACTAAAATATTATAACGTGGCGCCATCTATCGTAAGAATCTTAAACTAAACACACTGGCAACCATAGAAAAAGCTGGCAACGTTGTCAATAGCCTAGTGACGTAATTGGAGATTTTTTTTTGTAAATATCTCGAAAACGGTAAACTCAATTGAAATTCCGATTTCACAGAAATGTTTAAAATTACAAAACGCCTTGAATAAAACCATAAAAAGTATAGGTCAGAAAAAATTTAACTACCCCATTGTATAAGCCGAGTTCTGAGATGATATAACCAATAGATTTAATTTTCAAATCTTTTAAGCTATAAAATACCTACCACAAATTATATTATTTGAATCCCTGTTTTTTATGCAATAATTTTTGTAGCGGTTTTTAATCCCTAATGCAAAAAACGGCGGAAAAAGTGTCGATTACGAGATTTTTAAACAAATCAAAGGTTTCCTACTTTAATTTCTTTGGCGACTTAGAACGCAAACCTCATTATCGTGAATAATAGCTTGCATTATCTTTCGTATAATAATATACAATTTTTCAAACCGCTGTGGCAAAAATTTAAGCAGTTGCATATGCTAATAAAAAGTTTCCTTAAAACAATGACCTGTGGAATCGCACATGCTAATATTGACGTCATAAGGAACATGAAGAAAAAAATATAAAATTAATCTTTGAAACCCTAGTTAATTTAATTTTTTATATTAAATATAATGTTGGAGTGTTTTAGAGTGTATTTTTTAAATTTTACATAAAATCCTTACCTGTAAATACGTCATCAACGTCGTCCTCCTAAAATTACAAATTTCCCTTTGTTCAGTCTCCGTAGCTTCAGGGTGCTTCATAACCATCAACTGCATCAATTTAAACAACTCTTCCACAGCCTAAACCAAGAAAATAATAAAACAACATTCCAAAAAGAAAATCTTTCTTTAAAGAACCTCACCTGTGGATACTGAGTGGGGTGAGGAGTAATATTTTTGAACGCCCACTGCAAATTCTGATGCTGAGCCAGATTACGCGTGAACACACGCGACTGCTGGCACATCATCCTCAGTAGGCCGTAGTAAGCTGGCAACATCGCACGGTTATACATCACTATTTCCTGGTCGTCATGATCAGCCCTTGAGAAATAAAAATGAACGAATGTTTTAATTTACTCTGGTATCAAACATTCCATAATAAAACAGCTTGGGAACGCCTTCTTAGAGAATATAATACATGGAGTGCAAATGCACCCTTCTTATGTGTTCTATGCTCTAAAGTTTCTTTCTATTTTTTACTTACAAAATATAGTTGAACGCTATATTCTTAGTAACGTGAGCGTTTTGCAGCATTAATTGTACATTTTCGGGACAATCTGTGCAGACGTGGTTCCAAAAGGCTAACAAGGCCTGTTTATTATGGTACGCTGGTATTGATGGTTCTGATAATTTTGGGTGAAATAGGTGCCAAAGTTGAATAAAGTATTGTCCAAACTAGAATATTAAAAAAAATAGTTTAAGTTAAATTTTAGTTGCGACAATCTGAATCTTGCAAACTGCAGTACTCATGAGTGGAAATTCGCTAAGTGGTCCCTTGATTTTTCAAAATCTCGGAAAAATCATTATTATTTGTTACGTATCTCTAGAGGGTCGAACATTTATTTTTTTGTTATGGTTTTTGCTTGGCTTAAAAAATTAGAAAATTATTTTTCTAAAATTCATCATGCGGAAACTACTCGATTTAATTCCTTCTTGAAAATTAAATAATGGATAAAAAAATTGTTGATAACGAATTATTGTTTTTAAATGTTCTCAATAGGTGACTTTTGTACTCTGGTTTTTAAGGTCATTGATTACGGTTTTGACGATGTATTTCAAAAATTCTTAATAGAAAATCCAAAATGGATGACTTTTTTAAAAAACGTTATAATCGTTTGAAAATTTGACTAGGGTTATAAGGTATTAGTAATATCATAGATTGAAAATGATAAATCAAAATTTGCCGAATTACCATTAAAGAATAATTATCGTTCTTTAATGTTTTTTGGAACACGCCTTCATTTATGTGTTATCGAATTTATTCCATTTGGCTGATACACACTGTATATTATATTACCACACAGTAAAACCACCTCTGTAAATTCACTAGCGCCTAGTTAAAAATGTTACTGTTTACAGCGTAGTAAAACTACAAGCTTCTAGCTAAAATTCACTGTCCAATAGTAAATTAACTGCTTATGTCGTAGTTATACCGCGAGCTTTTGATAAGTTTGCTATGGCGCTAGTAATATTGCTGCATACAGTATGTAAAAAAATGGGACACTGCTTTGTGCGCAGTAATTTTACTATTAGCTTTAACTTTAATAGCCTTTCACAAATTTACTAGCCTGCGTGAAAAATTACAGACAACACAGTAAAATTGCTATCAAGATGGTAAAATTGCAGTTGTGCATGTAAAATCTTACTTATATTTTTCCAGCGTTTTTGGCATTCTTAAAAAACAAAGTTTTAATTTGAACATTTTTCATTACTTTAACTAAAGGGGTAGATAAGTATTTAAAAAATTAATAATGTTAATTGCATCAATCTTCATCAAAAGGAATATTTTTACCCTTGGCTTTAAAACCAAAATTTAAACTATAAAACGCAATTTCATTTTTATTGTAATGGGAATTTTATCCACATTTATTATTAAATTTTCTAGCCTCTGGTAATTTTACGTTCGCGCCTGTAGTTTTACTGCGCACGGCGCAATGACCCATTTTTTGCCATTCGGTGCGTAGTAAATTTTCAGAGGTGGTTTTAATGTGCAAGATAAAAAGTTGAAAAACCGATTAAGAACATTTGCGAGGCAGACTTCCAAAATGCGTTTTGTCCAAATTGCATAATTTTCAGGAAACACATAAGTCTGGTGTAAATTAACTGATATATTTGGAGCAGAATTTAAGATGCCAGTAAATTTGGAAAAAGAAGTCATCTAATATTAACTCAACCCCGAGAAAAAATTTCAGAAATCTAAAAAACATGGATCCTAAATGCTCTATGATTGCGGACAAGACTTAGTTTGTTTGGAAATAACAGACTTTATGCTGTTTTATAGTAAAAAACAACACATTTCAAAAAGCTTAACTTTATAAAAAAACCGTCCCATTAATGTCCTTTGCTGATTTCATTAATTTTATTTAATAAAAAAAAAAAAAATTAAACAGCTTTCCACTGTCCACTCATAATTTACGAACTTTCTTTTCCAATTTCAAAATAAAGCTCCCAGTACTTTTCCAGTGAATTTATTATACTGTGTGATCTGGAAACACTGGCTTAGAAAAGGACAAACCGCGTTTTGATACTCTATGTGTATAGAACAAAATGGATTTTGAATGTCCAGGGCAACTTTCGCAGAAGATTTACATAGGACGTTTAGAATGTACAGGGTTGTTAGAAGATGCCTTAGTATCAAGAAAAGAATGGTATATTTTTTTCAAAAGTTGAATTTTTAGACCGCATTTTGGAAGTTTGCTCCTAATTAAAAACAATTTTTTTTTATAAATAACTTATTTATAGACAAAAGACATTTTTAATCACCGAATATTTAATTTTTCCAAAGGCTTCTACGTAAATTAACAAGTGATTCGATTCGGTAGTTTCCGCATGATTAATTTAAAAAAAATATTTTTAAATTGCAAAAACAATAACAAAAAACATTTTGTGGCCATCTAGAGATGCGTAAGGGCTGTTCATTGAATTTTCGCGAGGTTGTGAAAAGTCAAATGACTACTTTGCTAATTTCCACTCAGCTATAAATGGGTAAATATATTGAGATGTCCCCCAAGTGAAAATAATTATTTTTTATTTTTGGTTATTTCACTGTTAGTCTAGAATGGGGTTTTTGGGAAGCCACCACGTCTAGTAATAACATAACATAAGTGGTTCTGCACTAATGCAAGAATTTTAAGAAATCATACATTTTGAATATTAGAGCTTCACGGAGGTTAGGATTTCGTATGTTTTTTTTAAACATCCCTTTGTATATTTGAAATAAGTTATTGTATCTTTTGACACCTTTATATTTTTAAAAATACAATTGCACATACATAAAATATTTACAAAAAAATCTACTTACTGAGATATTACACTTCACGGTGGATAGGTTTTTAAATAGCAAATTAATGAACTTAAACTTTTGAATTATAAAACACTCTCATCTACATATGAATTCTAACTGACCTTCAGGAATCACATGCATCTATAGAAGCTTGAGAAAATTGGAGTTATAAATAGAGCCTTTAAAATATTAACTAATTACTTCCACAACCGGTTCCAATACACCAACATTGATAATAAAAATAGCAAGATGGAAAAAATTCTGTATGGAGTTCCACAAGGGTCAGTGTTAGGACCTCTACTGTTCCTAATATACGTCAATGACATAACTAAATGTGACCTAAAAGGTGAATCAGTCCTATTTGCGGATGACACCGGACTTTTCTATTCCGGAAGTTAGAAGGAAGTGTTTGGTTGGGCCCAAAATGACCTAAATGTCATAAATGTGTGGACTAAAAAAAACAATATTAAACTCAATGAAACTAAGTGCAACTATCTAGTCATAAAAAATAGAAGAAACTGTAATAACTATTCGCTAAAATTAAATAATCAAATTTTGGATAGAGTGAATAGTGCAAAATATTTAGGTTTAATTATTGATGACAATCTTAGTTTTAGTAAACACATTCAAAGTCTTAAAGATAAAATTGGTAATCTAGGCTACTATCTTAGAAGAAATGCTTATTTAATCAACAACAAAACAAAATATTTAATATACAATGCATACATTAATTCCCACCTAACATATCTTCCAGCCTTTTGGGGGCATGCAGCAAAAAAGTACCTAAAGACTTTGCAAATAACTCAGAACAGACTTCTAAAACTTTTATTTAACAAACCTTATCGAACCAGTACTACAGATCTATATAATGAATTGAATATATTAAACATTAATGAGGAGATAATGTTGGACAGTGTTAAAGTAGTGTACAAAATCAAAAATAACCTGATAAATACAACAATTAACTTAACTAAAAACTGTGACAAACACACATATAATATTAGAACAAACGAAAACTACCACATAGATCCAAACACCACCAAATTTGGAGAAAGGAGAATAACGCAATCTGCCCTGAAGTGGTTCAACATACTCCCTGAGACAACCAAAAACCAAAGAACAATAGAAGCCTTCTCTACATCAGTTAAAAACTACTATATATCTGTAAGATAACACTGTGATAATTAAAAGTACCTGAATGTTAAATTATGTTAAATTATATTAGTCTTATACTGTATTTGTTATATATATATATATATTATTTATGTTTTCTATACATAGAACCTGTTATGGAATCTTGTATTCTTTTTGGGATATTAATAAATAAATAAAAAAATGTCGTGCCATCCGTTGCATAAAATTTAAAGCAAAAACAGATTCACGGAGGATATAATCAATTTTTGTAACACCTACATAAATGGTTATAAAAATTATTTCTTTTAATTTTTAATAATATTTTATATTTGATTCGATTGCTTTGGATGTGTTTAATTTACTTAGAAAAAACCTCAGATATTTGAAAACATATAGGTTAACCTAGAAAGAGTAACGGTCACGGAGGATAGGTTTTAGAATTTTAAAACATTGTAAAAAATAATTAATTGCGGTTAAAAAAAATCTGGAACCTGAGCTGTAATATCTACTAATACTTAATTATGAAAGATCAAAACACAATAAAAGTGTAGGTCAAACTCATTTAGTTTTATTAAATATTACGGGGTAACACCATCGGGGGACATTTCGTGAGATTCACCCAAATAATTTTCAATAAAAATGATGACACTAGAATCGTTATTATTGTCCCAAACAATCACTTTCTTTAAATTTCTAAAAAAGTTATATTAAAATATAGGATATTTTTTCAGTGATACTTAATTATTTGTCGGTGCAAACAGCCCTGTAGTAGGTATAATAACTGCCTTAAGATTATAAACACTAATTATGAGTCTTCAAAGCTTTATGAAACTTTTAAGAATGTAAGAATGCATAAGATATAAGATATATAAGATATAATATGTTTAACTTAAACTATAGATAAACCCAAATCAATAATCGGAATTAAAATAAAAATAATTTTTAACGATACAATTTTAGGTAAAAATGCAAATCCCTTTTTTAAGTTTATATAACACAGTCTAAAAACGTGTACAAATTTCTTACCATTAATCTTTCAGTCCTCGATATGCAACAGTACATCAACAGGGCAAAGTAGGTGGTGAGTTTCATGGTGCCGTGCTGCTGCATGTCGGTGTAGTGTTTGGCGGTGGTGAGCAGCCTTAACAGGCCCGTGTAGATTTGGTGAAGTATGGCTTGCGCCTCGGGCGACAGTTGCGGCTCGCGCTGCATGCGATGCGTCGCGCGAAATCCCTGTCGGAACGGCGAGCTTGGTACCAGCGATACCAAAAGATAGCCGGCAGCTGAAAGATATTGAATGTGAATTACAAGAAGACTGCAAAAGGAACGTCGACTCCCTATCTCACCGTCTATAGAGCGGTGTCACGTTATACGGAGTCGACGCTCCTATTGTAGTCTTCTTGGATACTTTTTGGATTACACTGGCCGTCAAAATAAAAAATGTTCTTTGCCACAGGGGAGCTAAAAACTTTTCTAGGGTAATTTGGGTGCAATGATTCCAAAAATTATTATCATTTTGATCAATTAGCCCACAATCCACACAACAAAGTCTGTTTAATCTCGTTTTTCGCATATGCATGTACTAAAAATCACGAAGTTAGGGTATGTAAGATATGTAACTTACTCATTTTCATTATGTAAGTACTTTTAAATAGGTTCATAATTTTCATTACTTTAAGTTCAACTCCATATATTTAACATATCAGATGTCAAATCAATTTGGAAAAAGTTGACTGTAATACCAAAAATAAACTTGAGTGTTAAAACAAAATACGGGCATTTTCGTAATGATTACCTTCCAGAGTTCATGTGGTATGACCACTAGTGGAAACAGCTGTTAAGGGGTGTTACTTTTCTTCACAGAATAATTTTAGAAATTCCTACGACTTCTGTCGTACAAGTGAAAATGGCCTAATAAATATAAATTCTGACACGCGCGTTTGTTTTGAGTGCAATTTTGTCAATTTTTATTTAATTGCGTTGAAATTTTAGCACAATAAATTAGATAAATCAAGCTAAATTTGATTAGAATCGGAGAAAAATTGGGCGCGAAACAGCACTTTGAATTTTGAATTGTCGAATTTTTATTAAAAAAGCAATTTTATTTCGTTTTAAATAGGGTTTTTGAGGGACTAACTTTATAAATGTGTTTATTTTTTTTAAATATATATACGAATTTAAATGTTTGCCTAAGGGAAAAACAAGTTTTTACAATACCTCAAAAACAAAGGCTAATTATGGATATTTTTCAAATCAGCCCACCCAAGTTACCTTAGAGAAGTTGTTGGTCACCTTGTGGCAAAACGTGTCGACCAGTGTAATTAGTAGAAATTAATCAAAGTTCTTATAAAGTTCTTGTATGCTAAAGGAAAAACTGTGTTTTGTATTCCAGGATATATGGGTGATTCTCCAGAACGGAGCAAATATGCTGAAACTCTTAAATAAAATATACTAATGAAAGTAGTTAGCATTTAAATAACACTACAATAGACAGTTTATGTCTAGCAGTAGAACGTACTTAACCAAAAAAATAAAACATTATTTATTTTATTAATTTGAATTTGCTTAAACGCTTTAAAGTCAACTCCATGGACTGTCACCACCTAGCGTAGGGACAACAAATCATCCATATACTATTAGACTAGATGCAATTGTGAAATGATTCTTTCATATTGCATTTCCTCTAACTTGGAATGTATAAAAAAATACAACCAAAAGCAAACTTATTGATATTTTAACCCAAAATGTCGAATAAAGCATGAGACACCATTTTACAGCTGAGTTCTTTGCAGTCTTTTAATATATGATAAATCCCCTGTATAAAACGTATTTTAGTAATGTTTGAAGACTTCGTCGTTTGAGTGATTTAGTGTTGATTTGTGTAAGCAAGGCAAAGGGGGTGTAATATTTAATAAAAATTTATAAAGAACAATTATTTGCGAAAAAACGGGTAAGTATTTCTATTAAAGATCAACTCCATGTCATTAATAACAAAGGGATTTAAACACAATTGAAATTTAAACTTTCTCCAGGTGAAATAACCAAATATGCTTTGATTAAATTACAGTTAACTAAAGATACATTATGTACCATTTTTTAAAGTTTGTGACTTTAACTATAAAAACATCAACTCCATGGACATCAACTCCATGGAATTAAAAGGTATGTCCATGGAGTTGTTTACTTTCTTATTATTGCCCTAAACTCTTAGCTCATATAAGTTAAGGCATTATTAACGATAATTAATAATACTTATATAGTTAAATTATAATAAATTTAATTTAATTTTTCTTTAAAAAAATTATTATTATAACTATATGTATATATTAAGTTTAATTTATAGCCGCCTTGAAATTACTTTATGTTATTAAGAAATACACATTGAGGTATTATTTTGCTAGTGTTTTATTAATATTTGCTTTTTATTTTTTTACCACCCCAATTTATCCCCGTTTTGGATATTCACCCATATAGGGCATTGCAGATTGTAGGAAATGAACATAAATCAAGGTGTTTAAAGTGAAATATAATGTGAATTGAGCATTCCATACCAGAATTAAACTAGACCCCTTTTGATTTTGATGTTTTTTATGTTATAGTACCCCACCTAAATCCGTTTGTGATTTTTTCAAATTATTTTAACTTAACCAAACTAAAATTATGAATTAAACAAAACCATCATCACTCTTTAAAAATTGTCCAAATAAGATGTTTTTTTTAATTGTTTGTTTTTGAATAAACTTTAAAAAGAGTTCAACATTTTATTTTTTCTTCAAGGGTTTATTAAAAAACAAACAATTTCTAAAAAAAACACTTATTTGGTCAATTTTTTAAAAAGTTTTTTCTGGTTTAAATTTTTTTTTGTTATTGCAACGTTTTGAGGCTATTAAATTATATAAATTAATGGAAAATAATTTTCAAGACGTTTTAAAAATAAAAAGTTAAGTTTAATTAGTTAATTTTTACAAAGTTATGATTTAAATTTTCTTTCAGAAAATACATATGTCAATCATGATAATTTCCCAACAGCAGATGCGTTGTTTATTTCGTTTTCATAAATACCAGTTTCAGATATGCGATATTAAACACAGCATAGTTGATTTTTTCAAACTGAATTGCCTAAGTCAAAAACTACTTGTAGGAAAATTTAAAAAAGACCACAGTGAAGTATTTTGCATAATATACGGTGCATAGTAGTACCCTAAAAATAAACTTATTTTTTGTGAAATTATGTACTTACTGTTTCTGACCCTCTGATTATTGTGAGCAATAAGGAAATGCTCGAGCCAAGAGTCCAGGCTACTCAGCACCCACTGATGCACCAACCTATTTCGAGTGACCTGCAGCGCCAGCCAATCCAGCGCCGAGTACGGGCAACATTCCGCCGCCTCCCACACCTTTTGAAGGACGAGCTGCGTAAAGCAAGGCTGGCTAGACGTGCCGCCCGGGCCTGCGCCTTGGGCGCTACCGCCTTCAGTTAGTAGGGTTAGTATTTTGAAGAACGGTTGGCAGGTGTCTGAATGACGAGATATCGCCTGAAAATTAATAAAATGTGTTTTGGCGCTTTGGAATTGACGTCACAGCGGGCAACGGAAGTGACGTCATATTTGCATGTTTATTCGTGGGGTAAAAAATTAGTGACTGTGCTTAAGTAGGAGATATAGAATAAATCAATCCAATATGGCGGTCGCCGTAAGATGGATTGCCTATTTCTTCACAACCTCCTTGACATGTGTATCAAATGAAGGGGTTTTACAAAAATTTCCAAAATCATAAGATACAATTGTATCTTAAGATGTCCCTAAAATGCCTGTACCTATAATATATAGGCCTGTACAAAATAATACCACATATTCGTGGGACCGGAATAATGCGATATAACTAAATTTACTTATACAGTGTGTCCGTAAAGTCCCGGAACATGTGATTATTTTGAAAACGGTATTTTTAAAAAAAAAAACGCTGAAACACGTCAACTTTGTTATTTTTCTAGCAATATTTTAGCATATGTAGTTGTTCCAAAATCTGCCGCGTGGCGGCGCCCCAATCGAAGTAAGGTTTTTTTAAATTACAACCCTTAATTTTTGTTGCATTTTTGGATAGCTACCGTCGTCCTGAGTACATTGATATGCTACATGTGGAGGGTTACATAAGAAAATTTTTGAGAAAAGTAGGTTTTTGCCGCTGATTAAGATTTTGGTTTTGACGAACTTATTCGCTGTTACGGGGCACTATGCATTGCTAGTAAGGGATTATTTAAATCAGGTCTTTCCCAATCGCTGGATAGGTCAAAGGGGTCAAATTGAGTGGCCAGCGCGATCGCCCGATTTGAACCCTTTAGACTTCTTTTTATGAGGACATCTTAAAAACCGCGTCTATGTAAACAGGCCTTAAAATTTGGACGACCTAAGACACCGAATTCAAGCCGAGATCCAGATGATCACTCCAGCGGTACTGGCAAACGTACAACTCTCGTTTGTAGACAAGCTGTTCCATTGCCAAATAGTTTACGGTGGACACTTTGAGCAACTGCTCTGATTGGCTTTCCAAAAAACATTAAGCAACGCATTGATTGTGTAAGTTTGACAAAATACCAAAATCTCATTCGGCGGCAAAAACCTGATTTTCTCAAAAATTTTCTTATGTAACCCCCCAGATGTGGCACATCAATGTAATCAGAACAACGGTAGCTATCCAAAAATGCAACAAAAATAAAGGGTTGCAATTTTAAAAAAACTGACTTTGATTGTGGCGCCGCCACGCGGCAGAATTTGGAACAACTACATATGCTAAAATATTGCTAGAAAAATAACAAAGTTGACGTGTTTCAGCGTTTTTTTAAAAAAATTACCGTTTTCAAAATAATCACATGTTCCGGGACTTTACGGACACACTGTATACAAAGGTTGATAATAACCAAGATACAGGGTGTCAAATTTGAAAGATCGTTTTAAATTTTATTAAATAACTTTGAAAAAAACAAACGTTTTTCAGGAAGGGAAAATTAAATCTCTTAAACAAATTAATGTAGGTAGTATCGTTTTAAAGCGTCGTAAAAAAACTGAAGAATTGGGTAAAAATCAAGTTTTTTTTCTCGGGCATCGGAAAAATTATCTTTTTGGTAAAAAATTAAGTTTTTTACACACATAAAATGCGCATTTTTTATGTTATTTATGAACAATTCCCAAGTAGCATTTATAGTGGTTAAAGCGTGTTGGCCACTTATACTTGGAACTATAAAGTATATTGCCAAAATCTCTGCCACGTGGAAGTGACTAAAATGGGGAACACTTTTTTAGTGTCAGTTATGTTTCAACAATGTTCTTGAATTGTATACAGACACGTTAATACCACGTTGTGATTACGTTACTATAACGTGGAGTTATAGTGGCCAAAACTTAATCGTAACTTTACTAGTCTTTACTTTCTATCCCCGTCTCTTTCAAGCATATTATTTATCTTATTAACTTTGCTTTCTCTGACTGAATATTAAACTAACACTGAATAATTATAATTATTATATTGTAAGAGTACAACTTGCAAATAATAACTAGAATTAAAATAATCCAAAGACATAATATTAACACGAATTAAATTTTACTGTTAAACATGGGTTTCATAGCTTGAAATATAAGTACGCCCTGTTGAAATAAGTGGTAATCAAAAAGAATAAAAAAATCTATAAACTTAGCTGATATGAAAATTATTTATTTAGAGGCCCAAAATATTTTTTTTATAATTCTGGTCACCTGAAACCAATAAATATGTATTAACATGTTAAATTTGGTGCGGTAATAACCAGAATTATTTGTTTAAAACTACACAGTTATTTCCCTACAATGGTGATTATTTGTAAACATGTCTGCTTTTGAAGAAGGGAACTTTAAAGTGGTAATTCTATACGAAACGTGAAAATCACTTAAGCATGTAGCAGGAACGTGGCAATCACCACCGCAATTATATAATAATCAAGTTTTGCCACATTCAAGGTTTGGGAAAAGTTCCGAAAACGTTGCCAAAACTGATATACCCACTTTGATTTGGTTACAGTTACTATTCATAATCCACTCTAAAGTTTAGACAACTTTAAGGTGATGGCAAAAGTGGTCATAACGTTTCAGATACCAGACTAATACACCAAAAAGTTATAAAACTATGAAGTATATTCTGCTGGTGCAAATCACATGATATAATATGGAGATATTTTAACTGTATCGTGGTAGATTTAGTTATTTAAACGTTATTGCCACTCATTTGAAGTGGCAATATCAGTTTTTGTCACTATAATGCTACTGCTTTATTTTTACTTAGTAAGGCCATTCATAACATTTTTTTAAATACAATTTTTTCAAAAAAAGACATTTTTTTTTCGAGACTTTAAAATACTACTTACTGTCATTAAACACAACAATTTGCAGAAAATTGGCTTTTGCATTTTTTTCCTAGTATCAGTGAGTGGTACAAATAATACGAGAATAAATGAAAGTCAATTTTTCGAAAAATTGAAAGAAAAAAATACAATTCGTTGGATAATGACAAAGTGCAGCGGCACTTTTAATGACTTATCTACAATATAAAATATTGCAGATAAGGTATTTTCGCTTAACAAGGCTTCTGCACTTAAAATGTTGTCATTCCAAGGTACTGTAATACGGAAAAATGCAAAAGTAAATTTTTTTGAAAACTTACCAATTTTTTCATCTTTATTAGGCAAAAAAGGAATACATTTTAAATCTGTGTAAAAGGCATAAGGGGATAAGTCAAAAAAAGCAATTTTTCAGTAGAGACTTAAACGTGTTCGCATTAATTCAGGAAATATATTTATGTTTAGCGGGTATACGCTTTTGTTAGCATATTACATGTGCTAACAAAAGGGTATACCCGCAAACCATAAATATGTTTCCTGAACTAATGCGAATACGTTTAAGGCCCTACTGAAAAATTGCTTTTTTTGACTTATCCCCTTATGCCTTTTACCCACAGAAATGTCGATTCAAGTAACCGTTTTTGAGATATGTGGGTTTAAATTGTTTATTATTATTAATTTGTACTTAAAATAAAAAAATACATAAAATTGAAAAAAAGAATTAAGTTGGACAGTAACTAAATTTGTAGGGTCTCTAAATGTATTTTTTATTTGTAACCTACTTTAAAAAAATCTTACATTTTTAAATCACAATTAAATGAGTGCACTAAACAATTTAAACATATGCAAAGTGTTCTACAACCTACATTGTTTTTTTTTAATTTAAATTTCCTGGACCCTTAAAAACCTTTTAACTTTTATAAGTAAATTTAGTTATATAGTATTATTTCAGTCTCGGGAATGTGGTATCATTTTGTATACAAAATGTTTAAATTTTTTTCCGAAAACAATAAATTGAGTAAAATTTTCAATATTTTAAACCGTTAAATAATTGCATTCTTTGGCCAAAGAAGTAAAAATTTATTTAGTCTTTTTTTTTTTAATTAATTAAACACTGTACCAACTTGCAAATATTTACTTTAATATACATGAATAATAAAGATTTAAGATAAAAAATCTTAAAATATTAGATCCAAAAAAAATTTACAAAACATTAATGTTGTATAGGTTTTAAAAATGGGGACAATTTGGGCAACCAAAATTAATTATTCAAAACAATTTAATTGTAGTATAAAAAAGTTTGAATTTCATTTAAAAAATAATTGCAAAAAGTCAAAAAATGCGCCATCTTAGGACACCTCACCAATTACTTACCTGCGATATCATGCATATAATCGACTGCGCCAGCTGGCTGTTACCCCTGCACAAGGAATGTATAAGATTCTTGGTCTGCTGCAAGTTGATGTTATCCTTGATTTGCTGGTACAAAAAGGCGAAACCCTTTCCGCCCGCCACCGCGTTATAATCCTTATCGCTTATCTGCAACTTCATGTTGGAATCGCGACTTTTTTCCACTAGCGAGGCAACAAGCGTTATCATTTTGTCCAAAGAAGCCGGTTTGTATTTGTCGGTCGGCAACACTACCTCCTCTTCTTCCTCGCCTTCACTTACGTCAACCTTGGAGAAAGTTTTGTGTTTAAAATTTAATCTTTTCACTCTTAAATCTAAGTAGTAAATTGAGATTAAAGAGTGGGAAAATGATTCTTTAGTCTAAGGATCCACTTTACTTACAAAGTCGTTTGCCTTTTGTCCCAGATAAAAGTGCACCATTGTATTAATAGCTCCTACAGCCAATAAAAATTTAGATTCGTCCTCTCCCATTTTGCTAAATTCGTACAAAAACCCGAAATATTCTGTAAGGTGTTTTAAGTGGGCTTTTGCACCATGCTCCATCTAAAAAAGGATATTTAAAAAAAATTAAATAATTGTTTTTTTATAAATATTTATAGTACTCAAAAAAGCCTTTAGTACTTACAAGTGATAGCAAAGTTTTGATAAATTTGGTAACACAGGAGGAATTCCCAATTTTAGCGGGGTCTACTGCATCACCTTCTTTCTTTTCCTTTGAACTTTCGGCAGTTTCGTTGTCTATTGTTAAGTATAAGGAAGAATGAGATTGCCTGAAGAATACGAAAAATATCAATAAAAGTCGATCTTTTCGATGTGTGCACGGTAAAAGGCTTTTTCCATGCTAGCCTATTTTCTGACTTAAAATGAAAATAATCGGAAAGTTTCCAATTTAAGGAAAGTTTCCAGTCGGAAATTTATTTTCGTTTTTAAAGTTTCTTTTAAAGTTACCGGAAACATTCCCAAAAACTTTCTTTGGAAACCCTTCCTGTTTTTTTATGTAAATGTCAATTGTGTAACAGCGTTAAGCGAAGTTAAGGCCAAGAAACTGAATAAGAAGAAGTTAATTTGTGTTAATTTAAAGTAGAAGAATTTTGTTGAAGATCATCATCACAATTCATAAATCGTTTGCAAAAAACCCTTTGCATAAAAGCCTTTTAAAAGGTAAACAAAATAAAAGCAATCAATTCATTCTAACGTTTTTGTTGTTTATTTATAGGTACAGTATAATGCCAAGAGAAAAATCTTATATTTGGAATTATTACAAAATAGTGCAAAAAAGACCATGCTCAATGCACGTTCTGTGAAAAAATATATGTTGTTAATGCAATTAATGCAACCAAAATGGTCAAACATATAAAAAAGTGTATTCATGCCCCACAAGATAAAATCTTATATAGGTAATAAGTCAAGAAGAGAGTCCACCAGTTAGCAATGCCATTACTGGAAACATAAAAGAGTTTGTTGATAGCTTATCTCTTATAGTCCAGGAAACAAAGATTGTAGAAGGAAAACTCGATGGTAGTCGAGTTTTATTTTTTTTATGTAGAGTCAGGGGTGCTGATAATGAATCAAGAATATTCACCAAAAATTTCTTTCCGCGTCCCCTAATTTCATCCCCGAAAGGGGAGTTTTTTTCTTTTTGGCTCATAACTCGCTAACCGTTAATTTTTTCACAATTTGACCTGTAATACTTTGATTATGTACTAAATACACACATTAAACCCCATTGCGCACCTATATGATGTGCTATGCTATGCTATGCGCAGTGTGCAAAGTTGAGCGTTGGTTTCAAAATCACTTTTTTGTTTTTTTATTATAGCCCAATATAAAAGTAGTCGATGCCAAACCTTACGGTAATCAAACATAACCGAATGGACGATTTTTTGAGATACCACACTTTTACAAAAGTTACTGCTTTTCAATGTACAATGTCAAAACTTTAATTTTTGTGGGGCACTTGCAATGAAAATAATTAAAAAAAACTACGGATTCGTTACGAGGATAAGTCTACCTAAAAATCTAGGGTAGAACGAACTGGCTCATTAAAGCCGTTTGGGAAATAAAAAATGTGTTTTTTGAAAAAAGAACCCCCTGTACATTGAAAAGCAGTAACTTTTGAAAAAAGTCTAGTACCTCAAAAAATCGCCCATTCTGTTATGTTTGATTACCGTAAGGTTTGGGATCGATTACATTTAAAATTGGGCTATAATAAAAAAAAGTGATTTTGAAAGCAACGCTCAACTTTGCACAATGCGCATAGCAATATGGCACACCATATAGGTGCGCAATGGGGTTTAACGCATGCCTTATTTAGTACATAATCAAAAGTATTAGAGGTCAAATTCTGAAAAAATGCACGGTTAGCGAATTAAGAAGCCAAAAAGCAAAAAAACTCCCGTTTCGTGGGATGAAATTAAGGGACGCGGAAAGAAATTTTTGGGGAATATTCTTGATTCATTATTAGCACCCCTGACTCTACCGAGTTTTTTTATCGAGTTTTCCTTCTACAATCTTTGTTTCCTGGACTATTAATGAACAGAATAAATTGGAAGAACTATTTGCTCAAGCAATTTACTCTAGTTCTTGCCCCTTTAGTTTAGTCGAAAACCCTGATTTTGTAATATTTTTTAAGCAACTAAGTCCAAGTTTCAAGCTACTTGGAAGAAATAAATTAAGTACAACATATGAATATGCTAGAATCCAAAAAGTATTTAAGGATGAATTGCAAGAGGCTGATAATATGACAATTCTTTCAAATGGACAGATGCCAATGGGGTGGCACTAATAAATATACACCAGAGCCTGTATTTTTAAAAACAATAGACTCAGGCTCACTCAAAAATGTTGATTTCATTTTGCCTGTAGTTTTTTGAAACTTTGAAAGTTTCGGGAATTTTCGATGGAAAGTTTCCGGAATCTTTTGTTAAATGAAAGTTTTCGATGGAAAGTTTCCGGAATCTTTTGTTAAATGAAAGTTTTCTCATCTCTAAAAATAATCACAATTAAAAAAACTTACTTCAAGCGCTGTATAACGTGTATGCACAGCCTCTGGAACATCTGCCTGACCATTTGATTCGGGCACTTGAGTAGTACTTGTACCGGCCACCAGGTGTCAGCGGCCATGTGCTCCAAAAACCACACGCACGCCTCCTGGCAAGCGTTGAACTGTTTCGTGACCAATTCCACCCATTGCACCATCGTCGGTTTCTCCTTGGCGTGGATAAATGTTTCGATGAAGAACGACGTGGACAGTTGGGCCGCTTTTTGCGTGACGTCCGATTGGTTTGGCAGGATTGTTTGCGGGATGTAGCCGCATATTTGCCACATGAAACTGAAGAAAAAATATTGTTTTGATGTGTCTATGCTAGGGCGTGCGTGCGAAAATCGATATTAGTGGGTTCGAGGATTGTCTATTTATTTGACAAGTAAGGGGAGTAGTCACAAAAGTCAAATTCTCCACGTTTTGTAAAAAATTAGTTAGAGGTGCCATCTTGGGGTAAAAGTTGAAAGCTATAAGATGGCACACAAAAATTCAGATTATCCCATGAAAAAGACCATGCTTAATGCAAGTTCTGTAAAAAAATATATGTATGTCGTTAATGCAACCATAATGGTCAAACATTTAAAAAAGTGTCTTTGAACTGCAATACTTTTTTAGTATCTTTTACTTTACATTATCCCTATATAGGTAGCCAATATTATTATTTTTGCAATCTTTCTGGCACAAAAAACTTATTTCCGCAATATTTTTGTTTTTAACTTTCGGAAGGTTTCGGGAATTTTCGATGGAAAGTTCCCGGGAATTTTCGTCAAATGGGAATTTTCCCATCTCTACTTTTATACCGATTGAAATTTTATTTTTGCGTAAAAAAAGTAAAATACAAAGTTTTAATACCTACCCAAAAAATTGCGCTTTTAATAAACATAAAAATAAATAACTTGTTACAAAGAAATTATAAGGCCGTAAAGAAATGTCGAAATGTGGTAGATTGTCCAGCCTACACTCAAGCTTCAAAATTTCAAGATTTTTTTTTTGTTAAAATATAGCATCAAAGGGGTAAAAAAAGGAGAAAACCATTTTCCAAAAAAATGGTTGAGGTTTTTTAAATAAATTTAAACAACAGCGCATCGGAAAGCAAATTAGGTTTTATAAAAAATGTGGCTCTAAATTACGAGTATTTTAAGAGTCTGTTGTCTGAGCGACAAACGGTTCATAAGTTATTAAAGAAAAACCAGAATACATACTATTTAATTTATGCTCTTTTGATTAAAAAAAGTAAAATTCCAACTGGTATAAAAGTATTTGGTTTCCCTCGGGGGGTTCCCTATATAAAATCTTACCTTTTTACTGGCCTATTAGTGCTTTTTCGCAATTTAATATTCTCCCTGATGAATAAATGTTGTTGTTATTGCATTTAATTGATTGTAGTATCTTGAAGAAACAGTTTTGTAGCTTTTTATTTAGAATTTAACAGAGTTATTTCAAAACTACTATTATCCATGTAAAAATATCAAATTTTGCAAAAACTAATACAAATAACCTTTTACAGAATTGATTAACAAAATATGCAATTTATTTTCTAAAATGTTAATGTTAGTATTATTTCTGTAACATTCACAATTTAAAATTTTTGCTGAGTTTCCCAAAATTTCTCAAAATTAAGGTGAGTGGTAGATTGTGACTTTTGTTTTGTACAGTATTGTGCGAATTAATGTAAACACAAATAGATTTACGTTAAATATTAATGATTGAAATAAAAAATACAAACAGTACTTGTATATAAATTTTTAAAAATATTTATTAGGAAATATGTCCCCCTTTAGGTCTTTAACTCGTTTTGGCATAGAATTAATCAATGTTTTACAATTTTCCTATATTTTGTAATCTCAAAACCATACCTGAATGACAGCCTCTATCATCTTAGTTTTTGTTGTAGAATTCATTTTTAGCAACCTGTCCTTGCATATAGACCACAAATTCTCAATAGGATTAATGTCTGGTGAGTTTACAGGACCTTTTTGTCCTAGTGTAAATTAGTCGCAATAACGGCAAAATGACTGACATTAGCAATTACTTAATGCATAATGATAGGTTATGGGATATGTCAAGAAAAACCTGTCAAAATTGTCACAGCAGTGTTCGAAGTTAAAATAATATAGAAATTCCTAATGTTCACATTAATTCGCAAAATACTGTAACTAGTTTTAAAATTTCCAAAATAATTAAAATTTCCAAAATTTTCAAAATAATCAACTTTACAAATGTTTTAAATATTTTTGTAAAATTTTCCTATTTATGAAGAAATGAAGGTAACCATTTGGTTTATTTGAAATTATTAAAAAAAACAAAATTTGAAACAGTGCAGGAAGAAAACTCCAAAGAACTGATATGATATTTGAAGGGGTAAGAAGCGCTCTCAGTGGTGTGGTAGTTAGCACTGCGGACTACAAGCTGAGAGGTCGTGGGTTCGAATCCCACCAGGGGTATGGCTGTTTATTTGTGTTTGTCATTGTGTACTTCTGTAATTGGGCCTGGTGCCTGTTGAAGGCACATTAAAAATAATGAAATAAAAAAAAATAAAAAAAGGGTACAAGTTCAAAAAAGAGAAGTGGAGTTATTAACTTTTAAAGTTTTTGCTATATGCAAAAATCTGGATACATGTTTGAATATTGTTGTTTGCATTAATTAACATACAGAACTAGTACAATTCTCACGCTAAAATGCACTTATACCTTTTTGCTTCTTACACCTTCATTTGTTTTTGGTATAAAATTGTTTGTAAATATATCCTTTTTAAATCCTTACAAATAATAAAAAAATGTGCAAATGATATCTTTTTAGTGGGACATTTTTTGAACTTACTTGAAATAAGTATGCTCGAAAATATTCTTATCCTGTATAAAATGCATATTATCCTGCCATATCCAATCCTCCAGCTCCTTGCTAAGCTCGAAAGTAGTCACAGGTGGCGTTGGAACGACGTGAGTGGTCAATAGATGGTCACCTGACTCGAGAGTTGTCGAAGAACTCTCGGTATTGTCCGCCGTCACGGTGGGACAACGCTCGTAAAAAAGCATATAAGCGCTGTTGGTTTTTTCGAAGCTAAAATCCATGAACTTATCCGTCACGCTGTCGTATGTTTTGCTCTGAAAATAAATTAAGTGTAAGTACCTTTAAACATATTTTAAGGATGCTGTGACTCTTACCGTCATTTCTCCGCCAAAACATTCGGCAGCAATTTGGTTGGGGTCGAAAGGTTTGACTTCGGCATCGTTAAATAAAAACCACTTGTCCCTTGAGCCTGCAGTGCGGTCTTTTATGAAACTGTAGTAGTGTCCGCCGTCAGCGGTGCCAGTGTGTACAGTCACGCCGATAAGGTCGTACTCGTACTGCTCCGAGTACGGGTCGTTTTGTTTAAGCTTGTCTTCTGTAAAAATATTAAAGTTTTGTGTGTAGATTATAACAAATTATTATAATTGTTAAATATATAAACAAATACAATTCTTATAATAACAACAGTGTTGGCCATAATTTTTGCAACCACTGTAAAAAAATCTAACTCCTTTATTATGAATTTATGAAATTTTGGATAAAAATACTTCAACCATTTGTAATTTGTAATTTGGTTGTCCAACCACTGTGGTTGGACAACCAAATTACAAATTACAAATGGTTGAAGTATTTTTATCCAAAATTTCATAAATTCATAATAAAGGAGTTGAACCACAACCATAAAGTTAAAACCACAACCATAAAGTTAAAACAATTCAGCTTATTCCTTCTTTCACAAAGAACAAGTGGAAATAATAATAAAATATAGTTTAAATTAAATATTAAATAATTAACCACTCATTATGATATTTGTGACCTCAGATTATAATAACTAAATATACAAAAGACATACCAACTGAATTTATATAAAATCAATGTATTATTGGTTAAATTCACTCCTTACAAAATATTTTTAAAGCCCTTTTATGAAAAAACGTTCGAAAAATAACTTTTAGGGTAATTTTTTGAGGAAATGAAGGGAAAATATGGTACTTTTAAACAAACAAAAAATTCATGTATGTCCCTTGTAAAGTCTTTTTTACTTCATTTAATTATTACTATTAATGTTATTTTATTGAAATTGGCATAAAAAACAAAATATCAGTGATAATTTGCATTTAATGCATAACACTGTGCAACACCAAAAATCAAACCGCACCGGACTATTTTTTTCTGAAAATATTCCTATCCAATACCAAAACCCTCGCTGGGTTTGTAAAAGTTAGCTCGATTTATTTTTTTATGGCCGTTTGTATTTTCTAGCTTCATATACCCCAGTTTAGACTTTTTTTCGCATATATTCGATTTATATAGTCAAGATTTTTTGTAGAAATGTAGTTACTGAACAAATATACCCATTTTGTGAACAAACTATATCTATATTCGAAACATTATTTTTTTTCAATTTTTCGATAATATTTAAAATTCTTTGCTACTTCTTCTGACAAAAATGTTGTAAAGTATATTATTAAAAAACTTTTTTATATCAAAACATTGAGTACCTAATCTGATTCATTGCTGGAGAATTCCATCCCTTCCACTTCTCCTTTATTTTCTTGTTCTTCATTTTCATTTTTTAATTAATCACTGGAGAATTCCATCCCTTCATTTCATATATTTTTTATATTCATTTCATTTCAGGCGTTTTAAATGGTCCTGATATTCGAAAATTGGTAAAGTATGAAGACTTGACAGGGCTTTGGTTGAGGATGAGATAGGTGCGTGGGCGTCGATAAGAGAAATCATCGTTGGACTTTTAGGCAAACGTCGTTCTCCCAATTATGAAGGATCTGTGCGACGAATGTTGGATGTTTTTTTTCAAAATTGGAGTCAATATGTCGCTAAAAATTCATTTCCCTTATCGCCATTTGGATTACTTCAGTCGACAGTTATCGACACAATCATCAAACTGCGATGCCATTTGATACCAGATAAAGAGGAAAACGAGCTCCAGATGCCATACTAGCCGAAACATTTGGTGAAGTTAACATATTTTTGACTACGATCAGGAAGAAAATGAAAATGAAGAACAATAAAATTAAGAAGAAGTGCAAGGGATGAAATTCTCCAGTGATGAATCAAAAAATGAAAATGAAGAGCAAGGAAATAAAGGAGAAGAAGTGGAAGGGATGGAATTCTTCAGCAATAAATCAAATTACTCAATGTTTTGATATAAAAAAGTTTTTTAATAATAAAATTAATACAAAATAAAAATCAAACTCTCTGTACTTTCCTACAATTCTATTTTATCTGTTCAATTTTTTCCTACAGATTTTTCGGCAAAATATTTGGTGTTGAGTGTGAAAAGATGAATATTTTGGAAAATCTTGTTTAAACATTATTTTCCAGCAAATAAGCAAACTTAAAGTTCAGTTTTGTGTGCGTATTTTATAAATTACTTCTTTTAGTATACTTTACAACATTTCTGCCAGAAGAAGTAGCAAGAAATTTTAAATATTATCAAAAATTTAAAAAAAAAAAAATTTTTCGAATATTTGGTCCCAAAAATTGGGTTTTTGGGATAAAGGTTGTTCACAAAATGGGTTTATTTGTGCAGTAACTACATTTCTACAAAAAATCTTGACGATATAAATCGAATATATGCGCAAAAAATCGATTTATGGGTCTAAATTGGGGTATATGAAGCTCAAAAATACAAACGGCAGTAAAAAAAAATTCGAGCTAACTTTTACAAACCCAGCGAGGGTTTTGCTAGTGGATAGGTATATTTTCAGGAAAAAATGGTACGGTGCGGTTTGATTTCGATGACCCGAAAATTGTCGCACAGTGTAATTAGTGTGTTTTGAAATTTGAAATTTTGAAATTTTGTACTTTACTAATGTTGGTGCTACCTAAATATCTTTTAGGCAATCTTAAATTATTTGTTTTATAAAACAAATAATTTAAGATATAAAACAAATAATTTAAGATATAAAACAAATAATTTAAGATATAAGACAAATAATTTAAGATATAAAACAAATAATTTAAGATTGCCTAAAATATATTTAGGAAGCACAAACATTAGAAAAGTACAATAGTATATTATGTATCAAGTTTTATAAACGCTATTTTAGTTAAGAGTTTTATTAGGCACGAGCGAAGCTTACGAGCGAGTGTTTAATAAAAACGAGTGTCTAGAGAAGTTTATAAAACGAGTTGCATACTATACTTTATCTACGACGAAAAGAAATAAGAATTTAAAGCCAATTTTAATTTATAAATATTTGAAATTTGAATGATTTAACCTAAATTTTTCGCAATTTATAATAAAGCTAACTTCACCCCATGACTAAAATGCCCAAAAGCCTCTGTTGTTAACTTCAACCCGTGAATAAAACGCCATAAATGTAGGAGTAGATAAATGAAATTATTATTATTATTAGTAATAGTAATTAATAGTAATAATTTATTGTATAAAAAACAATAACATGAAAAAATTCTTAATAAATTTATCTGAACCTTGACAAGTATTTAATAAACAAAACCAAACAGAATTATCAATAAATGTAATTAAAAAAAATTAAGATTTAACTGAATAAAGATTGTTTTAATAAATAATTTAAAAATTGTTTAAACTTGTGGTAAATAAGGCAACATTTAGGCAACAAATTATCATTAGAAATTTCATAAAAAATATTGTCAATAAAATATAAAAAATACAGGAAAAATCACTAGAATAAAAATTAAAAAAAGTTGGTTAAAAAACTAAAGAAATTAAAAAAATCATTAAAAAATACTAAATACCAAAAAACTATATTCAAACTACAAATTTAAATATTTATATTGACTTACCTTGATAATGTTGTGGCATCAACTGTTTTTCCACATACCCAGCCATATTTAGCCTTAACGGAAAAGAAAAATGCGTATTCACTTTCTCTTTTAACATAGTCAACATATTAAAAGTGTATCGCATCGTGTTAAAACACAGTATGTGTGGTAATTTTTTAAAACAAGCCCTAAAAAACAACAAATAAATCAATTTTATACAAAATAATATTAAATAGTCAACAAATACTCTCTTGTCCAACAAAATTATCAAATTCTAAAGCCCTGTCACATTTTAATGTGTTTATATTAAGTTTCATTAATATGGTTTTAACATTTTACAATTTGTAATTACTCAAATCTAATTATGTTTTACATTCTTAAATGGTATTGCTTTGTTAAATATGCCCAGGGGCAAACTGTACAGTGATTGACCCTTTTAGAAACTGGACAACTTTAATAATGAATTACATACTATTATTATTTGTATTATTAAATTTATTTAGGTACCAGGAGCTATAAAAAACTATATTTTTCTATTTAAATTAAGAAATAATTTCATATTTTATAAAATTTAATAAAGAAATATAATTTGTTTAACAAAAATATAGTTGGTAATATAAATATATATAAATATATAAGAAACCATAAAAACCATAATCATAAATCATATATTAGAAATATCTTTATTCTATTTTCCATTTCATAAAACAATATTTAAATTAGATTTTAAAGCAAAACCTTTATGAAAATTATAAAGAAAATTTTAGAAAAATTTATAGTGATTGGTTTGATAAATATAGTGAATTAACTTTGGTATTAGATTGAATTGTGATTTATTTATTTAATTAATTTTTTATCAAAAAAAATACATTATGTCCATGGATGGGGTTACAAAGAGAAAAAAATAATTTTACATTTCTCTGAAAATTTTATTCTTGATAAAAGTTTTTGCTGGATTTCAAACCCACAGAATATGCGACACATCATTTTTATTGTCTATGGTTAATTTGCAATTTTAGTTTTTGTGAAAACTTTGTACCGATTTTTGTTCATTTTTGATCATTTTCGTTCATTTGTCATTTCTCAAGAGTAATTGTTTCGATTGACATTAAAAACTTTTACTTTTTAATTTATCGCCAAAAATACATTTTTCATCGCCATTTTAGGCATTCTTTTAATACTTTTTCAAAAGTAATAATTAATGACATGCGTGGAGAATTATCGAGAGATTTCTACCTTAATAATAACATTCATTTGTTAAAAAAATGACAAATGAACGAAAAGTGACCAAAAATGATTTCCATCAAAAAAATTTGAGTCCAAAATTTTCAGATAAATCAAAACTGCATATTAACCATAGATAAAAATAATAAAGTGTCGCATATTTTATATGAGGCCATTATTTACAAAAGTCTCTAATCAACAAAATATCAAATTCACTTTTTTCGCTAATTTCATCAGATTTTTAATAAGGAATGTATTGCCACCTTTAAAACGTATAAAAACTGCTTCTTTGCTATATAAAATCGGTTAAAGAGCCAGTTGACGTGCCGCTAAGCAAGAAACTTAAAGAGAATAAAACTTCCATTACACTGTGCAACATTTTCGGAAAAGAATTAAGATGATGGGGTTCTGAAAGTATTTTCGGTTTTTACAATCAAAATCATGAATTATAGCGTTTACAGAATGTTTAGATTGATTCTGGATCCCGAAATATCGTAAAATAATAAATAATTAGTACATAAAAGATAATTATTGGTTTTGTATATTGTTTTATAAAGTAATAACAATCAAATAAAGAAAAAAATAATTAAATAAAAAAATAATGAGAACAATAAAATGGAATTTTTTTTTTAAAATTGAACCTTTTTCTGGATTTAATATGTTGTAGTGCAATTTCTTAGTTCTTTCGCTTCTACCATAATAATAATTATGGTAATTATTATTACTATTATTATATTAATTATTAAAAACATAATCTTTTTAACAAATAGAATGAATCAACGTAAAAGATATAACAAATTTTATTTATAATTTTATGCCAAAATTTCCATTGCCATGGACCAACAAAAATCTGCCAACATCGAATCCAACCTCTTTTCTCTATAACGATTTTCAATTTCCATTATTTTTTTTATGCTCTTGTTGTAGTGCAATTTCTTAGTTCTTTCGCTTCTACCATAATAATAATTATGGTAATTATTATTACTATTATTATATTAATTATTAAAAACATAATCTTTTTAACAAATAGAATGAATCAACGTAAAAGATATAACAAATTTTATTTATAATTTTATGCCAAAATTTCCATTGCCATGGACCAACAAAAATCTGCCAACATCGAATCCAACCTCTTTTCTCTATAACGATTTTCAATTTCCATTATTTTTTTTATGCTCTTCTGATTCAGTGGACAGCTGATTTTCGAACAGGTCAAGATGTGCATGGAGCAAATGTACTTTTAGTGACATGTTTACACCCATTTTTAATTTTTGTTTTATTTTTTATTATTTCTTTTTAATTTATTGTTATGACAACAATTTCCTACCAGTTAATAATTAACTGGTAGGAAATTGGTTTTAATTAATAAATAACGGTTTTTCGGGTTCCAAAATTAATAAAACTTAAAATCGATATTTAAAAAAACCTGAATCAACACATTCTGTAAACGCAAAAAGGCATTCTTTGGATAGGAGAAACGAAAACCACTTTCAGAACCCCATCTTTTTTTTTGTTTTGGTTTAAATTAATAAATAACGTTTTTTCGGGTTCCAAATTTAATAAAACTTAAAATAGATATTAAAAAAACCTGAATCAATCTAAACATTCTGTAAACGCAAAAAGGCATTCTTTGGATAGGAGAAACGAAAACCACTTTCAGAACCCCATAATTTTTTTTTGTTTTGGTTTAAATTAATAAACAACGGTTTTTCGGGTTCCAAAATTAATAAAACTCAAAATAGATATTAAAAAAACCTGAATCAATCTAAATATTCTGAAAACGCAAAAAGGCATTCTTTGGATAGGAGAAACGAAAACCACTTTCAGAACCCCATCATTCTTAATAATAAGAAAAACCTTTTATCAAGAATGAATTTTTCTTAAATGTGTTTAAATTTTTGAAATATGCTTTTGACATTTTTAGGCACTCAAAAATGATTTTAAGTAGAATTGGCAGATGCTGAAGAACTTTTAAAAGTGTACAAAAAATGCTCGAGCATTTTTAAAAACGTTCGAGAGCTTTTTAAGCATTTATGAGCAATATTATCATGTTTCTCTAAAATTTTGATTTGGTTATAATATGTCGAAAATGGCACTGACGCCATACCCCAAAAAAAAGTTGCAGAGAAATATTATTACCTCATAAATTAAGAATTTTGACATTAAAAAGTGGAATAGTCTTGATTTTGAGAATTTTGTTTTTAAATAAGAGTATGAAAGTGTTGAACTTTTCCTTACCTTTTCTCAGCCCTAACTTTCTTCCCGCACTGAGAACAAGTGTACATATTGTCGCCTTCGAGCGTATCCTTCACAGTAACCTCGTCTAAGGATTCGTACAAGTTGCGCATGTCCGCCACCTGACAGCGCACCGTGTAAAACTCCTCCAGCGTGCGCGACACGTGATCGCAGTCAAGAGAGACGACGTTGTTGCTAATCACGCCGCAAAATAACTTTTTTATAACCTCTTTGAGAGCGGGCGTCATCTCCTCCAACTTACTGACTAAATCGATGAAGAACTCCGCCATGTCTTTCTGTTCGGCTGTGTTCAAAGGTTGGTGGTCCATCGTGTAGACTTTGCAGAACGAGCGCGGGTTGTACGCCTTTCTCTCACTCTCCTAAAACAAGCATTTAATAATGTTGTTTTTATTTTGGAACAACACTTTTTACTATGACGTAAGCCACCAATAAAAAGCTTTTTTATAACGGAAATACTACTTAATTTAAAAGAAAATATTAGACTTAATAGTAAAAACAATCATATTTAAAAATCACATCTTTATAACGGGTGCTTTTTAAGACTCCTAGATCTTTTACTTAAAATATGTTTTAAACCAGCGGTTCTCAAACTGTGATACCTACGCGTACCACAAGTGGTACGTGAGGCATCCAAATGTCGTACGCGAATAGATAATAGATGTACTTGCCTTCAAATAAAATTATCGTCGGCTCAATTTTATTGAAAATCTATCATTTCCCACATTTTATATTGTAAATGGCAACACTGTTGTTGGTGTTTATTAAACGGGTAATCCCCTGCTCGTTTTAAAATCGTGACGAGTCATGCGTATTTTGTTTTGTTCTGACAAATTGTTGTTTTAATGCTATAAAAATTGGTTCTGTTTCACGGTTATCAATATTTCTTATTAAACTACAAGTTCAATAAATACGTACACGCAGCACAACTTGTTTTATTTAGTTCGGTGGTACTCGATTAATCCACATTGCACATGAATGGTACGCGAAAAAAGAAGTTTGAGAACCGCTGTTTTAAACCGTGCTGTAATTTTTAACAATATTTTGACATTTATGTTGAGTAATGTGTCAGTGACGGCTGGTGGATTTTGCGTATACCAATATCTTAGTTATTAGACATGGGCCCACACACAGACCAACAAACAAATGGACCAGTTTATTTACATTGAAAAGAGTGGAAAGGAACAAAAATAAATATTTTCCCTCAGTTGTCACATCTGACTTTATTTGCTTTGAAGTATCTATATTTTACTAAAAGATACTTGGAATCCACAACTTATTTAATTTATAGTGAAAAATACCAATAGTGAGTGATATAAAAATGGTGAAGCAGTGCTACGTTTGTAAAAGACTTGGATCCAAGAATTTAAAACTTTCTTTTCATAGGTTAGTTTATTTACAAAACAAACCCTGCCAGGGGCGTAGAAACTAAATAAATAAATGAATTCACTTAAATTTTAGATTTAAAGAGCCAGATTCTACATTATCTGGAACACTAACTGACAAGGCTAGTATTTTGTTATACCTATATATTTATATATATTAAATATAATTTTTACATAGGATTGCAAAACACAATAAAAAATGTAGAGATGGGAATCGGAAAGTTTCCATTTTAAGGAAACTTTCCGTTTTGGAAAGTTTCCAATTGGGAATTTATTTTCATTTTGAAAGTTTCTTTTAAGCTACCGGAAACATTTCTTGGAAACATTCATTGGAAACTTTCCTTGTTTTTTTCATTTAAATTTCAATTGTTTAACCGCTGATTTTCGTGATACAAGGCCAAGAAACTTTGAATAAGAATTTAATTTGTGTTAATTTAAAGCAGAAGAAGAAGTATAAATAATGTAAGTTATGATACATAACCTCAATGAAGCCGGATTATTCAGCATCAACACAAAAAACTTTTTTAAAAAAAGGTAAACAAAATAAAAACAATAAACAAAGTTAAAATCATTCTTACATTTTTGTTGTTTATTTATAGGCATAGCACAATGGCCAAGAGAAAAATCTACTGTTTGGAATTATTACAAAATAGTGCAAAAAAACAAAAAAGACCATGCTCAAAGCAAGTTCTGTAAGAAAATCTAGGTCCTTAATGCGACCAAAAATTTGACAAAAAGTTAATGTGTTATATATTTTTGCAAATCCCTGGCATAAAAAAAATATTTTAGGAAAAATTTTTTTTTTTTGAAACTTTTGGAATATTTCGGGAATTTTCGATTGAAAGTTTCCGGGAATTTTCGTCAAATGGGAATTTTCCCATCTCTAAAAAAATGTACAATTTAATATTTTTATTTATCCCTAAAAACAGAACGCCACTGGTGTGGGAACTTATTTATAAATACCCCTTACTCCTTTACCCCTAATCTAAATAGTTCTTGGCAACAAAACATTGTGTATTTTGAATGGGAAAGTCCATTTTGTTTGTAGGTCTGTGGGCCCACACCAAATTTATAAGAGTTCATAATGACACTAAATTAACAAGTTCTTCGCAAGCAGAATTTAAATAGAAGTTTGCAAAAAAAGATAGCTTTTGCTACGCCTACCATGCAGCCTGACCCCCCTAATAAAGATAATACAAATTTTACTGGTGCAATTTATAATTTACCATAGTTTACCGACAAATTTGAAAAAATATTACAGATTTAAACTATTTTAAATAATTTTTATTTATTTTTCTAAAATAAAAAAAAAATAAATTGGGATAAAATCTGCAATATTTGGAATTTTTAAATAAATTTTAAAATTTGTCGATAAACTATGGTCAATTATAAATTGCACCACTAAAATTTGTATTATCTTTATTAGGGGGCCTAGCTGCAGGGTAGGCGGAGCAAAAACTATATTTTTTTCGCAAACTTCTATTTAAATTCTGCTTAAGAAGAACTTGTTTATTTAGTGTCATTATAAACTAATATAAATTTGGTGTGGGGCCCATTTCTAATAACTAAGATATGACATATGCAAAATCCGTCACTGTTATGTGTCTCACCTTCTAAAACTATATTTTATCTATTATTGCAAAATATTGTTTTTTCCGTATACCGCATTTTCATTTGAAACATATACACTCGAGTGAACCCGACTGAACCTGATCGCCCTTCCCCACGCATTGTAAGCGGATTGCCGTAGGCAGTGTTGCCAGATTGGGCGACTTCTCGCAATTTGGGCAACTTTTTTGAGAAATTCACACTGCGCCTTATTGGGCTACTTTTTAAATTAAACTCCTTTACAATTTTTAGATAAGGACAAAATATCTAATATTCAAATACCGTAACTTGTTAAATATTAAATGGAAAGAATATTTCACTAATGGGATTTCCACAAACACTGAAATATTTTGGCAAAAAGTAATGACAGTAAAAGACACTGCAGGAGACTTGATGTTTCATGATATTTCATTACTTGCATGTACAAAAGAAATTCTAGCATTTATAATATTATATGATATTAGTGAGAATGAGAACAAAATAAATATACGTTTAGAAATATTAAATTTGTAAAATTTGTAAAATAAAATGTTTTTTAAACTAATTTTTATTTGTCAGTCTAGTGCAAGTAACCAATTCCATTCCCTGTGGCAAGGTTGCGACTTTTGTGCGACTTTTTTCAGAAGTGTGATTTTGAGTTTTGTTTTTAAGGGAATTACTTTATTTTTATATTTTAGTTTTTAAAGGGAATGTTTTATGATTAAACGTTTTTTCTTATAAAATTAATTAATTAAAAAGTTAAATGCAAAACAAATAATGATTTTACACCTTTAAAAGTGATTACGTTACATTTTAAGTATCTGAATCATTTTTAAAAGTAAATTTACTTAATAATGCGTAATTCGTATTAATAATCTAGAACAAACTTAGACCCAACTACTGATGATTTATGAAAACCGTCTCTCAGGCCGACAGTCTCGGCGTCTCCCACTCTTAAAAATTATTCTCCCACTCTTAAAAATTATTCTCCCACTCTTAAAAACCGAATGCATGTAAAATCAAAGTACGGTATGATACACATTATAAATTGTGTGCCTACCAACGTGAATAATGAACTCATTATTCACGTTGTTAGGCATTAGTGATTAGCCGATTTCAATATTCACTGTGATTTAAACCAATCGGGTTTTAAAGTGGAAGAAGGCAACTGTAATATTTAAAATTAATAAAAAAGTGAGGTTACCCATTTAACAGATGGCAGATTTTATTTATTTAATTTTAAAAATTATTTAATTATCTTCTTATTGGAGTAGATAAAGTATAGTATTACACTCGAGATTATGCGCATTATCTCTCGTATAATAATATACTAATATTAAATGGAATCAGTAATAATTCCCCACTTTAAATTTTTGTTTGAAATTTTCTGATTTTTTCCTGGAAAATAAATTTCCTGAGATTTCCGTTTTTCATAAAATGGCCACCCTGAAATAGTAGCACTCGCAATCTTTTAGAGCGCTTTATCTCTAAAAAATGGATTAACGCTGTTTTTAAAAAAATCGTAAATAATGAATTTTTTTTATAAATAATTATTTAATATACTAAAGTGGCCTTAACATAATCATACAAACTGAAAAAAACTTTCAAAATACACACTAGGGTGGTCGTTAAAAATTAATTTTTTTGCGACGCCCCCTAAAAAGCTTTTTTTTATGAAAAAACACGAAATTTTTTTTAATTAAAAACAACACGCTCCTCAAGACGATCTAAGTTAATTTTTTGGTAAAATCATGTTTTTTTGGGATTTTTTTATGAAAAATAAAATTGTATTTGGGATATTATAGAACCCAAATAAATAAAAAAACAATAGTTAATTGAAATAACAATAGACAAAAATTTAAATTCAAAATTTTTCCAGTTGATTTGGTATTAAATAAAAAAAATGAGATACTCAAATTGATATTTTTATTTTAAAACTAAATTAGTTCAAACGTAATTTTAATATTTAGATTTCTTCACTCCAAGGTGAAGTTATTTCATTGTAAATAATTTTTAAATCTCAAAAAATTATTATTCCATATTTTCAGAAAAGACATGATTATACCAAAAAATTAACTTAGATCGTCTTGAGGCACGCGTTGTTTTTAATTAAAAAAAATAAAAAACTTTCCCAGTGTTTTTTTATCAAAACAAAGTTTTTAGGGGGCGTCGCAAAAAATTTAATTTTTAACGACCACCCTAATACACATACTCTTGTTTTCTTACCAATAAATAGGCAAACATCCTCTGCAACTCCTTAAGCGTCGGTTCGTGTTTCGAATGTTCGGTTTCGGCGCCCAGAATCGACGCTCTGGCTTGAGGCATCATGTAGAGGTGCTGCATGCAGGAGGCCATGTAACAAGTCGCACCCAAATTTGTTAGTCCCACGTATCCGCAGTCTGAGCGACCGTCTTCGTGCGGCCAATAGTCCCAGGGGTAAGGGGAATTGGGACCTAAGAAACAATAATAATTTTAATAAAGCTGAAACGTTAAAAAATTATTTGTTGTAATTTTGAATCATAAAATTATTGGCGAAGCCAACAAAGTTAATAGTATATCAAAGACGCCATTTTTTCACACTGCTGAAACGTTAAAACATTATTTGTTGTAATTTTGAATTATAAAATTATTGGCGAAGCCAACAAAGTTAATAGTATATCAAAGACGCCATTTTTTCACACGAGGACAAGTTTACTAAAAGAGCTGCGATTCAGCGGGTTTTGTAATGAACGAGTGTGCGAAAACGTCATGAAATAAATGATTTTTACAATTTTTTCTATTTGCCAAAATTTTGAGAATTATAACTGAGGGCCTTGAAATAAAAGGAGTATTATTAAAGGAGTCATATTAAAGTGCAATATAAAAGATTCTTAGATATTTGCATTTAAAGTTAAAAAATTAAATAAAACAGTATATTATTTTTTTATAAATGTTGGTGATTTTAACTGTACGAGAAAGTGACACATTAATAGAAAAAATTATTTAACACTTTATAATGTTCCTAAAAACTTTTTAGAAAAAAGTCAAAATAGTGTCAAAACTAGGGTTTTAACATATTGTGGGGGCATTTAGGGCCACATTTTAAAAACATTGTTAGACAATAAAAAATGCAGAAAGATAGTAAATTAAAATAATCAAAACAATGCAGAACTCTTTCCAAATCTCAACAAAGATCCAAGCTGCATGGTTACAAGGAACCAACCGAAATTATGGGTTCAACGTTATAATTTTAATTCTAAATCGCTATAGCGAGTATAACGTTGCACCTAGAATTAACGAAGTAATGAAGGAACCACATACATTTTCGGACGCTCAGTTTGACAAAAGTAAGGGCTGGTTCCATTTTGCATCACAATGAAAAAAATTCTAGTGAAAATTTTCCTTCGGAAGATGGGCCGTTTTTTCGCCTAATTTGCCTGGACTGTACTGCCCTGCTAAGCAAAAGAGCCGTATCTGCAATACTAAGTAATAAAGGACAAAAGTCAGTTTTTATTGTTTTTAACAATAAAAATTATGTTTTATCCTTTATTACTAAATATTGCAGATACGGCTCTTTTGCTTAGCAGGACAGTTTATGTAATGTTTGATATTGTAAAATATAAATTTGACATTCTAAAATTAATTTTTAACATTCTTAAAGAAGATTTGACATTTTTAAGTAATTTGGAGTAATTTGATAATACTATATTGTGCGACTAGCGTGGAGTGGATAAGATGGCGTTGATTGTTTGATTTATACTGAAACGCTTCCAAAACAGCAGACGTCAGTACGCATCGACTATCAGCGCCGCTGGTGGTAATACAAGACCTAATTTGTGCACGTGAATAGGCAGGTTTTTTCAATTTTTCCTATTTAGTTCGGAATCCTTTTGTAGGCTGATAGGGTGGTTTATTATTTTCTTAAAAATTTATTCACACCGACATTTCTCATCTTATCTGTGGTTATCGTAATTACACAAAATTGAACTGAATTCTTTTATAAAATAAGAAAAAGTATAGTGTTAAACTTTTTTGAAATGGCTATTTCCATTTGGATGAATTACTTCACTAGCCCTTGGCTCATGCAGCAATATTTTTCAATTGTTGAACAATATACTATTGTAACCTTGTACATTTTTGACACTCTTAAAAGGCTAGATTTTTTACAGCCTAGGGAGTAAAAATTCATTATTTCTACTTTTGACCAGTAAATAATTCCTGACTTTCGTCAGATCTACCTAACCTCACTAATTTCGTTTTGTTAGCTACTTAAAATTTGCAAAACATGGAAACTGATTTTAAAATTTGCAATTTATTGTTTGTTAACATTCAATAGAGCTTCGTTATACGAGCTAAAGTTTTTTGTATCGCACAAATTTCATTTTCATATGTGAAATAGCGCCTTTGATAAAAAAATAAAAGTAAATTATTTGAAATTTGAAAATCGCTATATGACGGTGAAAATAAAAGTTGGAACGTGTCACGTTTTGCAATTAATCTTACTAGACTCACTGGATTCCAGCTTGCCCGTAAAGATTAATTTACAAAGCTTGACACATAAATAACTATTAAATGTATGTATTACTCCTATTCAAATTCTTAAGGGGGTAGCTGCTGGGTGCAGGGGGTAAGGTTGGCTAACCCAATTTTTGAGCATTTAGTACATTTATTTTTTCTATATTAAGCCATATTACTTTTCAAAACAATTAATTTTTATGTTTTTATCACGAACGAAAATAATATAATAACAGAACATCAGTCAGGTTTTCGAGAAAAACATTCATGTGAATCGGTAATTTTGAGTATATGTGATAACTGGTTAAAAACTATAGATAATAATAATATTGTTATTGCGGTTTTCCTTGATTTTAAAAGAGCCTTTGAAACTGTAAATAGGTTATTATTAATAAAAAAGTTGGAAAAATTAGGTATAGGGGATAAAGCTTTAAGTTGGATGATTTCTTACCTTACAGAAAGATATCAAAAAGTCAAATTTAATAATACGTTTTCTAGTCAATTACCAACCTACCATGGAGTCCCACAAGGAACAGTATTAGGTCCTTTACTTTTTATATTGTATATAAATGACATTACAAAATATATTAAACATTGTCAAATTAAACTTTTTGCGGATGATACAATGATTTATATATATGGTACAAATATTATGGAAATGTGTGATAAACTAAATTGTGATCTTGATAGTATTTTTAAATGGCTCTGTGATAACAATCTATGTGTAAATAAAAGTAAATGTAAATATATGTTTTTAGGTAGTAAATATAACTTAACTAAGGTTAGTGATGTAACCCTTAAAATTGACAGTGATGTTTTGGATAGAGTAAATAAAATTAAATATTTAGGAATAATAATTGATGAACAACTAAATTTTTATGATCATGCTAATTATATTAGAAATAAAATATCAAAAAAAATGTATTTTTTAAGGAGAATGAATAGGTTTTTAAATTTTCAAAATCATATGTTGTTATATAAGACATTAATTTCACCCCATTTTGATTACTGTTCTATAGTTTTATATAGGTTGCCCCAAAATCAAATCCAAAAATTTCAGGTTTTACAAAATAAATGTATGAGGTTAATTTTAAAATGTAATAAATATACACCTGTTAAAACTATGTTAGAAGTGTTAAATCTATTAAGTGTTAAACAGAGAATATATTTTAGGACTATGGACTATATATATAAAATAAAACACGGAAAAGTGCCAAAATATCTATGTGACAAGTTACAATATGTTAATTCCATACATGCATATCAAACTAGAAATACAAATGATTTTTATATAGAAACTTCTAGAACTGCTAAATGTATGAACAATGTTTTTAAAAATGGCCTTATTATGTTTAATAGTTTACCAACAGAAACTAAAAATTGTGATAATTATAATAACTTTAAGAGATTACTATTGACATAATATATTATATTATATTAAGCAAAACGTGTATATGTAATGTATTTATTTATGTAAGAAACTATAATAGCTTTAGCTAAATAAACGTTTATTTATTATTTATTATATTTATTTATTTATAGTAATATTGTGCTTAATTTAAGAATGGTTTTTCTCAATTATCTTTAAAACAAATCGATCGATTTTAAGAAATAATACAGGGATTTCAAAGACCTTTAAAATGATTTATTACTCAATACACCTTCCCCATTCAAATTCTTAAGGGGGTATCTTCTGGACGCAGGGGTTAAGGGTGGGAAACCAAATCTTGCCATGTAAACTTGTCCCCCTCATTATCAAACTTTACGTGTCTCGGAGTTTTTTCAAAAAACCCTCCAGTTTCCGAGACATTTATGGTGGGTTTTAAAATGAACACCCTGTAGATTATTTTGTTAATTATTACTTACCAGGTTGATGTTGTTTTAACAATTTTTCATGCAAAACTGCATAATTCTCTGGGCATCCTTTGACCAACTCCACTAACAAATCAAAAGCGGCTGTTCTAGACCTCGGTGATTTGCATTTTGGGACGTAGCGAAGTTTTGAGTTGGGCAGAGCAAATAAAAAATTAAAAACCTAAAAAAAAAGAATTTGTTAAACAATATTTCAAAGTATGCTTAATAGACTTGTAAAGACTGCATTAAAACTGGGCATAATTATAAATACAATTTTTACAACTTAACGTTAAAAGTATTGCAAATTTACTTTGTAATAATTATTTTTTAATAACTCAAATTAAAAAAAATCTCTGCTTTCCCTGTTAAGACGTCATACTACTAGTACATTTTAGAGTTTTACCACATATAAATATGTGGTTTTAACACACCTTGACACAATTTTTAACAAAATTTAGAGCAATGTTGTCAGATGTAAAATTGCAAAAAACATGTTGTCTCAAATAATGTCCAAACTTTGTTTTAAATTTTTCTACCTTTCCTACCTCATTCAAAAGCTCTTGCCCTCCTTTACTGGTCTGAAATGGAGGTCTGTGTTTGATCAAGTTGGTGAGGAGATTAAGTAAACCAATGAGACCGTCGTCGTCCACAGTTCGATGCCTTGTTTCGAGGTACTCCCTGGTCAAAACGGAACGCGCGATTTTGTCCGTAAGATCGTTGACGTCTATCAGGGAACTGATTGGTTCCTCGTAGGATTCCTTAACCATGTCGTCGGGTAGGCTGTCCACTAGACGGGACACCAGCCAGAAGTAGTCGCGACACGCGGGACCGTAAGGTTCCTTGCCTTCTTCTGGGGCCTGCATTGACTAAAAGAAATTAAAGTAACATGGAAAAAATTCACTATGGAGTTCCGCAAGGGTCAGTGCTAGGGCCAATATTGTTCCTAATTTACATCAATGACATAACTGAATGTGATGTTGAAGGTGAAACAGTTTTATTTGCAAAAGATAATGAATGGACTTTTTTATTCTTGTTAAGTAAGTGATGACTAGGATTTTAAAGTGTCGGAAAATAAACGGAAAATAGGGAAAAAAACCAGGTCTTGGAAAAACTTTCTTTATTGGTAAAAATTGATTTTTTTTTGAAAAATATACACATTTGAAAAAGTGGCAATCAACAACTTTAACATTATTTTAATTTAAAAAATTATCCTTTGAATTGAATTAAATTAAATTGATTTAAGAAAATAAACGTAATCCTTAAATATACTGTCGGTTGGGTCTTTTTTGCAAAAAGTCCATTTAAAATATCCAATTACAAAATAATGAATGATTTATAAAGTTAAATTACAAAATTATAATATTATAAATCGAAGTGTCAAATAAAACGAAAGTTTGTATGGTAATACAGCACCAGTTTTTTTGCAGCCCGGTAGAATATTCTTACTGAATTAAAATAAAAGGAGTAATTATTATAATCATAATATTATAATTATAATCAGAGTCGAAACTTCCCTTTTTTCTTGATATCAGTGTACGGATATCATCGGTAAAAATTTGTAAATTTTCAGAAAAATTGACTTGCATTTTGTTCATATTACCCTTTGAATAAAATTTATAAAATGCAAGTCAATTTTTCTGAAAATTTAAAAAAAATTTCTTTTTTTTGCCGGCCTAATTTTTTCAGAAATTTTAAAACCCTATATGTGACAGGCTCAAAGTTATCTAAATACCATTGTGTGGATTAAAATAAAACAGTAATAAACTTAAAGAGTCCAAGTGCAACAATAAATGCATAAAAAATAAAGCATAGTTTGTTTCTGCGATCTGTTGTGAGAATTTAAAAACAAAAATTGTTAGTAATTTATTTATAAAAGAAAGCTAATAAAACCTTTATGATCAAACATAAAAAGTGTTGTATCAATGTTTTTATATAATTTGTAGAGATGGGAATCGGAAAGTTCCCATTTTAAGAAAAGTTTCGGACGGGAATTTATTTTTAAAGTTACCGGAAACTTTGCCTGTTTTTTATGTAATTGTCAATTGTTTAACAGCTAATTTTCGAAGTTAATGCCAAGAAACTAAATAAGAAGTTAATTTGTGTTAATTAAAAGAAAAAAAGAAGAAGTTTGTTAAAGATCTCATCATCCCAATTCATAAATCATTTGCAAAAAAAAACCTTTTTATAAAAACTTTTTAAAAGGTAAACAAAATAAAAAATAAAATAAAAACTTTTTGCCATCCTGGCACAAAAAACTTATTTCCGCAAAAAAAATTTTTATCAAATGGGAATTTTCCCATCTCCAATAATTTGTATAATTTCGTTAACGGTTGGAACAGATGGGACTGCAAATTCTTGCTTCCACTAAGAACTGATTCAAAACAGTTTCAAACCGTTTCAGAACCGTTTAAAAATTCGATTAAATAGCGGACTGGGAGTTCTTAGGACTACTAGTTCCTATTTTGCAGATTAATCAAACAGATTTTCGTTATTGTGCATTATAAATGAATAAAAAAAATCGCATATTACCTCTAATTTCTGCGTTCTCATCCCTTCAGCGTTATTTAAATAAGACAAAAGCTGGGAAAGCATGGGGGCCACCAAACTCGATTCCATACTGTCTCCAGAGGCAGAAATTCCCAAACATAACCTATAAATGGCCGAACAAACCTCCCTTCTCACAGGCGGTTCTGGATCTTCCAAAACAAGTCTTTGCAGCCATGTGGAAAAATTCGGACTTTGGAACAACACTTGTCTAGCCTCCTCGCTGCAATGTAACCAGGATACTAAAAGAGCCATTGCGTAGTGTACAACCTGGGCTCTACCCCAGAATCCAGTTTTATAGTGATTTGGGTCCTTGGGTAGAGATGCTTCTTCTAAAATGCTCGTCAACTGTGGCATTGCCGTTTTTACGTCGATTAAGGCCAAAAGAGACTAAAAAGAAATTTTATATTGGGACAATTATGTTTAAAACCACATTATAATTTTTACTACAATTTGTATTTGTATTTGGCATCATTAAAATAAAAGTAAAATTAATATTATTATTATTAAAGGAATATTAATATCTATAATAAAAATATAATATCATGGAAAACTTAAGAGATGTGACCATCTGGTGCAATTAATAGTTCTATATAACTTTTATGCAATTAATATCCTTGAAAATAAGACAACTTTGGTGATATGTAAAACAAATATTATAAATATTGCCCAACACCAAAACAAAACACAAAGTGCTTAAAGTTCTTTTCGCCAACGTTGTTGGTATCTTCAGAAGTGAAGTGTAAGTATATAAAAATTATTTTAAGCACTGTGTTTTGTTTTGCTGCTGGGGAATATTTATAATATTTGTTCAATTAATATCATTTTGTTTCCTTTACTCAGAACAGAACTAGTGTGTTGTTTTCAGAGAGGCACTTTTTGTCAAAAAAAACTACCGGGAATTCGGCATTTAAAAAAGCCGATATTTAAATAAAACATATGTGTAAGGTGACATCTAAGGCCAATTGGTGCACAATTGGTCAAACAGTTTGCAAACAACTGTTGATTTACTGAGTTATGAATACTCGAATTATTCGCATACTGGAATATTTGAATACTCAAATATTCTCCAAATATTTAAAAAATTAAATATTTGGACAATCGAACATTAAAATACTTCAAATAATAAAATTTAAAACTAAATTTTATTAAAATTATACGTTTCTTATGATAAAGTTTTTTCTTAAATATTTAAGAAATAAATAAATTCCTCGTTCTTATTTCACTGGCGCTGACGAGCAATGTTGTGAGGTCTAGTAATTTAATAAAAACTTTTGTTTTTTTTTCTAATAGCATATACAGGATATCCGTTTTTTGAGCCTAAGCATGGATAAGTTGACTATCCTATCTCGATAGTTGTTAAAGTTCTTCTTCTTCAATTTTTTTTGGTCTAGCTAATTTGAAAGCTATTTGGCCAGAGTTTTTAAAGTTAGCGAAAAGATTAATAATGTCTGAATTGGAATTAAAAATTACAAATTGGTCGGAGTAAAATTGCGCAACTTTTTCCTAATTTAACCAACTATGTATCTTTAAAGATAAGCAGGATACTCATGCTTATCCAAATAATCAAATATTTGAATATCCGAATATTTGAATAATTAAATGTTTGATTACTCGAATATTCGAATTATTCGTAATCGATTCCCAGACTTAGTAAAAAGTGCTTTAAAAACGACCTTAAATATATAAATAATAAATAATAAAAATAATTTAATACAGCGCTGTCAGGTTGCCAAAGACTTGTTGGCCCATACATTTATAAAACGGATCATTTGCCCCCTGGGGGTTTTGTTATTTACTTATAAACACTATTGTGTACAAGAGTGTCATTTAGTACCCATACAAAAAATTAAGAAATTGTATTTTTCATTATTTAAAACAATAGTGCCTAAAAGTATTACTTTTGTCATTTAGCAACCAAAATGACAATCAAAAAGTAACAAAAAGTCCATTTTCCCAAAACTTTTAACAAAATATAATATTGCTTACCTCATTTAAGTTTGGTATAATGATTTTTTCGTTACGAGATGGTCTAGTTTCTTGAGGTAAAGGGTCTACGCCCAACTGACATAAGATTTTTAATAAAGATGCTAGACAATCCTGCTGCCAATCACTGCCGTCTCCACCGTCCCTTTGCAAAACGCCTAAAAATGATTTAAATAATAAAAAAATATAAATATAAAGCTGTAATCCTAAGATTAATAAAATTATAAGAAAAAAGCTGACCTGACATAAAAATATCAAATAAATGCCTCAATCCACCATACTGTATAAACTTTATGCACCAAGGGTCCTCTTTGCTGTCACCTTCCACGTCGAGTTTCGAATTTGTAGGCTTTGAGCTTAAAGATTCCACGATGTAGAGCGAGTACATTAGTTTTTGCGCGCTAGAGGGGTCTAAAAGCTCGGCCAGGGGCCTGTCCAGCTTTTGAAACCCCTGAAGAAGACTGGGACTTGTCGGCATTAGGCTCAAAATGTCCCAGACTCTTCGGCTCAGAACCTGAGCTTTTGTGTGTGGGATCTGTCTCTGAAAGTTAAAGATTGTGTTAATTATTAAAATTTAAAAACAGGTTAAAACAATTCGGTCATTTTAAAATATAAATTCCTAATATGGTTACAACATTCAAAATTCTTATAATTAAATAGGAACCCACTCAAACACACACAAAATTTCCACCGTTTAGAAGGAGTTCAGTGACATGCACACGTACAGAAGAATTATATACCGCATTTTCATTTGAAATATATCCACTCGAGTGAACCCAAATGAACACGATCGCCCCTCCCCAGATACATTGTAAGCGGATTACCGTAGGCGACAATTCAGTTATGTTTTGCATTTGCTAGTGTGTATTTCGAGCGTTTTAACATAAATTAATTTCTTTTATTTAAAATTATAAGTTATATTGTCCTACACATTGCAAGAGAAAATTGACATGAAAAGCTGGTTTTTAGTGGGCAATTGTCTACGTCAAACAAGAGGCCTATTCTCAGTTAAATATCTGGAACGTTCTATTCCGTCAATTAGAACAATAACAAACGTTATCCAAAGGTTCAAAACAACTGGTTGTATTTTGGGGTGTAAATGCCACAGAATTGATGTAGATGCAGAGATGAAAGAAATAATGGTTTGTGCAATGGTAGAAGATTCAAATACATCAATTCCCAAAATAGACGAAGAGACCGGCATTATTGTGGACAAAGTCCACAAAATATTTTTTTTTAAATCGTGCATATAAATACCAAGTACTTACATCAAGACATTTTTTAAGACGAGTACCGGAAAATAGAATTTTGTGAAAACATGATGGAACGCGCAAATGACGATGAACATTTAATTGAAAAAATAGTATTTACCCCACAATTAGGGTTTTAAAGTGTCAAAAAACAACTGTTTTTTTTTCGATTTTTACCAGGTCTTGAAAAAAATATATTTTTTTGGGAAAATTGATTTTTTTTTGTAAAATTGGATATTTTAAATGAAATTCTTTTGAAAATAATGAATGATTTAGAAAGTTAAATTACAAAATTATAATTTTATAAATTGAAGTGTCAAATAAAAGTAAAGTTATGTTAGGTATTATGTTATTTTTACTGAATTAAAATAAGGGGAATAATTAATATAATCATAATATAAAATTTCAGAAAAATCCTTTCCATTTTTTCGTATTACCTTTTGAATAAAATGAAAAAAAATGTAAAAGTCATTTTTTCTGAAAATTTTACAATTTTTCCGTTTTTTTTCGCCGGCTCAATTTTTTTGGAAATTTTAAAATTTTAAAGTGTTGGCTATCACATAACACAAGAATAGTGATTGAGTATTTACGAAAGATTTTTCCCCAAAGGATAATTTCTACCAGAGGCGCTATTCGCTGACCAGCAAGGTCGCAAGACTTGTCTCCTAACGATTTTTTTCTATGGAAATATGTAAAATCTACCTTGTACCATCATTAAAAGATAAATAATTCGGGAGAATTAAAGGCAAGAATGCATACAGCGTTTGAGACAATTTCTCCAAATATGCTAACTAATATTTGCACCGAATTTTATGACAGACTGGGCTTTTGTTTAACGCAATTTGGGGGAACGTTTGAAAATAAGCTTTGAATAAATAATAATTAATTTATTTATTTATTTACATTTATATTAAGAAGTTTGATTTTAAGAGAATTGATTTATTTTTATTTTAGTTTTTAACGAGAATTTTTTATGTTTAAACGTTTTTTTATAAGAAAACACTTTTAGTTAAATGCAAAACAAATAATGATTTTGCTCCTTTAATTAATAATTTACTGTTAAAAGTGATTACGTTACATTTTAAGTATCTGAATCATTTTTAAAAGTAAATTTACTTAATAATGCGTAATTCGTATTAATCCAGAGCCTGAATTACGAAAACCGTCTCTTGGGCCATGTAAAATGAAAGTACGGTATATTAAGAAAACCTACTTTTATTAATATAAATAAATAAACATAAAAACATGATTTCAGGATTTCTTAAAATATTTAAAATAAATTATTCTCGAATCACATTTTTGGCCATATCCCCTTGTTTCACCAAGGTCTTTAATTGTCTTTAAATTTGAATTGTGTTAACTTAGAGTAGAGAAGAGAGAACCCCTCGCCATTATTTGGTCGATTTTTGGTCACACTTTACTAGACATTTCTGTAACAGGCGTTACAAATCCCCTCTCTTCCTTTTTCTAAGGTGTCACAAACACAGACAACACTATTTAAACATTATATTTTAAGAACTTACCCCTCCTTTCACTTGTATCTTCATAGAACTCAGATTGTGCATCAGAGAAAAGAGTTGTTCAAAGTATGAGGGTTGTAACAAGAGCAAAGTGGGAAGCGACTCTCGAGGTGGGGGAGGCTGCATGGAAGGCGAATCGAGGCACTCGCGTTTTTTCATATTTCGTGACACACCCAGGGAAATATAAACCATCTAAATAAAAAATATTAGTTTTAGACATTGTTATGTTTTTAATGTCGATAAAATACCTGATTATCTTTAAACCCCATCTCTCCCAAAGTCTTCTCATCACAATCCGGGGGCAACTCTTGCCCCTGAGTTATAATCCTTATCCAAGGATCGTTGTTCTTAACGTTACCTCCCGAATGCTGTTCGTCCTGGTTCTTCGCTTGCGACAAACCGTCGCACCACTTGACAATTTCCGCCCGTAAATCCGCCACGTAGTCCGTGGTGAAAAGATCGAAGTAGCACTTTTCGGAGGAGCTCCCCGATTGGACGATAAGCCGAACAGGCGTGCTCGAACGGTCCCCGAGCGCAGCCGAATGGCTGCCGATGCCTTTGCCTTCCAGCGCCCACTTGCGCAGGTGGTAGGCGTACCTAAATGTAAGGTTATGACGATAAAAATACCGTTATCTTTATAAAAAAAAGATACAAATGTTAACTAAGCTTTCTAAAATACAAAAGATTATAGACATATTATTTAAGGGGTTACATACATTTGAGCTGGGTCAAAAAATCGGATTTTTATTAAATATTCTTACAACATATCCTTTTAAGAATATTTACTTAAAATTTCATCAAGATCGGAGCACTAGAACTTATGTTATAGCAATTTATAGCGCGCTACCTCACGAACATTTAAAGGCAAATTGAAGGAACTTAAAACTTATCTCGGAATTGTATTTTTTGAGTGCTGTTGCCGTGAGCACGATTTCTCAAACACCAATTTACTGATCAATCTGAAATTTGGAAGTATTGTACTTCCTCCGTGAACGAAGGGATTTTCATTTGGAAGAAAATTTCTATTTTTTTCGACCGGAAACCTCAATTTTTGTTAATCGATTTTTTGGGAAAACCACCGCCATTTGCGTACACATTTTGTTTTGCAAAACCCTTCGTTCACGAAGGGGGTGATACTATTTACTAATATGTTTTTTTTCCTCAAGATCGTTTTTTTTTACTAAATATTCTTACAACATATCCTTTTAAGAATATATACTCAAAATTTCATCAAGACAGGAGCACTAGAACTTATGTTATAGCAATTTATAGCGCGCTACCTCACGAACATTTATAGGCAAATTGAATGAATTTATCTCGGAATCGTATTTTTTTAAAAGTGCTGTTGCCGTGAGCACGATTTCTCAAAAACTTATTTACCGATCGATCTGAAATTTGGAAGTGCCATTTGCGTATACATTTTTTTTGCAAAACCCTTCGATTACGAAGGGGGTATGTACAACAGATATTGATGAAAAAAAAACCATATTAGGATCCTAATATGGTTTTTTTTTCATCAATATCTGTTGGGCGGTTTTCGATATTCCATGCTCACCTCTTAACGCTTAAAAAATGGCGTTTCGGGGCAAGGGCCCATTTTCCACAATTTTGCATATTTTCGCATACAAAATTGTTCACAAATACTTCGTAACGTACCCTATTCGATGATTTATTGTTTGTTTATTATAATTATTATTATATACCAAAAAAAAACCGTTACTTTTTAAGAGCTCATATGTATGTAACCCCTTAAGGGGGAAAATATTAGGATTAATGTAAAATATAGACATTTCTAACAATAGATGATAATTTTTAGATTTAAAAAACACTAAAATTAGTAATTAATAAAAAATATTTTATATAATAAAAAAATAATTTCATGTACATAAAATAACCCCCTCCCCCACATAACACAATATTTTTTGTTTCAAGTTGAAATAATTAATTATCCAGATAATCCTTCCTGCTAGAGGTATTTATTATATTTATTTTGATTGTTTAGATTATTATTGCTGCTTATGAATGGCAGCGAACTGAATCGCGCCGGTACCTTAAAATTTTATTGCCACCCTACTGAAGACGATTATTCTATCGGTAAATTTGTTTTTAACAAAAAACAAACATAAACCTAATAAAATCGCTTAGAAAACCAAAAATAATATTGATTTTTAATTTTCAAAAACAAACAAAGTAATTTCCCCGAGCGGGATTGAACAGAAGACTAATTTAAATTAAATTCTTTTAAGCCTCCATCCGGAAAAATCTGAAAACCGAAACTTCGACGGAAAATTACATTTTACTTTTAAGGGCTGGCTCAAGCTAAATTTAGAAAAAAGACGCAAAAAAGAAAAACCAAGACTGTAGAAAGAAAAACATTCTATTTCTGTGATTTTTGTTTTACATATTTTTTATTAAGACATATACTAAATTTTCTTGTATTTTTAGCATGCAAAAAATAGATTTCCATTCCACTGTTTTAATATATCTGATATGAGAATATCATACCACATCTACTTTTTGCCCACAAACAAGAAAATTCAACAACATTTTATCCATATTTACATTGTTAAAAATAAATATGAAATATTTTGAAAATATTTCCAGATATTTTTGTGATGTTGAGGAAACATTAATAAAGTATAAGATAATGTATATAAAACATTTACAAAATGTTGTGAAAAAATAATGTATAAATATAAAAAGTAGGACATCTAAATGTTGTAAAAACATTTTAGAAGCATTTAAATGATAATGATTAATAGTTATAAAATATTTATTTAATATTTTAAATATATTTTTGTGATATGTGGGCCTACATTTTTGCATAAATCATTAGTTTTAGAAGAAATATTCATTAAAAATTGAAACCCAAAAACAATAACGCACTTTGAACTTAGAATCAACCAGAAATCGATAAACATCACAGAAAAGTAATAAATAAAAACTGTACCTTCTGCGAAAAGTTTCGATGTGAGTTTTCATTAGGAGCAGCGCCCTCTGTATGCATAGCAGGTAAGCTTCTTCGGTGCCAGGGACTGCAGATGTTAAGTCTTCTGAGGCGGCTTTAAGGTGTGTCATACATTGGGCTACGAATTGACCCTCGTTCTGTAGGTTTTGACCCATGTAGTAGCTGTTTATGTACTGAATTGCTGTGATGCTGACGTCTAAAAATTATAATAAAAAAGCTACACCAAGAATCGTTTGTATACATTAAAAACCTAAATTTAACTTAGGTTATAAAAAATTATATTTATTTATTTATTTATTTATTTATTCTCAAACAAACACAATATAAAATTGTTGTTACATGTAAGAGTGCCTATACCCTAAGTTATATCCTAAATAAACTAAATCTAAAACTAAAACTACAAAAAATTACAATTAAAAAAAGTTTGGATTTCCCTAACACTTGTATTAAAAAAATCAATATCACAATTATCAATTAAATTATTGCACTGTACCAACATAAAATTAAGCGGCGAACAGTCTTTTTTATTTATAGAAAACAGTCTTTTATTCTTTATCCTTAAATTAATTTTTGGCACTGAGATTTTAATATTATTTATAATAAACAGATCTTTATACTTTAAATTATTTACGATATAAAAAACAAACAAAACAGCTTGCATATTTCTTCTTTTTGCAAGAGTATTAAAATTAAAATCTTTTAACATAGACACATATGATACCATATATGGATAAATATTATATTTTTTATTTATAGAAAACAGTCTTTTATTCTTTATCCTTAAATTAATTTTTGGCACTGAGATTTTAATATTATTTATAATAAACAGATCTTTATACTTTAAATTATTTACGATATAAAAAACAAACAAAACAGCTTGCATATTTCTTCTTTTTGCAAGAGTATTAAAATACTTTAAATTATTTACGATATAAAAAACAAACAAAACAGCTTGCATATTTCTTCTTTTTGCAAGAGTATTAAAATTAAAATCTTTTAACATAGACACATATGATACCATATATGGATAAATATTATATTTTTTATTTATAGAAAACAGTCTTTTATTCTTTATCCTTAAATTAATTTTTGGCACTGAGATTTTAATATTATTTATAATAAACAGATCTTTATACTTTAAATTATTTACGATATAAAAAACAAACAAAACAGCTTGCATATTTCTTCTTTTTGCAAGAGTATTAAAATTAAAATCTTTTAACATAGACACATATGATACCATATATGGATAAATATTATATTTCCTTACATATAAATATCTAAGAAATCTTTTTTGTACTTTTTCAATGAGATCAATGTTAACTTCTGCTATAGGTGACCAGATAGTACATGCATATTCAAGATGAGGCCTTACTATTGCATTGTATAATTTAATAATGGATGAAATGTGTTTAAAAAATTTTGAATTTCTAAGTATAAATCCAAGTACCCTAAATGCCTTATTTACTATTGTATTATAGTGAGTATTAAATTTCATATTTGATTGCAGATACACACCCAGATCTTTACATTCATAAATTCTAGTTAAGTTAATATTATTAAGATTATAAGTCCTATTAATAAATGCAAGTTTACGAGTATATGTTATGGTAGCACACTTATCTACATTAAGAAACATTTTATTCTCCTGGAACCATTCTGATACATGGTCCAGGTCTTTTTGTAACAGTTCGCTATCGTTTTCGTTATTAATTTGTTTATAAATTTTAAAATCATCAGCAAACAGTAGGCAAGAGGAATATTTAACACTTAATGGTAAATTATTGACAAATATAGCAAACAGTAGTGGCCCTAAGATACTTCCCTGTGGAACCTCTGACGTCACTATAGTTTTTTTAAATTTGTTCTTTTATTTAAAAAATTTCACCATATTTTATGTAAATTCTTATTCAAATTGTGTTTTTTTTTACTAGTCACATAAACCATGTATTTTATACTTAAATGTACCTGGTTTGATTGATGAATAAATATTAATATAATTATATATAATCCGTTCTGAAAGACATTTTCCTACCTTATGGTTGAATAATAATAATATTAATATTTATTCATCAATCAAACCAGGTACATTTAAGTATAAAATACATGGTTTATGTGACTAGTAAAAAAAAACACAATTTGAATAAGAATTTACATAAAATATGGTGAAATTTTTTAAATAAAAGAACAAATTTAAAAAAACTCTACAACTTGTTTCTAAAGCCGACTTTTTTAGCCTTTTGGAGTTTTGCATTTTTAATTAAAAAAATTTCATATTTAAATAAAATCTTTTTTATGATATTCTTAAATGTGTGTCTGACATTCGTAAATATCGTTTTGTCATTCTTAAATAATTCCTGAGTCTTGAGTAATTTTGACAATCTTAAATATAGCTTGAACATCTAAAATGTGGTTCAACTTTCATAAAAATATCCTTAAAATTTTTAAATGCGTTTTAAACATTTCTTTTACAAGCGTGCGGAAATGGTTAATAGATTGTTTTATATATGTAGCTCTATACAAATATTTAATTTAATCATTTTTAGATAATAATAACTTATTATTAATAAGTATTTGTCGTAGAAAAACTATAGTATGCAACTCGTTTATAAACTTTTCTAGACCCTCATTTAATTAAACACTCGCTCGCAAGCTCGATAATTAAAATTCGTGACTAAAATGGCGTTTATCAAACTTGATACATAATGATATTATACTATTTTAAAAGTGGTTTTCGACATTTTTAAATAATTCCTGACATTCAGCAATTTTAAAGCTATATACCGGGTGTATCTGAGAATAGTCGCACCCCTGTAACTTTTTTATTTATAAAGATAGACACATGAAATTTTGCTTGGTTAATTAGGATATAAAATATAAGACTATAAAATTAATTTTTTGAACTTCCGGTTTCGCCGGAAATGATACCAACTTTCGATTTTTAAATGGAATGCCCTATATATTTTTACATATTTGGAACCCTGAGGAAATTCTGAGTCAGACAACATCCTCAAATGGACCTTTGACGTTTCATCATCAGAAAATGTATCATCATAAAGATCAATCTAGAGTGCTTTGAACTATCTTATTTTCTTCTAATGGGTCCACACAATGCCTGAAAAATGGAACTTGCCTTAGAAAGTTGTTATTAAGCTATTCCCAGCAGTCTAAACTTGTCAAAATTCGTTTATCTCATATAGGTCAAAGCACTCTAGATTGATCTTTATGTTGATGCATTTTCTGATGACGAAACGTCGAAAGGTCAATTTGAAGATGCTGTTCGACTCAGAATTTTCTCAGGATTCTAAATATGTAAAAATATATAGGGCGTTCCATTTAAAAATCTAAAGTTGATATCATTTCCGGCAAAACCGGAAGTTCAAAAAATTTATTTTTTACTTTTATAAGTGGAATTTTTAAAATTCAATTTTATATCCTAATTAACCATGCTTAATTTCATGTGTCTATCTTTATAAATAAAAAGGTTACAGGGGTGCGCCTATTCTCAGATACACCCGGTATATTTTGTGTTTTTGAGGAACGATTAATTGTAGCACCCGGACAATACCATGTTGCCAAATGTACCTACAACTTATTTTAATCGTTTCTCATGCGCTTTGGTTTATCAGCTGATCTACTGTCAATCAACTTAAATGGGCAAAAGTGAGCGAAACCAACCCAAACCAACACAAACTCAACAACCCAACCCAACCGACCCCGCCCCATTGGGCCCCCCGCCCCATTGAGGAATAGAGGCCATTAGGAGTCGTCAAATAAGTTGTACATTTGGCAACATGGTATTGTCCGGGTGCTACAATTAATCGTTCCTGTGTTTTTGACATAAAAATATTTTATAACCCTCTAATGCATTAATGCATCTCATTTTGATACTTTTAAATTCTTAAGCAAAGATGCCGAACGGCGATTTAAGATGAAAACACCCCCGTAACTTTTTTCTTTGTTACACGATTTTAATGAACAAAATCTCAAAAAATAGAGAATAAAAAACTGCAACTAAGCTATAAAAAAATTTTCAATGTCACTTGACAAATGCCTACTATACCATTTTTTCTATGTCAAAATTCGAAAAAAATTATTAGGGTGTTTTTTTCGAAAAGTACACCACTGAATGCGGCATGCTTCAAAATGGGTAGAAACCAAATTTCATTAAAAACGAACAATTTTTAAATCTTAAAACATCCACTCAATCTATTGTACAAATCACAAAATACCTTGTTAATAGGTTAAATCTTGCGATATTGTCCAAAAATAGAGTATATTTATAAACTGAGTATTCAATTTTGTCGAAAAGTCATCTATGTCTCATACTCTCTCATTAAGCGAAGCGCACACCACAAGCGACAAAACCAAACGTCCATGTTTTTTATTAAATTTGAAAAAAAACAGTTTTTTACATCAATATTTTTGACATCATTTTGTGATATCTAAACTTCGGATTCTAAAGGTTTTTTAATAATTTTTTAAATGTGTCCGAGTTTCTGACATTCTTTAGCAATTTTGAATTCTAAATTGTGTTTTCAACATAATTTGGTAACCTTCATCTCCCATTGCTACTGACATTCTTAAGTGTATTTGTAAAAATTATGATTTTTAAAATTCTAAAATGCATTTTTACATTCTAAAATAAGTTGTGTAACATTTTGAGTGATTTTGACACTCTAATAATTTAATTTTAGTTGACATTCTTAATTACGTTTTTAACATTCCAAAATGCGTTAAAATGCGAATATTTATAATTACCCTAAAAATATTTTTTATAAAACTTACCCGTGTTGTTGGCCTTAAGCGCAATCTTCCACATATGGTCCATGCCTACATTATTCTCCCTGTTCTCCCCCTCTTCTTCAATGGTGGCAGTCAGCAGGTGGTTCAAACTGCACAGCTGTTGAAACAAACTCAGGCAGATCATGCTGAACTTTTCCGGTGGCAGGCTGGGCAAGTGATGCGTGTAGATCCTGCGCAGCGCGTCGATTTTGAGCGCGTGCAGCTCGGTCGTTTTGGTCTGCGAAAGCAGCCAACTGAACAGTTCGTCGCAACATTCCGCGTCGCGCGCCAGGCATTCCCACAACACGTCCACTTGCTCTATGCTTAGTCTAGGAAAAGTAGAACGTGTTAAAACTATGTCATATTGAGATTTTGACACTCTTTAATGAGCCGTTTATATGCAAAATCTGACAATTGCAAAAATAGTTAAAGACAAAGAACTAGAGATGGGAATTGGAAAGTTTCCATTTTGGAAAGTTTCCAGTCGGGAATTTATTTTAATTTAAAAAGCTTTATTTTAGAGTTACCGGAAACATTCCCGGAGACTTTCCTTGGAAACCTGTTTTTTATGTAAATGTCAATGGGGTAGTTAAATTTTTTCTGACCTATACTTTTTATGGTTTTATTCAAGGCGTTTTGTAATTTTAAACATTTCTGTAAAATCGGAATTTCAATTGAGTTTACCGTTTTCGAGATATTTACAAAAAAAAATCTCCTAATTACGTCACTAGGCTATTGACAACGTTGCCAGCTTTTTCTATGGTTGCCAGTGTGTTTAGTTTAAGATTCTTACGATAGATGGCGCCACGTTATAATATTTTAGTTTTAAAACCACTTGATCTATTCTTGAAGAAGAAGAATTGATTTTTTGACGTTTCTTTTTTTCGGGTTATGTTTTTTTTAAATTTAGATTATTGAAAAACAATGTTATTGTTATTTTATTTGTAATTGATATTAGATAAGTGATTTATTAATAACGGACTCCAAAGCAGAGGAATCTTGTGGAATGGTTGGTTACATTGAACATTGGAGCTTTTAAACAAATAAAGTAAGTACCTATAGTTATAATCATATTTTGTCGTAAATGCATTTCATTAGTATAATGCCTAGTTCTTTATATTCTTTTAGATATATCTTGGACTCTAAAATATCAAACAGTAATATGATACCTCGTAATAAGGAAGATGGTGACCAAAAATGTACTCTAGAGCGTAGTATCTTCAAACAGTCCAAAAGTTTGTTATACATTTTTTTAATCTTACAAAAAGTTTTGATGCTCATCATCAGGGATGCAAGTTTTATAAAAACTATACACAAATATCATAAATACCAATACATTTACTGTTATTTTTTGTAAATTTATTTCATTCATTTTCAGCTTTATTTTGCCACTTTTTACTATGACAGTTATTAGGCAGTCTTAAGCTTAATTTTCATGTATCCGTTTGTCCGTCATCCGTATGTCAGTTTTTCAATAAAATCATCCGATAAGAAATGTTCTAATTTTCATGCATACGTTTTTTAATGATGTTTAAAGGATTGATTTTGCGACAAATAGAAATTAAGTGTCAGTATATTCACTTACTAAATTTACCTAATGCTTAATTGTCATAGTTACAATTATGTCAACAATTGTAACTTTAACAGTTAGCTGTCTAATAAATTTAAAGGTAGGTAAATATACCTTATAAAAAGAATATACTAGCCCTAATATACATTAAAATGTATAGTTTTAAAAAAGCAGGTCCATTTAGTTCTAGTTTTAATTTTTTTTTGTTTGTCCTTTCTTTTTTTCCGTTATTCTTATTAAATAAAAACTTAACAGTATAACATTATTCACATAACGAAAGTAATATTTTCGTTTTACAATCTTATTGAAAAAATATAAAAATATTTGAAAATAAATTATCTTAAAATAACGTTAGGCGTCAAAAACAGATGTTTAGTGACGGATGAGTTAAAATTATTTAACCTTTCTCTGTCAGACGTACGAAGTTGAAACTTGACGGACCGATAAAATGTCATAATTTTCGAATTATAATTGGACCAATAAGAGCGCTCCCGGATGAACGGACTGACGGACAAACGGATACATGAAAATTAAGCTTTAAGCTTAATTTTCATGTATCCGTTTGTCCGTCAGTCCGTTCATCCGGGAGCGCTCTTATTGGTCCAATTATAATTCGAAAATTATGACATTTTATCGGTCCGTCAAGTTTCAACTTCGTACGTCTGACAAAGAAAGGTTAAATAATTTTAACTCATCCGTCACTAAACATCTGTTTTTGACACCTAACGTTATTTTAAGATAATTTATTTTCAAATATTTTTATATTTTTTCAATAAGATTGTAAAACGAAAATATTTCGTTCGTTATGTGAATAATGTTTTACTGTTAAGTTTTTATTTAATAGGAATATCGGAAAAAAGAAAGGACAAACAAAAAAAATTAAAACTATAGAACTAAAAGGACCTGCTTTTTTTAAACTATACATTTTAATGTATATTAGGGCTAGTATATTCTTTTTATAAGGTATATTTACCTACCTTTAAATTTATTAGACAGCTAACTGTTAAAGTTACAATTGTTGACATAATTGTAACTATGACAATTAAGCATTAGGTAAATTTAGTAAGTGAATATACTGACACTTAATTTCTATTTGTCGCAAAATCAATCCGTTAAACGTCATTAAAAAACGTATGCATGAAAATTGAACATTTCTTATCGGACGTTTTTATTGAAAAACTGACATACGGATGACGGACAAACGGATACATGAAAATTAAGCTTTAGACAGTTATTAGGTACCTATTTATTACATTTTATTAGGTTTCACACGGTGTTTCAATGTGTAAACCTATCAATACAATTTTTAATTTTAGAATTTTCTTTAACCTCCTCTTCTTCTTCTTTCACTCAACTGACAGTGACAGACTGTCACTGACAGTATTTGTACATAACCTCTTCGGGTATTTTCTGACATAACCGAATGAAATCATTAACAAGACAACTTGACAACAGGGTAATTTTCAACCAATAGAAATCTTAGAATGTTGGTCACATGGCGAGGTTTGTGACGTCATAAAAAATTATATTTTTGGTAAATATCTCGAAAACGGTAAACTCAATTGAAATTCTGATTTCACAGAAATGTTTAATATTACAAAACGCCTTGAATAAAACCATAAAAAGTATAGGTCAGAAAAAATTTAACTACCCCATTGTTTAACAGCTGATTTGCGAAGTTAAGGCCAAGAAACTGAATAAGAAGAAGTTAATTTGTGTTAATTTAAAGAAGCAGAAGTTTAGTGAAGATCTCATCATCACAGTTCATAAATCGTTTGCGAAAAACCCTTTGCATAAAAAAAATAAGATTATCTATGCAAAATATTAAGTCTACTGAAAGTCAAGAAGAGAGTCCACCAGGTAGCAATGCCAGTACTGGAAACATAAAAGAATTTGTTGATAACATATCTCTTAACGAACAGAATAAATTGAAAGAACTATTTGCCTGAACAATTCACTCTAGTTTTTGTCCCTTTAGTTGAGTCAAAAACCCTGATGTTGTATTTTTTTCTACAACCACTATGTAAAAGTCACATTTCGTAATGGAATCGTTGCTTAGAAAATGAATCTTTTCATTAGCAAGGCAAAACTCAAATGTAAAGTGAAATTTCTGTGTGAATAGTGACAGGTCTGTGTGAAAAGTGACAGGTCTGTGTGAAAAGTGACAGGTATGTGTAAAATTTACATCGTAATTTTAACACCTGTAAACACTTTTTTAGGTTAGTATTTGGAAATATTAAGGGTCGTATAAAAAACATTTTATTTCACTTGTGAGAAAAGATTTGTTCAAGCTCGTGTTAATAACAAATAAATATTAAGCAACTACGTCCAAGTTTCAAGCTACCTGAAAGAAGGTTTGTGGTTGTAATTTTCAAGGAAAAATCGGTTATGGAAAAAAAATGTATATAAACATTTTTAAAGTTTATAAATTAACCATGTTTTTAACATTCTAAATTGTTTGTTGACATCCTTAAGTGTGTTTTTTTCAAGCGTGCAATCAATTTTATATAGACAAAAGTCAAATTATTATTAAATCTCATACAGAAATGAAGATAAAATGTCATTATATCAGATGGATCTAAATAATGTGACAGAGTTTTAAGAAATGATTTATGCTAAAAAAAAATAGTAAATAAAACTCGGCGAATGCTTAACTTATGTCCTATTTGACTTTTCTAATGGCCACTTGCACCGTAAGTTTAATAGTGGTTTTATTTTTAACACAGGTTTATTTTTCATAACTGGCTTGCACCGTAAATTAATCCTTGTTTAAATACCTCTAAACTACTGTGAAAATAAACCCCCAATTTTGGTGGTTTACATTACTTTATCTACTCCTACATTGACAAATTGTGACTTTATGGCGTTTTAGTCACGGGCTGAAGTTATCAACAGTGGCTTTTGGGCATTTTAGTCACGGGCTGAAGTTAGCTTTATTATAAATATGGAAAAAGTGAGGTTAAATCCGTTGACCGTTGACATATTTCAAATGTTTAACAAATAAAATTGGCTTTAAATCCATCTTTTTATTCGTCGTAGATAAAGTATAGTATGCAACTCGTTTTATAAACTTCTCTAGCCACTCGTTTTTATTAAGTACTCGCTCGCAAGCTTCGCTCGTGCCTAATAAAACTCGTAACTAAAATGGCGTTTATAAAACTTGATACATAATATACTATTAATCCACCGTTAACGATTTATAACCTCAAAAGTACTAGTCATGGGTATTCAAGTTCTTTTTTTCCCAAAGATATTATTTATTGACATCTTTAGCAAATCCAATAACTATAGTTATAGGTATAGAGGTCAACAAGTGAGTCACTACTAAGAACCAAAAATATAATAGAAAGAGTATTTGGAATTTGGAAAAGAAGGTTTCCAGTGATGGCATATGGCTTAAGATTAAAACTAGGTACAGTTTTGTCCATTATTCCAGCTGCAGCTGTACTACATAATATTGCTAGAGACATGAATAAACCAGAGCCGTCATTGCCTGATGATATTGATACCATGAACTGGAGTACCCTGTTGTTACTCATCCACAAGATCGCATTATGTTTCAAAATCAATTAATACAAGATTATTTTGCGAATTTATAAAATTTAATGTGTTTTATTTAATTTATAATTATTTAAAATTAAAATAAAATAGTCCCTTCTTGTTTATTATTATAATACATATATTAAGTTTTTCTTTTTCTTCTAAAACTTTTAAATCCGAAAGAGTCATTTCTTTTTCATCCTTTTCATTGTTAATTTCCTGCTCTAATTTTAGCCCTATCTGTCTCTTTGTTTTCAATGATACCCTTGTATCCACAAGATTAATTTTCTGAAAAATTTGAGCAGCGCCCCCTTTTTTTTCAGGTTCTGTATCCATATTATTCTCTCTCAACTGAATCGGTCGTACATGAAATAGAATCAAACCACAGATGATAAAGAGTCGAACCACAGATTATAAAGAATCAAACTCTTAACGTCAAAATATATTTGCGTCACAAATAAGTGTAACGTTAGTTATTATCACCAATCTTTTCATTTTTTTAGTCAAATTCCCTAGATCACTAGTTAAATTTTAAACTATAGTAAAAAAATCACGGTGCAAGATTTTGGACACTTATCTCCTGTTACCTTTTAACTTTTCAGTTTATTTAACTGATCAGTTAGAGAAAACGGTGCAAGTGGCCATAAATAAGTTCTTAAATATCGTTTAGATTTAGATTTATTTTAGACATGGAATAAAAATATAATTAAATTTTGAGAAAGGAGCACTATTTGGATACGAGTTCACTTTTCAACTTTTTTTACTTGAAATGACTTTCCACATCTGCTGGTGAAGCCCTGATACTAAAACCTGGAACATCCTGTATAATCGTTGAGTAAAAGGCATAAGGGGATAAGTCAAAAAAAGCAATTTTTCAATAGAGCCTTTAACGTGTTCGCATTAATTCAGGAAATATATTTATGTTTAGCGGGTATACGCTTTTGTTAGCATATGACATGGGCTAACAAAAGGGTTTAAGGCTCTACTGAAAAATTGTTTTTTTTTGACTTATCCCCTTATGCCTTTTACCCACAGAAATACAATAAAACAACAGCATGTTGCATTAAACTATTTCATATGTACTATGATCCAAATCAAAGTCCCACTTTGACATTTTAATAAGGTATAATTGGTGGAGCAAAGTACATAATATGTATATTAAACTCAAAAGATAACTTATCTGATGAGAAAAATACAGTTAATCTTAATTGTTGGTTATTTTCGAGATTAGTTATTTACTTACTTGAAGGTGTTTGGAGACACGACTGGAGAGAAAACAGCGCTCAAAAAATGGAGCCTGACCTGCACTTGGAGCTGATGGGAGTACATGGGCAACGCGTTGCTGGGATTCGCCGTGTACGCTTTGAGATTGTTGAAAAAGTGCGTCATCATGTGATGTTGACGTTCCGCCCAGTGGGTCACGTGGTGCATGTCGAGGCCACGGAAAGATGTAAGGAGTTTGGGTAGCATCTTCAGGGAAACGACCACAGAGCTATAATATAATATTATAATAGTATTAATAATAATTATTATAATAATATAACAATAATATTATAGTGATTTATAGAGCCCAAATTATATGCAACAGAAAAAAGTTTCAACAGCAAAATAATAAAAAAAATAGTAATTTTTGTCTTCTGTCTATTTGAAACTTTTTGGTGCACTAAATATTTTACTCGCAAACTCGACAATATAAAATATTTCTGTTAAATTTAAATGTTTCAGGATAGTCTCCTATCCACAAAGAGACACTTTTCTTTGAAGGGCATCATACCATACACATTAAACTTTGCTTAAATAAACAAAAAACGTGCGCTGGTTTTTCAAAAATAATTTGCAGGCCGATCGGCACATCTATAGCACAGCAATAACCGGTAAAAATGGGATTTATATGCAAATGCATATAATCCGGGCCCTAGTGATTTATAATTTACGTGATAACGGATACAAAAGAAAAAAGTATGAATTGAAAAACAAGGACAAATTAATTAATCAATTAAAATCTAAAAATCACCAAAGAAAATTATAAAATATTCATAAAATTTAATAAAAACAATGGATATTTAAAAAAGTAAGGAGAAAATTGTATTGATAGTATTTGCATTATAATTAAAAATAATTTAAAAATATAAAATATACTTACGCGTTATTGGCTAGATTATTTAGGCATCCTTCTATAAATTTCATTCTAATTTCCTTATCGGGGGTGTAACAAATAAGGTTACACAAAGTTTTTTCTGCTTCCAAAGCTAAACCTTCACCCAACTGACACTGAAAACAAAAATATAAATTTAAAATCAAAGAAACAAATTTTTATAATTAAACTTTTTCATATTTAGTTTCAATGCTGCCTGACAATCAAATCTTGTAATCGAATTTTAACCTCCAATTATCTGATTCAAGATAAAATTTGGTACTTTAGCGCAGTGGCCACTGAATAGGGTGGCTAAACATGATGTGCCATAATGTATGGCTCAAATTGATTACTATATTTAATTACATAATAAAAGTATGTAAATAAAATATATACTTAGAATTAATATAATTCTCTTCTTCAATCAAAAAAACGTTTGAAAATAAATCGTTTTTTTTTTTAATACCTATTTTGTTTAATTGTTAATTTTGGTTGAATACAATTTGTCATAAAAACACTTACAATCTTATCATCTTGCAGTAAATCCCACAGAAGAGTATTTCCAGGCTGGCAAACATTGTCTGCTTTAAATGTCCCCGACAGCCTTGGATCAGGCCTTACTGGCGACTTTTCCGGCGAAGACTGATTGGCTAAAGCTTGTAGATTCATTTGAGCCTACAAAAACACATGTTAACCTTAAATTCCATAAATTCTGTAAGTGTCAAAATTCTAATGTTTCTATAACATATAACATATTATGTACATTTTTAAAATAACTGTACATAGCAAGCTTAGAACGTGTGACATCACATCTAAAAAAAATTTTATTAATATAATTTAATACAAATTACAAAAAAATCCATGCTAATATGATAGAATCCAAAAAGTAGTTGAACAAGTAGATAATATGACAATTCTTTTAGATATGTCAATAGGGTGGCATGGGGTGGCACTAATAATAGTAGATTATGTTATAAGGAGTAGAAGTGACTCTTTTTGTGGTGAGTACATAGATTGACGGCCGAAGCGTAGCTGAGGCAGGCAACTGTACGAAGCACAAAAAGAGCTTCTACTCCAAATAACATATACAATTTTTTTTTCAAGGGCATAATATAAATAGGATAAGCAATAGAATTATTTTTTTACTCCTAACTCGTGTGGGATAAAATTTTGGCTAAAAGCATTAGAAATTATTGATAAAAACTAAAAAAACTAATAAACCTTACTTACAATGCCGATAAATATCCGAAATTAAAATTAAACACTGCTCTGTCAAAATGCTGCGCTTGAATTAATTTTGACGTACTGACATTTGTTTGAAGTTTCGACATTGGCGACTCGTCTATCATCATAATATTATACTAATAAACTAGTTTTTCTTTATTTCGTTCAATTAAAATTTAATAAATAATCACTAAATATTCCGTGCGATTATAATTAATATAATTAATACATCGTGATTGCTTTGTATGAAATGCTTAATTAATTTTATTATTTGACGTTTATTGAGTCACCTATGGATTTACTTCTATCCCTAGGCTTTTTTGAGTTTTTTGTCTGCCGCTAATGAAAAAGACGCACTTCAACTATCTCTATACATGCATATAAGGTTGTATATCATGGCCGCTTGAAAAAAAATATAATTGTAACTCCAGAGCCTGAATTTTTAGATTCCTCAAAAATGTTGATTTTATTTTGGCTGTAGTTTTATTTTCATATTTTATTGGTCAGAACTGCAATACTATTTTTAGCATCTTTTACTTTACAATATTTTTATACAGGGTGTTATGTAATTAATGTAATATATTAAAATGGGTAGTTCCTTAGGGGGAAGCACCTGAAACTTTTTTTTCTAAATTCGTAAGACTAAAAATAATTATAACCTTTATCCTACCAAAAAGTACGCCACTGAACGACTAGGAACTTTAGGCTAATTTGGTTGCCTAATTTAATTTATTATGTTAAGGTTGGTAACAACCAGACTTTCCAGATTCTGTCAAAAAAATTTGCCAGATTTTGTTTAAATTTAGCTTAATTTCAAAAATGACAAAATCAACAATTTTATTAATTGTTGATTATGTCATTTTTGTAATGAAGGTAAATTCAAACAAAATCTGGCAACTTTTATGACGGAATCTGTTACCATTAAATACTGCATTTCTTTCAAATTTTAGGTTATGTGCTCAAATTGTAAATATCTTTTGGATATATTTACACAAATTGAATGTTTAAAGTTTAACCTGTGAGCTTGTCCTAATTTCATCTGAGTAAACAGAAAGAAAGACACTGATGAAAAAATTAATTTTGTAGTTATGGAGTTTTTAACATTTTTAAAATAGGTACTAAATTTTCTAATAGATGGATGAGTAAATAAATACAGAAGGGCATTAAACTTTTGTATTTATTAAGTTTTTATTTATTTTTTTGCAAGAAAAATTTGTAGTGACAATTTTTACAATTGGCAACGCGCAGCTACTGTGTTTGTTGGTATATATGTACTCACAGAACACAAGTGTGTAACCAGTGGCGTATCACAAAAAATATCTAATGCATATTTTTTCTTAATCTTTGGAAAATATTTTTCTAAATATTTTTCCGTTACACCTTATTTAAAGGGGAATTCAGTATTTTAATATATTACATTAATTACAGAATTATATAGGGAGCAATATTAATTATTTTTGCAATCCTCCTGGCACAAAAAAACTAAGAAAAAGATTTTGAACTTTCGTTTAGGAAATTTTCAATGGAAAGTTTCTGGGAATTTTATCAAATGGGAATTTTCCCATCTCTAAAAAATCTACTAATACCTATTACTTACGTGTTGCGCCAGTTGGGCGAGTTCTTCTTCGCACACGGAGTCTTCGCCGTCGAAATCGGCCATGTTTTTTTCGGATTTATTGCTCATTCGCGACGAGTAGCTACCGTCGCCATCCCCCTCCACTTCAGCTTCGTCCCCGCTGAGCATTTCAAGAATGTGACGACTGAAAAAAAATGTTAACCAAAGCTTTAAAAGAAAAATCTCCGCGCGGCGACTAAAGAATTTTTTTGTAAAAGTAGAGATGTGAATCGAAAAGTTTCCATTTTAAGGAAACTTTCCCTGTTTTTTTATGTAAATAAGTTAAGGCCAAGAACTGAATAAGAAGAAGTTAATTGTGTTAATTTAAAGAAAAAGTTTGTTAGAGAACTCATCACAATTTACAAATCATTTGCAAAAAATCCCTTTTAAAAGCAAAACAATAAACCAAGTTAATATCATTCTGACGTTTTTGTTGTTTATTTATAGATACACCTTGTACAATAGTAAAAAAATATATATAAATTTGTAAAAAATATACACTTCATTTTTTTTTATCTGGACTCGTGTTTTTTTGTTAGGTTGGTGGCTTATGCCAGTTTGACTTGGTATTTTTAGTATTTAAAAATGGTACTTCTGCTAAAGGCTTAATAAAAATACTTTGAGATTGTCAAATTGACAATAATATTTATTCTTGATAATTTACTTGTCAATTATAAATAAAAAGATATGCCAAAAATAATAGCAACGTAATGTAAAAGCCCTTTTGACTGTGATACCAACTATCTAAAGTAAAATTCGACCTAATGAAATATAAGGTATAAAATTATTTTTTTTTATAGAATTTTTGCAAAATAGATAAAATAGCATAAAGAACTCATGTCTTAAGACCTTTTGTCGCACTCGTCTTTTACAAAACTCGCTCCTTTGTCGCTCGTTTTATAAATTGTCCGCGTGCGACAAAATGACGTCTTATGACATTAGTTCTTTAATATACTATTTAAAGGGGGTTTTTTCTTACTTTTTACTCTTTTAAATGTACCAAAGTTTTAGATTTTTAAACTAATTTTTAACCTATGCCCCAACCACTTAAACAAAAGCAAATATCGTCAATAATAAAACAATTAGTATAAACCAGGACCAAATCTGCAAAACCAGGACAAAACCAGTAAACAATTAAAACCAGGACACATTAGCAAAACCCAGAACCTGGCCTGGGTAAACCAGGATTATTCATAATTCTTTTTAAATTATCCATAGTAGTTTTGTCCTTTTAACAAATTTTTTGAGGTTAGGTTTGTGGGTATTTGGACAGGAAAATTAAAACTTATTATGACTGAGCTGTCAATACATTTTTTGAATTAGGTGAGTCCAGTGTTCTTCAAAGTTTTTACGAAAATTGTTTTAGAAGTATTTAGTTATAAAAGTAATTGTGTCATTGTTGTTTTTTAGCCCTGAGGAAGAGAGCAGTAAATGCCCTCGAAACGTCGGCGAATTTAAAATAAGTTTTAATTTTCCTGTCCAAATACCCACAAACCTAACCTCAAAAAATAATTCTTTTTCTTACCCTGCTCGTTGCAGATTCAAAAAATTGGCGCAGGTGCCCTCGTGGCCGTCGAGCGCGTCCTTTCCCAGGTCGCTGCACGAGGAGCTTTCCTCCAGGTAGACGGCCGGCTTGAGTCCTGCGTCGACCAGGTCGGTGATCTGAGACGGCAACACCGTGCACACGGTCACGCCCTTCAGCGCCGACTTGATGTCGTGATCGCTGTCCATGTCCAGCTCGCTCATGCCCTCCATGCCGGTGATTTTTGCTATGCGTTTGTGGTTCCCTGTAAGAAAATGGTTCAAAAGGTTTTTAATGGCGTTAACCCTTTTAAAAATTAGCAAATAAGAAATGTAACAAAATAATAACAGATGGTAAAAATTTAATATAGAAAATCATAACTATATGCTTACAAAATTACCGCGCGTCAAAATTAACGCTTAATAAGTAAAAAACTCTAAAACGCCTTTACCAATCTTTATGAAATTTTGTATAAAAATACTTTAACTTATATCTCAGTTTCCGTGTTCAAGGGTTTTTCGAAAAAAATAGCCCTTTTATTTAATAATAAAAATTGTTCGAAAAATAACTTTTAGGGAACTTTTTTTTTAAGTAAATAAAAAATATGCCGTTAAAGACCGTATTTTTTTTAGAATACCCTGAAAATTTTGTACAAATCAAACAAACAGTAACGAGGATACAGCGCTTCAAAGTCGGTAAAAATGATCCCTTTTTGATTATTTTGCTGAAAAGTGGTCATTTTGGACGACTTTGAAGCGCTGTATTTTCGTTACCGTTCGTTTGATTTGTACAACATTTTCAGGGTATACTAACAAAAATACGGTTTTTAACAGCATATTTTTTATTTACTTAAAAAAAATTCCCTATAAAACTTTTTTTATTATTAAATAAAAGGGCTTTAAGGGCATTTTCTTGAAAAACACTTTAACACGTAAACTGAGATATAAGTTGATGTATTTTTATCCAAAATTTTATAAAGATTGGTAAATCTGTTTTAGAGTTGGATTTTTTTTACTTGTTATGCGTTAATTTTGACGCGCACTGTATAATTTAAAAACTATAAATAAATGTTGTACACAAAAAATAAACATTTCGAAAATTATAAATAATACACGCCATATTTAAACCATTTAAACCTATGGGTTTAAAACATTTGGCAACGTTGCTTATTTTCTAAGCCGATTTATGAAACATCTAAAAATGGTATAAATTTATGTATAAAAACAAAACACTGTTTTTTAAGTTTTAATTAATTTTAATTGTCAAAATTAAATAAAGACGTGAAAAAAAAGTGTTTTGTTTTTATACATTTGTACAATAGTGACATGGAGTTTCATCAAGTAAAGGTCGAAACCATGGAGCCTACACAAGAAGTCCAAACTTCATGTATACAAAAATTATTCTAAGATAAGAGGGCAGTGGTGTTCTGTGATTGATTTGTACTGAAACAGCAGACGTCAGTATGCATTGGAATTTGTGTAATTTAGTGGACAGGTTTTGTCTTTTTTTCCTATAAGTTCGGACTTTGTGTATGCTCTATGGTCGAAACCAAGTTGTACTGTATAATCTTATGTTCTGTGTGTATAATCTGTGGTCGAAACAATAAAATATCCACAATCCACACAAGGTCTATCTCGTTTCGCGCATGCTAAAAATCACTACAACACTGCACAGAATCTAACGACAGCCATTTTTATGTTGTTTACAATTATTGTGCTTAGGGTTTGTGCTTTTTATACCCATTAAACAACGTTGTGTTTCTTACAGAGGCACTTGTAAGCCTCAAATGAGGCCTTAAAGTGCTAAGAACAACCATTTTACTCGTCTTATGTAAACAAAAAATAAACCTTATTTTATCAGGGCTGTCATCAAACTGTCAAATTTAAATTTGTGGGTTATCGTTAATTAATCTTAAAATTTAAATTTGAAATTTTTATGACAGCCCTGATAGAATAAGGTTATTTTTGCCAAAAGGGGAGTAAATGGTTGTTCTTAGCAGTTTAAGGCCTCACCGTATTCTGTGTTGTGTTGCAGTGATTTTTAGTACGCGCGAAACGAGATAGAACAAACCTTGTTGTGTGGATTGTGAAAATATCTAAAAATGAGTGTTTTGGAAACCAAATTTACAACGCATGTACAGCGACCTAAAATTAACATGGTTGACAGATCTATTTTCTCACAGTTTGTTTCAAAAATGTCAAAATTAAAATCATTATTATTAATAAACTGTAAAGCCTCATTCAGAACCTCGTAATTAGTGGAATAAATTAGGTTTCAATTAACGTAAAAGTTTGTCTTATGAATATACAGTGTTGTTCACAACCAAAAAATTAGTGGTAGTACTTTTCAATTAGTGGAAAAAGTTTGCAAACTTCTAACTTTTACTACTAATTATAATTGGAAAGCGGCTTTGCGCATGTGCGCGGATATTTTATGTCAAAAGGGAAAATTTTGAAGATTTGCCAGTGAAGGTAAGGTTACATAAATATTATTGTAATGGTTGTACAAAATATTACTTTAATATAATTAATATTGTTTATGTCAGGTTAAGAAAAATGGACAATCTTTTAGCAAATTCCCTTAATTTTAGATGTTAATTTTGCGCATTGTGAATGATCGTTTTGTGTTAATTATAAGTATAATTGAAACCACTAATTTTTTTCACTAATTACGAGGTTCTGTTCTGTTCTATTTTTAAAAGTTTTAAATTGAAACGTGTTTGAAAGAATGTTTTCTACCCATCAATTTTTTAACTCCCTACAAACCCCGGATTTTAGGTAAAATACATTTGTTGATTTTATAATAATAATAATAATATATTTATTGAGCAAAAATTTTGATGGTTTTAAAAATTTTCTTTTATAAAAAATGCAGCCACCAGGTCTAGTTTTATTTTACTCAAAATTTATTTACATTTAATTTGTGTTTTTTTTCGCCTACTAGATTTACGACCACCATATTGCTAGTTGAATGGGGAGAGGGACAAAAACTTCTGATCCATTTTATAGCAGTAGTAGTAGATATCTGATTGAATATGTTTATGAAATAATAGCACTTATTGTTTTTATTTTAAAAACTCGACTTCAGGGGTCTCTACAATGGTAAAATACATTATACATTATTGAACATATTAAAATCATGGTTATATCTTTGTATTTTTTTTAAAGAAATTTGACGTGTAAGTAATTTTAACCATGATTTTAATATGTTTTATAATAATAAGTGTATTTTACTATTGTAGAGACCTCTGAAGATGGCTAGTAATAGGCGAAACTAGTCGGGATTTTTAAATAAAAACAATAAGCAGGAAAGTGCTATTATTTCATAAAGATATTCAATCAGATATCGTTCAATTCAATTCTCGGAAATGCGCATAAGACTTAGGTACTGTAGAAAGATACTGAACCTCTGCGACACTTTCAACTAAGGGCTATGACGGCCATTGTAAAAACACAAGATGGTGATGTTAACTCAAAATAAAGTAAAAAATAAATTGGATAAAAATGTTAATAAATGTGTATGTTTACATGTAAAACTTACTTTTTCTCAAAATTCCCAGGAATAACAAATTTATAACGATTTTTGGATTTGAAGGGTTTTTAGTTTTTTTTATATTTTGAAAAGTGCTGTTTTTTCCAAGTTTTAAATTTTATTTTAATAGGCTTGTAACTACGCATCTTTTCTCTGATATAACGGACCTTGTAGATCTTCAAATTAAAAAATACCCATACCCATACATATTATGTATATTACACATAAAGAAGAAGGATACTAGGTGCACCTTGTGTATATTAAAAATCATTTTAAACAATATTTATGTAGTATTACAAAAAAACTACACATTTACAAGGAAGCGTTTGCTTCAACAAAATAATCAGAAATAAAAAAGAAGGGACCCAAAACAAATTAAGTGGAAAATAAGTTCCTGCAAAACATTCTAAATATGTAGAGAACATTAAATACTTTATAAAATCACTAAAGATTATTGCAATAATAAATTGTATATTTTATTTATTAATAATTTTTTTAGTTAAATACATCTAAATTTACCTTTTTGTCTTTTGGCCCTGGTTTTCCTTAACATTTTCCTCCTTTTTCTCAATTTTGATGGTGAATCCTCAGTATCGGCTTCATCCTGAGAACTGCTTGAAGCTATAGCTTCAACGCCCTCTGGTAAAACATTCAAAGCAAGGATCTTTTTCCTAACATTTAACCTTTTTTGATACTTGGGATCGTGCGGAGAAACATGCACCCATTTTTTATCGGGCTTAATGGGAATCCCGTCTATTTCCGTGTCAGTACTGCTACCTTCACAGTGAACCTGTTTTCTAGCCAATTTGCAGGGAGGAGGTCCACTTTCGACAACGATATGACCCTCCTCCTCTATTTCCACTGCGTCTATGTCCTCGCTGTCAGATTTGTGGCTTTCTGATTGGCCTGAACTTTCACCCTAAACAACAACAAAAACAATAATTTATAGTACCTATGTGAAATTCTCTCGAATTTTTGAAAATCAGAAACAATATGTTTTAAAAATGTTGTCAGGCCGTTTGGTGAACAATATTTGAGGAGCATCCGTGCAAAACCGGCTAAATCCATTTTATTCATTTTTTGTTTTTTTTTATTTCGCATGTTTGGGTTAAATTCTATCGACAACCAAGATAATTCTGTTTAAATCCGACTATATCCATGTTAAAATCACATTTAAAAGGTAGCTTTAGGAGCAAAACCGGCCAAATCCACGTTTTTATAGCAAACCCGGCTATATCCAATAAATAATAATATGTGGCTTGGATACTACTACTAAAATTTGTTCTGTTTTTTCATGTTTGCACTTAATTTATTTTGTTAATATTTTTAAATAATAAAGGTTTTTTTTCACATTTTATTCGTTTTTTATTCGGTTTTCGAGCAAAACCGGCTATATACAAAACATTTCTTGAAATTTTGGCCTTAATATAAAGTTTTTGAAAACGAAAGTATGTCTTATAAATCAAGTACCACAAAGCCCACATAACTCAAGTTTGCTTTTTCTTTTATCTGTAAAGGCCAGGAAACTGAGAGTTTTTGCCATTTTCCCAACATTTTGTTAAAGTGGATATAGCCGGTTTTGCACGGATGCTCCTCATTTATAAATAAAAGGTTAATGAAATGTTGCACAAACATTTTTTTTTTATAACTGTTACGCGTAAATATTTCTGAAACATTCATAAATATCACTTAAATATTTTTATTTCACAATTTTAATTAAATATAATTTCCTAAATATTGTTAAGTTATTTAACAATATTTATAAACTTTTTAAAAAGTTCATTAAAGTTTTCTGATGTAAGCGCCCTATCGATAAAAAAGTATCTGTGGTCTGAGGCTCGGCCGCTAAAGTCATCCACAAATCAGCGTCAGTTTGGCCGTTTTTACTTTGTTGAGTGTATTTCAAGTGAGACGCTAAGTTAGAATAATACATCATTAATAAATTATCCAGATAATCCTTCTGCTAGAGGTATGCATCCATGTATTATATTTATTTTAATGTTTGTTGGTTTTTAAAAACAAAGTAATTTCCCCGAGCGGGATTGAACTGAAGACTAATTTAAATTAAATTCTTTTTAGCCTCCATCCGGAAAAATCCGAAAACCGAAACTGCGACATGGCTGGCTCAAGCTAAATTTATAAAAAGGAAGTAAAAAAGAAACTTTAAAAAGAAAGACTGTAGAAAAAATATATTCTTTTATTTCTGTGATTTTTTTCAAAGAATTTTTGTTACAAATTTTACTTCTATTTATATCAAGACCTACTAATTTTTTGTATTTTTAGCGTGCAAAAAATAGATTTCCAACTATGGTTTTCCACTGTTTTAGTATATCTGATATGAGAATACCCATACCACATCTACTTTTTGCTCTCCAAAACAAGATTCAAGTACACAAAAAGTATTGGGTGTCACACGGGTTTTTTAAATATAAAAGCTACATTTTATCAACATTACAACATTATTAAAATAAATATGCAATAATTCTCTTATATTTTTGTGACATTAATAAAATATGAGGTACCAAAATCTAAAACATTTACAAAAATGTTTTAAAAATGTTTTGAACAAATATTGTATAAATATAAAAAGAGGGACATCTAAATGTTGTAAAAACATTTTAGAAGCATTTAAATGACTAATATTTCTAAAATATTTTGTTAATGTAGCAAAAATATTCATTCAATATTTTAAATATATTTTTGAGTTATGACACTTTGACATTTCACAATTGACAAAAAGTGCTAAATTTCGCCGCTCTACAAAAACTTACATGTTCGTCCTCGGAGTTGCTAGGATCCAAGCTGACACTATTTTCGGAAGAACTTTGGCATTTATGCAACGCTATACCGGCGTTAGATGCGGCAACGTTAATCAGGCCCACTTCAGAAGCGTTGCCACCTCTCGACCAAACAGCTTTGATCAGCGCTGATGCCAAATATAACGTCTAAAGAAGAAAAATACATAGGTATAGTAAAAATAGAATAAAACACACAAAAATAACTGTTAAATAAAAACTTTGTGGAAAAAACGAGGAATCAATTAAATAACTGTTTCGCCAGCTTTAACACAGTAATTAATTAAGTAAAAAATAAAACGTACCTGTTCTGTGTGTTCCTTGGGCTCCAATTTCGTGAGCAAGTTGTATAGGTGCAGTGTAGGCGCTGCTGCCAAGTGTTTGACGAGACCTGGCAACAGGTCATGCACGGGTTTGGCGCAGTGCTTAAGCTGGGCGGCCGCCCATATTACGTCCATGTGCTCGCACGTGATGCGCCCCTCCATCGCCAGAAAGTTCAGGATTATGTGGCTTTGTTTTATCACCTTTAAAAACGGTTTTTATTAAATACTAGATGACCCGGTGAACTTCGTTCCACCTAAAATTCTTTATAAGCGATTATGAATTCTTATCAACCTTTCAACTCCAATTCATTGAGATCGTGTACGGTTTAAGTTTTGTTTGGTTATTAAATGAAACGCGTCAGCTCGTCTTCTTCTTGGCATTGTAATGAACACCGTAAAACGACACGGAATTGTTTTCACGTCGCTAAAATCTGTCAAACTTACCTTGAGAACTTTACAATAATGAAATATGCTAACTAATTTATCGAGTGTCGCTTAAACAATTGAATGAATTTGTGGTTATGTTTAAGGCTGCAAATACAATGTAATTAAATCCGCTTTAGCCAAGTCTTTTCTTAAAATCCACTAGCTTTTTTGCGAAAAAAACAATTTTATACAACAACCGCGCAGAATGTGGGATGCGCACGATACATCGATGTTTAAAAAACATAATAATTGTCAAACATAACCGATTTTTATTTGTATAGCACGAACGCCATTTGAATAGTTTTTTATTTTGATGTAAATTTGTATAGTAAATACTAACACTATTTATTAAAAGTAGCACGAATTTCGGTTTTTCCCTAATATTTTTTTTTCTAAACCGCCCCTGTATTGAGTCGAACAAAAAAAACCATTCAAATCGGTCGAACATAATTGTGATGTTTATTTGTGAAGTTTAATTTGAAGCGCAGCTACGAACGCCATATATTCAACCCGGACAACATTCGTGATATTCATACGAACATCATGTCGTGATTTTCACAAATTTTATTCAGACTGATGTCATACGGAAGTCAACGCGTGATAAATGAAAATCATACGAACGTCACGTCGTGATTTTCACAAATTTTATTCATACGGACATCATACGGATGTCACTGTGAGAGAAATAAAAATTACGTCGTAATTTTTTATGCCATCACTGTTTGCGATTGACCGATGGCCTAAAAAATCATGTTTTATGCCAACGGTGTTTGGATAATCATTTTTGCGCCACGTTCGTACACTAAGAGAATTATTATGTTGAATCAACAGTTTTTGCGATTAAATACATTAAATATTTTCTTGGATTTAAATGAACTATAGGTATATAGTTAATTTAAATCCAAGAAAATATTGAATGTATTTAACCACAAAAACTGTTGATTCAATATATGTATGTAGGTATACTTTTTCTCTCAATGTACGAATGTGGCGCAAAAATAAATATCCAAACACCGATGGCATAAAAAATCACGACATGATTTTTTATGCCATCGGTGTTTTGTCATAAAAAATCACGACATGATTTTTTATGCCATCGGTGTTTGGATATTCATTTTTGCGACACATTCGTACATTGAAAGAAAAAGTATGTTAACAATTGAATCAACAGTTTAACATTCAATATTTTCTTGTATTTAAATTAATTATATATAGTTAGTTTAAATCCAAGAAAATATTAAATGTATTTAACCGCAAAAACTGTTGATTCAACATTATCAAAAATGATTATCCAAACAGCGATGGCATAAAAAATCACGACATGATTTTCATTTCTCACACAGTGACATCCGGATGATGTCCGTGTGAACAAAATTTGTGAAAATCACGACGTGACGTTCGTATGATTTTCATTTATTACGCGGTGACTTCCGTATGATATCAGTATGAATAAAATTTGTGAAAATCACGACATGATGTTCGTATGAATATCACGAATGTTGTCCGGGTTGAATATATGGCGTTCGTAGCTGCGCTTCAAATTAAACTTCACAAATAAACATCACAATTATGTTCGACCGAATTGAATAGTTTTTTTTGTTCGCCTCAATACAGGGGTGGTTTTGCCACTTTTAATAAATAACGTTAGTATTTACTATACAAATTTACATCAAAATAAAAACTATTCAAATGGCGTTCCTGCTATACAAATTAAAATCGGTTATGTTTGACAATTATTATGTTTTTTAAACATCGATGTATCGTGCGCATCCCACATTCTGCGCGGTTGTTGTATAAAATTGTTTTTTTCGCAAAAAAGCTAGTGGATTTTAAGAAAAGACTTGGCTAAAGCGGATTTAATTACATTGCATTTGCAGCCTTAAACATAACCAACCAAAAAGGGGTTATTTTTACCGACTTTGAAGCGCTGTATCTTCGTTACTGTTCGTTTGATTTGTACAAAATTGTCAGGGTATACTAACAGCCCGGACAACATTCGTGATATTCATACGAACATCATGTCTTGATTTTCACAAATTTTATTCATACTGATATCATACGGAAGTCACCGCGTGATAAATAAAAATTATACAAACGTCACGTCGTGATTTTCACAAATTTTATTCATACGGACATCATCCGGATGTCACTGCGTGAGAAATGAAAATCATGCTATGGGTGCACCGACATGTTGGGATATTTATTTTTGCGCCAGATTCGTACATTGTGAGAAAATGTATGTTAACAATTGAATTAACAGTTTTTGCGGTTAAATACATTTAATATTTTCTTGGATGTAAATTACCTATTAATTTAAATCCAAAAAAATAATGAATATATTTAACCATTAAAACTGTTGATTCAATATAGATATATGTAGGTATGCTTTTTCTTTCAATGTACGAATGTGGCGCAAAAATAAATATCCAAAACCGATGGCATAAAAAATCATGACATGATTTTGTATGCTATCGGTGTTTGGTCATAAAAAATCACGACATGATTTTTTATGCCTTCGGTGCACCGACATGTTTGGATATTCATTTTTGCGACACATTCGTACATTGAAAGAAAAAGTATGTTAACAATTGAATCAACAGTTTAACATTCAATATTTTCTTGGATTTAAATTAATTATATATAGTTAATTTAAATCCAAGAAAATATTAAATGTATTTAACCGCAAAAACTGTTAATTCAACATAATTTTTCTCTTACTGTACGAACGTGGCGCAAAAATGATTATCCAAACACCGTTGCCATCGGTCAATCGCAAACAGCGATGGCATAAAAAATCACGACATGATTTTCATTTCTCACGCAGTGACATCCGGATTATGTCCGTATGAATAAAATTTGTGAAAATCACGACGTGACGGTCGTATGATTTTTATTTATTACGCGGTGAATTCCGTATGATATCAGTATGAATAAAATTTGTGAAAATCACGACGTGATGTTCGTATGAATATCACGAATGGTGTCCGGGTAGGTTTTAAATTCGCAGTTCGCAGGGCTCATACGCATGCGCAAATTTTGCAAATATCACACCGTGAGTTCTACATGATATACATATGATATACATATCATCATGACTTCACCAGGAAATCCCGATTGTTGTCCGGGGGTATAATACGGTCTTTAATATAATATATTTTATTTACTTAAAAAAAATTCCCTCAAAGTTATTTTTCGAACGTTTTTTTATTATTAAATAAAAGGGCTTTAAAATATTTTTACACAATTTTTCATAAAGATTGGTAAAGGCGTTTTAGAGTTTTTACCTATTATGCGTTAATTTTGACGGGCAGAGTATAATAATAGATGTCTCTGAAGTTTGCAGTACTTAATTAATGGTTGTTTACTTGTATATTTTAGTGGTTATTGGATTTTAGTGGTTATTGGATTTTTTTCTATTTGAGACTTTCAATGGGGGGTTTGAACCCCCAAAACACCCCTTGCTCATTGGCTTAAATTTAATACAAAAAACTATGTCTTACCTCAACATGCAAATTCGGTCCGAATATGTGCGAAATAATATTATTGCTAATCAGCCAATCGGCCATGAGTCTGGGCGCTGCTTCCGCCTCCGGGAGGGATTCCCCCACGCAAATCTCCGCGAGCACGCCGATCTGATTGTTGATTTGCGTGATGCCGGCCAAACGCATCGTCAAAGTACTCGACGTGAAGTACTTGAACGCCAAATCGAGACCGTCAGAGTCGAACGCCACTGGGGAGTCCAGAGGGTCCTTGATCGCGTTCCACATGAAATCTAAACAAGATTTTTTCTCTTTAATATTTTAGTATTTTCAGAATGACTAGCAAGCTCTTAAAAAGACTATTTTTGACATTTTTATTTTTAGTAAATTGAAAATGTGTTTTTATTACAGTATATGCGAGTACTATGCTTTACTTTGACATGTGATTGAGAAACGCAGCTTCATAAATTGTGGAGCAATCAGACAAAAGCAGATAAATCCAGTTTTGTTGAAGAATGAGTTAGGTATTAACTAACAGTGAACTCAGAATTGAGCCAAACCAAGTAATTGATTCAGTCTTGAAACCTAGCAAATCAAGAAAAATCAGATAAATCCAAATTAATACAATTTAAGTTCTTGTTTCAATGAAAATAAGATAAATTCACATTATTGTTATTTTAAATTAACTTAAATGGCATTAACATTTTTCATATTAATCCTGTACCACTATGTATAGACCTATGGGTAAAAACGGTTTTTTTTATTCATATTTCATAAATCCTGTCAATTCAAGCAACACTAGATAAATTCCATTTTGTTTTTTTAATATAACACATGATGCAGGTGAACAAAAAATATAAAATGAGTTTTCAGGTCTTAAAACACTATACTCTATAGAATACATGGGTTGTTCTTTGTGTAAATGTTGCAGAACGAAAAATATTAGTTTTTTGCTGATAACTCTTAAACTGCTTAAAACATAATTATGGACCTTAATTTATGTATCTGTCGTGGTTTTCGCGGTGCTATATGCATAGCAACTCCTAATTTAAAAACTTGTAAAGAACATGTAAAAGTAAAAATATATTTTTTTAATATTTATCTTGTTAAATTATTGTCATCCTAAGGCTGCGTTCCGAATTTAAATTTGTGGGCCTTTTGGGTGTGCACACTGTGCAGCATAGTACATAAAACATAACATTCCAAAATGTCTTGAAATGGGGTAGTTAAATTTTTTCTGACCTATACTTTTTATGGTTTTATTCAAGGGGTTTTGTAATATTAAACATTTCTGTGAAATCAGAATTTCAATTGAGTTTACCGTTTTCGAGATATTTACAAAAAATATACATTTTTATGACGTCACAAACCTCACCATGTGACCAACATTCTAAGATTTCTATTGGTTGAAAATTACCCTGTTGTCAAGTTGTCTTGTTAATGATTTCATTCGGTTATGTCAAAAAATACCCGAAGAGGTTATGTACAAATACTGTCACTGTCAGTTGAGTGAAAGATGGTCACCAAATTCATTAAGTACCTATCTTACTTATAACGAGGTATCATATTACTGTTTGATATTTTAGAGTCCAAGATATATCTAAAAGAATATAAAGAACTAGGCATTATACTAATGAAATGCATTTACGACAAAATATGATTATAATTATAGGTATTTACTTTATTTGTTTAAAAGCTCCAATGTTCAATGTAACCAACCATTCCACAAGATTCCTCTGCTTTGGAGTCCGTTATTAATAAATCACTTATCTAATATCAATTACAAATAACATAACAATAACATTGATTTTCAATAATCTAAATTAAAAAAAAACAACCCGAAAAAAAGAAACGTCAAAAAATCAATTCTTCTTCTTCTTCTCAACTAAAATTTTAGATCAAGTAGTTTTAAAACTAAAATATTATAACGTGGCGCCATCTATCGTGAGAATCTTAAACTAAACACCATGGAAAAAGCTGGCAACGTTGTCAATAGCCTAGTGACGTAATTAGGAGACTTTTTTTTGTAAATATCTCGAAAACGGTAAACTTAATTGAAATTCCGATTTCACAAAGATGTTTAAAATTACAAAACGCCTTGAATAAAACCATAAAAAGTATAGGTCAGAAAAAATTTAACTACCCCATTCTTCCCAAAAAATGCTTAATATGGTTTTAACATTCTAAAACTTGTAATTGCTTTTAAATATAATATTTTTTATAAAACATTCCAAAATCGGTTTTCAAGAGTACCAAATATATCCTGACATGCTTAGTAAACAATAAATAATATAGTTTTGACATTTTTTGTTCTAGTCCACATTCTAAAATATGTAGTATATTATGCAACGACGATTTAATGGTTTAAATGATTATAACATAAACTGAAGGTCAAAGAGAGTTTCATACACTATTTTTTCTATGACTTTTATAATAAAGTAGAAAATTAACACTTTAATTTTGAAATGTTTTTAAATAAATAAATAAATACTTTATTGCCCAACAGCTTAAAACCCGTTACAGGACAAATATACTAGTATAGGAATAAAAAACAATTGTATAAATTATTTTAAAGCACCATTTAGAAGTATAACAATTAAACAATTAATAATATATAAATACAATACTTAAAAAACAGTTATATACAATATTTAACAACAATAAACAAGGTATTACCAAAGAACCCCAATATACATAAAATAAACAAACAATCATTGCAACACATTTGAATTAATTAAGATATAGTTACTGGTAATAACTTATTACTTATTACTAATAAGTTGGCTTTTGCGTTCTGTACAATTTCTGACGGGGTTAAATTTTAAATTTTACATCGACTATCGCACATGTTGACTAATTTACACAAGGAGCCCGAACTTATAATGGGGAAAATTGACAAAACCTGCCCTCTAATTCGCACAAATTAAAGCCTCATTCAGAACCTCGTAATTAATGGAAAAAATTAGTGGTTTCAATTATACTTATAATTAACACAAAACGATAACATCTAAAATTAAGGGAATTTGCTAAAAGATTGTCCATTTTTCTTAACCTGACATAAACAATATTAATTATATTAAATTAATATTTTGTACAACCATTACAATAATAATTATATAACCTTTAAATCACTGGCAAATCTTCAAACTTTTTGCTTTTGACATAAAATATCCGCACACATGCGCAAAGCCGCTTTCCAATTATAATTCGTGGTAAAAGTTAGAAGTTTGCAAACTTTTTCCATTAATTGAAAAGTACTAACAATAATTTTTTGGTTGTGAACAACACTATACAGTATATTCATAAGACAAACTTTTACGTTAATTGAAACCACTAATTTGTTCCACTAATTACGAGGTTCTGAATGAGGCTTAAGTCTTTTCACTACCAGCGGCGCTGATTGTCGATTCGTATTGACGTCTGCTGTTTTGGTAGCGTTTAGGTACAAATCAAACAATTGTTTATTAATAAACGGAACACCAGCGCCCTCTTATCTTAGGAAGATTTTTGTATACATTAAGTTCGGACTCCTTGTGTGGGCTCCATGAATTTAAACTTTAAAAAATTTAAGTTTAAAAATTTTCTATGTAAACAGTAACTTGTCAAAATTTATAAATATTAGATCTGTAAGATGTCCAAAGCAAAAGTTGATATTGACAGAATATTGCCGTGTATCGCAATTCTATTGGTTAATATTGCTGTGTATTGCATTTCTATTGGTTAAAAATCTGTATCGTAATGAAACATTTGTGTCATAATGAATGTCATTATGGTACACAAGTAGGAGATGTCTAACAAACGAATTAAGTATGGGAGTATAACAAAACACTTACCTGCCATGCTTTTAATTGTAGGAGTTCTTAAATCTTGGTCTGATAATTTGCACATGTATCGTAATACACAGGATCTTAACGGTACAAGCATAGATACCATGCTCTTGTAGTTCATCCAGAGTTTTAGGTTGCAAACTGTAAAAAAAATGTTGTAAATAAAATTAGGCTATCATAAAAAGGTCATGAACCAGAAATGTACAAAAAAACATTATAAAGGATTTATTAAAATTACAAAAAAATCGAACGGAAATCAAATGAACAAAAGAATACTTTTTCTTTTAAAACACAATTATAAATTTGTTCTCAGTCCTTTTGTATTAATAAATTGTCAAAACATCCCATATCGAGAGGCATACAAATTTTAAGACACCCTGTATTATAAACATTTAAAAAAGCTTATAAAAGACCCTTTACCATAAAAAAACTAAATGCAAACGACGACAACTACAGTTTAAAATAGTAAAGAAAAAAATAAGAATCCATGGCAACATATTATACCAGTATAAAACTGTGGGCACTCGTTTTTTGTCTTTTACTATTTCAGAATGCAGTTGTCGGCGTTTTCAGACTCAAATAGTAACCTTAAATTACTAGAAAGTAGGCTAAAAACAAAATTATTGAGTACTCACTTATTTTTCGCGAACGTAAATTAACATAACCTCAATTTTGTCAATTCACGCCTTGAACTGCGCACGAGCAATTTAAGCATGACAAATAAAATACGTTGGTAAATTACAGAGTTGACAATACAATAGAGTAATTGCATCAAAAATGAAAATCCCTAAAAACCTTTTTAATGTAATCTAGAGGTAAAAACACATTGCAAAAATATTTTTTTATATTCCAAAAGTTCAACCCGGCCCCAAAATATCAAATTAAAAAAAAGGTACTTTTCAAACGTTCCGAACTCCCGCCAAATTGCATGACGTCATAAGCTCCAACTGTCAGAAATCAAGATGTCAACAAATAATAAACACCGATAAAGTTTATGTTTAACATGGAAAAGGCGAAACCAAAAATTGGTTGTAAATATTGTTTTGTGCCTTGTTGTACAAATACAACCTGGAAAACTCCTGGGAAAGTTGTCCCTTCAATTATCAAAAGCAAAGTTTATGACCCTACACTGAGAGTAGTTACAGCTCAGCCGTATTTTCTTGGGTTTATTAATATTTAACATACCTATTCAAACCATATACCTAGTAAACGACATTTTATTTTACTTACATTAAAATGATCCTTAAAATGATCAATAAAATGTTGACTGCGGTGACGATGTTTTGATATCGCGCCGAGCTATTTTAATCCACTTTATCCTTATTTTCCCTTTTGGCACGGTGATAAACCTTTTCCCAGGAGTTTTCCAGGTTGTATTTATACAAGGCACAAAACAATATTTACAACCAATTTTTGGTTTCGCGTTTTCCATGTTAAACTTTTTCGGTGTTTATTATTTGTTGACATCTTGATTTCTGACAGTTGGAGCTTATGACGTCATGCAATTTGGCGGGAGTTCGGAACGTTTGAAAAGTACCTTTTTTTCAATTTGATATTTTGGACCCGGGTTGAACTTTTGGAATATAAAAAAATATTTTCGCAATGTGTTTTTACCTCTAGATTACAATAAAAAGGTTTTTAGGGATTTTCATTTTTGATGCAATTACTCTATTCATTATAATTAGAACCAATAAAATGCCAGTATTCCATGGTTACGCATTTTATCACAGCGACAATATTTTGTATCACCTTGTTTACACGTTGCTAAGGATTTTGACACTTTTCTTGATTTGACATTTGTTGACATTTAAATACTGTGTTTGTTAAATGATTAAAATAATGAATTATAAACTCTAAAAGATCGATGGGTTGGTGAAAACGATATTAAAATTAAGGTAAGTTTGAAAAAATAAGGTTTATTATGGTCTTTTTATATTTTAAAGCACATTTTAATTTCAAATGTCAAACTGACAATTCGATAAATCCTAAAATTCATTATATTTTCTCACTAAATATAAAAAGTGGTATGATTAATTATCGATGATATTTACTCATTGAAACCAAAGCAGCACATTTCACTCGTCCTGCGGACTCGTGAAATCTGCAGCTCGGTTTCAATTCTAAAATATCATTGATGATAATTATAATCATACCACTTGTTATATTAGACAATACGTGGGGTAGGGAATTTCCCAAAATGTAAGGAATTTTATCAATGATATAAATGGATATTATCCAATGCATAATAACAAATATTTTTAACACAAATCTGTCCCGAATAAGTCACATTACCCGCAATAGGGCGTTATTTTAAGTATAAAAATACAGAAAAACTAGGTTACATTAGTAGTTTTAAGTTATTTACTTATAGTAGTAACAGGTTTTTAAAATAAAATTTTAATGTTTTCCTTACGTTACGTAACACTTTAACGCTTCCTTATGCCGACTCTCAAAAACTTATTTGCACCAAGTTTATTTTTTTCTCAATCTTACACCTATAAAAAATTGCTGCAGTCGGCAAAATCTTCAAAAAGTCGGCAAATAAAACTCACGCCACCTAACTTTACATCTTTATTCAATGACTTGAAGAAGTTGTTTCCAGAAAAAGTTTTAGATTTGGAAATTGGTTATATCCACATTTGTAAAGTGACCATTCGTCGCGGATTTTGCGGGACAGTCCCGGATTTTATTAACATGTCCCGCAAGAGTTAAAGTCCCGGAAACGTCCCGGATTTTTTCGGATAATCACTAGGTCTTTTTACCAGAAAATTTCTGGCAGAAATCATAATTTCTTACACAAAATAATAAATCTGACAAAAATAGAATAGAGTTACACATACGTAAAACTTATAATTGTTCACAAAATAAAAGAAAGTTTCAGCCGCTCACGAGTAAAAAAATACTGAAGAAAAATTGACTCAATGGACTAAAAATAAAGTTTCCATTGACAAAAGATTGGTTAAGATTTTTCAATATTTTCGCGTCCAAAATGTTCCCTATCAAAATATTAAAAGAATTTTGCTTGTGCCTACCAGAAAATAATGCTCCCCCTGAACGGGTATTTTCTGGAATAAATATAATGTGGAATCATTAAAATGTACATAATACATATGATGTTCCTAAAATATAATTTAGAGTATTCTTCTTGTGAAGAATTTTATAATTCTGTAAATAATAATGATGGCCTTCTGCGGAAAATTCAGTCGGCAGAAAAGTATTCATAAGTAATTAAAGTTGTATATTTGTAAAAAAATAAAATTGTTTAAAAACGAGTAATTTTCAAACATATATTTTTATATATAAAATTCTGCATTTTGGAATGATGTGCATATTATATTATTTGAATGATGATTGATCTAAACGATTTTCTGTTTTCTCGACCTTCCACTCCGTATTCCCCCCTTCCACCTTTTCCTCAAAATTATTTTCGCCTTCGTATCGACAAAATGCGCCTGCCGCGGACTTTTCCGCTTTTGGTGGATTTTTTTTTTGTCTTTGTCCCGGATTTTGACCTTTTTGATGTGGTCACTTTACACATTTGTTAATCAAAGATGTCCACTTTTGGCTTGCGAATTTTAATAGGGTAACGCACACATGGATGGACTTATTTTAATTTCATAATTTAGTGGTGCTCTCCTGCGTTTAGCAATTTTTTGAAGGCTTTTATTAGTTCTCCATTGCATTAATATTTCAACAATTATTGTGAACACTTTAACGGTGAAGTATACTTAGTATACTTAGTATACTGAGGGGTTTATTGACTACGTTTAAACACTACCTACACAATGATAAAATATAAATTAGCATTTTGTTCTTTCTTTGACACATACATATTTCAATGTTTAATCTGAAATTTTTGTATTGTTTTGAAAGCTTAAATAGTCGTTCAAGCCACAAAACAAATTAAAGGTGTGTTATTTCGACAAAATTTATGGAATGTTGTATGTTTTAATATCTGTAGAAAATGAAACAACTTCAAATCACCTTCAAATCTGTTAACACTAACGTTTAAATTTGACGTTACTGATACTTATTCATACTTATTGATATTCCCCTTTATTGATAATCATCAGTATATAGTTACTTATTTATGTATTCTTTGTTAAAATCAACCATAATTATTAAGTTTTATTTTATAAATGTTGTTATATTTTTGTAATTTACTCATTTTAAAAAACTATAGATAAATGTTCAGTTATATTTTTGTAATTTACCCTTTTTAATAAACTATAGATCTTAATTTTTTATGACAGAAAGATACTTTTATTGTTTAAGTATTACATTGTGAATGTAATTTTTATTTAAATTTTATCAATTAGACCAAAAAAAAATAAACATTAACTAAAAATTATTTAAATTAATAATTTCTGCGCGTTAAATCGGCTCTCTAGCCCACTGTCAAATCAATCATTTTTTAGGCTTTGTTACATGTTATGTGTGAGAGAGTGTGAAGTTTGCTGCACAAGCGAGTGTAGCAACACACTCTTTAGAAATCAACGCCTTGTACACTATTTTTCATGACAAACGTTATTTGAGAGATAGTGGTAAAAAATCGTTAATAATTACAGGTTTTATAAATACAGCCTTGAGCGAAGCAGAGTGAAGTTAAGTACAGTTGAACTAAACAATACATACATACTGTAACAATTAAAGAAGTTAACTTTTGAGAGAAGCGAAAGTTGAGTCATCTGCCTTCCCCAGAAATTCACCATTTTGAAATCGCTTAAAAGGCAAGTCATGAAAAAATATAATTTTCAAAAAATTTGAATTGTATTATTAAATTTCTGCTATAAATAACTCATTTTTTAGTTGATTTCTCCGAGTTATTACAAAATAAAAGAGAATTAAGGGTGCATAAATATAGTTTAAGTGTTTGTTGCCAATGGAATTAACGTGCTTTGATTGGCTTAATTTTGCCAGTTTGCCAACTTACTAAACAGATACCGCATACAACATAGTTAAACATCTTGACAAAAATGTACTTACCAACAGTGATCATAGCATGCGCAGTTGAAACGGGCAAATGTTCGGGAAGCAACTGCGTAAAACAGGTGGTCATCGCCAGCAGACCTCCCATTTTACAAAACAAACTGACGTTTTTCAATAAATAAATCGGTATCTCGGAATCGTGCAAATCGCAGAACAAATTCAAATTTTGCATCTCCTGCTGCGTCAGCTCGTCCAATTTTGCTTGTATTGTGTGCTTGTACGCCACGTACAACGGAAAATTTAACAGGAAAATCTTTGAAACCAAAATCAGCAGCTTGTCTCGTTCTTGTATCTCGCTATTGAACTCGTCCGATGGTTGTTGCTGTTCGCTGTCTGGTTTTTCTTTTGCGTCTGTTTTTTCCGATTCCGAACCCCTTTCGGACAGCTGCTTCAACTGACCCACGGACATGTAGATTAGGCCTTGCGTTACATAGCTGAACCGTTCCAGGTTTTTTGGGTCTCGATAACAACACATGCATTGTCTAAAATAGCAAAGATTTGGATTAGTTTCAGAGAAGCGCCTAAATTTACAACGCGATTAAAAAAATGTAATTGTAGGCAAAACATTGCAGAAATAACGTTTGGGCGAAAAAATATCATTTTTATCTTTTGAAAAGGCAAAAGATGGTAAATTAATAAAATTTATATCGACTTATCATATTTACTGTTATTGTAATTCTATGAAATAAATTAATTTTTAAAATAAACTTATCATTTTGTTTAAATTTGGGTATAGGTATTATACCTCCAAGTGACCTAAGCACTGACTTCAATTTTTTTTTTATTTCAAAGGCTTTGAATTTCAAAAAACAAATTGGGGTCAATACTTATGTTCCTTACAGGTATAACCGAGGTGGTGTCCACTTCCCGCAATACATGTACATTTCTACCGCAATCTGACCGTGCATTCTTGCACAAATAAATAAAAAAACAATTCAAACATAAGTGTCTTGTTATTTTAATTAATAACATTTTAGAATTAGCACTTTAATTTTACATTTGCAATAAGGCTTAGGTATTTATTTATATATTTTTGTTTAAAGGTTGATTATAACAAATTAATATCCATTGAGCACCAGATTTTTATAATATTAAAATATATTTTTAATAAATATTTTTTTTTACTATTTACAAAAGTATTTTTTATTGTAACTAATGCCTATAAAAGTCTATAAAACCTTTTTAAAACTAATTGAGATCTGTCAAAATTTTGGGAAATTCATTTATTTCGTCATCGAAATCCCTAGGATCGCCATCGCAATTAACGTAAATCTTTATGAATCCCTATAAAAGTCTATAAACCCTTTTTAAAACTCATTGAGATAAGTTAAAATTTTAGGAAATCCCTTTATTTTTAATGGCAGTCATTGAAATCCCTGGGATTTCCTCTGCAATCACCGGAAATCTCTATGAATGCCTTGGCAAATCCCTAATTTATATAGCAGTCCTCAGAAATTCTAGGATTTCCGCAATACATGTGGGTCAGAATTTCTCAAACGGGCCACCTGAATTAGGTCAAAATTAGTTTTTGTTTGTAGATACATTTTTTTGATAGTATTTTACATCACTAACACAAATCCTAAAGGATTTTGTAAAAAAAAAATTTTCAATTGATATATTCATGATATTAAAAGTCAAAGTTTTTAATAATTAAAAAATAAAAAAATTCATTATGGCTGAACTAATTATCCGATTCCAACGATATAACTAGCGTTGGAATCTTGTTTTGACATAGATTCTTTGTTATTTTTTTCAATTGTCCTATTTTCATTTAGGTCGATTTTTTTTTGTTTTTTTTATACCAAATTCGGAAATAATTGCCTTCTGCGCCAGCTATCGACTCGAGAAAAAAAACACATATACTCCAATCATTTCTCGAAATTATGCTGCTGAGAAAAAAAATGGCCCGCAGGTTGACAAAAAGTTATTCGTCCTTTTGTGGCCGCGCGCGGTGTCAGCTCACGCTCCGAACCGTATACGCTGTACGCGCTTGTGACGCGACGTCTTACGGTGGTCTGGAACCTGCGGGCCATTTTTTTTCTCAGCAGCATAATTTAGAAAAATGATTGGAGTATATGTGTTTTTTTTTTCGAGTCGATAGCTGGCGCAGAAGCCAATTATTTCCGAATTTGTTATAAAAAAAACAAAAAAAAATCGACCTAAATGAAAATTTTACAATTGAAAAAAATAACAAAGAATCTATGTCAAAACAAGATTCCAACGCTAGTTAAATCGTTGGAATCGGATAATTAGTTTAGCCATAATGATTTTTTTTTATTTTTTAATTACTAAAAACTTTTACTTTTAATATCATGAATATGTCAATTGAAAATTTTTTTTTACAAAATCCTTTAGGATTTGTGTTAGTGATGTAAAATACTATCGAAAAAATGTATCTACAATCAAAAACTAATTTTGACCTAATTCAGGTGGCCCGTTTGAGAAATTCTGACCCATGTACATTTTTCAGTAGAATAGACACTCCTTGGGTATAACATACTCAAATTTAAACAAAAATTGTCAACATTGTCAATGCTGCTCAATAAATTAATATTGATTTGGGAACCCTCTCAATCCTTTTGAGAAAAGTTCCAAATGATGATAAACCTTTTGAGCATTATTAAAAATAAGTTATTTTACAAATAATTTTACCAATCCCAGAAAAAGTTTTTGGCGCTTGGTTCCTTTTCGATAAGCGTTATCCATATATATATATATATATAGATAAGTGGTCAGCTGTGACCTCCGTTAAGTTGAGAGGGCCACCTCTCCTCCGGGTCTGCGGAATGGACGATTTTTATTTTGATTGCATATATTGCGGGGGGGAGCCTTAAATATTAACGCCACCACAAGAGGGGAAGCAACTTTTAATTTTTTAAAATGTCAATTTTTTTACGCAAACTGGAGATACTCAAGATACAAAGTCACCTCCGAATATATATATAATTTCGGAGAAACAAACAGCCTTGTAACCTCCGACAGTGTTGCCGGATTTTCGGAGGTCGCAACGTATCTTTAGTATCTGGGATATATATCAGATTTATTTTGTCCACTGCTTTATGCTATATGTGCCATACATTATTTAGTAATAATAATAATTATTATTATTTTTGTTATAAAAGACAAAATATTAAAAATAATAAAAATGGACTACTTTGAAATAAATAATTTATTTAATCTAAAAAAGAACATATTGGTATATGATAGGTCTTGCAGGTATAATGGCAAAAAAATGTTTTATTACATAACCCCTGTAAAATCTTTATTTATCGTGCGATTTTTACCAGATTTGTTTTAAAGGTAAAATCTTGATAAACTGTATTTTTGAAGCAAAAACGCCATATTTTTACCAAATACAAGGCCTACTATGTCAGTTTTTAAGAGTTAATTTTTAAGAATTCATATTATCGATTTTTTTAAACAAAATCTAAGCACGGCACTGGATTCACCACCCCTCAAAATGACCTTATACTAAATTATATTAAAAATGTAAATAGAAAAATATAGAGAAATAATAACTACAAAAATTTATTTTGTCAAGTTATACATGAAAAAAACATTGAAATGAAATTAAACTAATAGTATAACATGGTATACTTATTATAAGTTTAATTTTATTTCAATGTTTTTTTCATGGATAACGACGGAATAAATTTTTGTAGATATAGTGCATTTTTCTACTTAAATTTTTTTAATAAAGTTTAGTAAAGGGTCGTTTTGAGGGGGTGGTGAATCCAGTGCCGTGCTTAGATTTTGTTTAAAAAAATCGCTAATATGAATTCTTAAAAAATTACTCTTAAAAACTGACATAGTAGGCCTTGCATTTTGTACAAATATGACGTTTTTTTGCTCCAAATATACAGTTTATCAAGATCTACACCTTAAAACAAATCCGGTTAAAATCGCACAATAATTAATGATTTTACAGGGGTGAGTTGTAAAAAAAAATGGGTCACATTGTATATGTACTGTTTTGCTTGCAAGTAGTTTTTTAAAAACTTTTCAAACCGATTGACTTTTGAAAGAATTATTAATATTATTATTATCAATAAGTTTTGTTATTTTAATATTTATTAGTAGATATTATTATTTTTTTTAATATTTCAATTGTATTTTTGTATTATTTTTATTTTTTCTAATTTTTTTGTTATTTTTACTATTTTTATTATAATTATTTTTTTGTTAATATTTTTATTACGTAGGTATCTACTTCAATTATTTATATTCCTTTTACAATCTTCATTATTTTATTTAGTTTTATTGTATTATTTTAATTGTTTTATTATTATTATTTTTATTTGTAATTTTAAAAAATTAATCCTGTTATTATTATTTTTATCAATTTTACTTTTTTAATTATTTCTTTATTTCTAATATTTTTATTTTTAATATTTTTGATATTTTTATTATTATATTAATAAAAATATAAGAAAGAAATTTAAGTAAACAATAAATAGGGATATTGTTTTATTTTAATATAAACTACACTGTTTAAAAGTTTCACTATTTTATTTAAATATGACAATTGTTTCGCTACACAGTAGCATCTTCAGACAGGGCCGGGCCTAAGGGGGTGTAGGGGGGGGAGTCACCCCCCCCCAAAGTTTTGGCAGTTGGTTCCAAATCCGAACACGCTTGGCAAAATCTATAGTATTTGGGTCGGTTGGTTGGGTATACCTACCCTACCAACCAACCCATCACAATAAATAAAATGAAATATAATTTTTAAACTTTACCTACGTATTACAAAATTATAATTTTTAATCTATTGTAACCTCCTATAATCGTTACCGTCAAGAAAATTGTACTGGTCAACCTTATTTTTATTAAGGGACATTATATTTCACACAAGCAGCATGTACAAAGTCGGCACCGCCTCGCGGCTTTGTCTTTGGTTTTGGCGGCGTTTGACTCTTTTTACGCACCCCAATTTTCGGCGTCATATTTTTCTAGATTATTATTTAGTTGAAGCTTATCTAAGCTAAATTAAACTAGTGTCAATAAATAGGAATTAATTTTTTTTAATGTGGAAAAGAAAGCTAAAGTGTATTCAAATCCAAGCTGGACTAAAACAAAAACGCCCAGACGCATGATAACTTGTTCTTATTGGTCGATTCTGATGGTGTGACTCGGATTGTGAGTTCTTATTGGTCGATTCGGAGGATTGTGTTTACATTTAGTCCAGCTTGGATTTGAATAGACTTTAGACCGGGCCGAGTTCTAGTAAAATGCTCATTATGTGGATCTGTGTTTAACAAGGACTAGAAAAAAATGCATGGGAAAAATATTCACGGTGGAAATTTGGTTACAATTAAAATTGTTGCTGTTCCGGATAATACACTTACATTGGCAGCAAATCAAAAAAATAGAGAACGAGAATCAATCCCATCGACTTCGAAAGAGCATGCTAATGGTAGGTAAGGACATTCTCTCTTTATCTACACTTTAAATACATGATAAAACTACTGAAAATTTTTACTATTACTACTAACGTATCGATAAAAAAATAAGTTGGTTTTTTTTATCGTCTCCACCCCCCCAAAAACGTGTGCCTCGGTACGGCCCTGTCTTCAGATCTGAAGATGCTACTGTGTAGCGAAACAATTGTCATATTTAAATAAAATAGTGAAACTTTTAAACAGTGTAGTTTATATTAAAATAAAACAATATTAACATGGAGTTTCATCAAGTAAAAGTCGAAACAATTAATTAAATAAATAGGGATAATTAAAAAACATAAGTAAAGTAAAACATTTTTATCTATTAAAATAGTTAAGAATAATAATTATTATAATTATAATTATCATAAGGGTAACTAATTAATGTTTTTTTTCGTTTTTCTTAAGGTTTTGGATATTGGCTTTAATAAGGGATATCTAAACTTCTTTTTATTTTCGTTGGTTCTAGAAAAGATTTAATTTCTTTGCTAGATGAATAAATATTTTTTTAATATGGTTAAGGAATTTATCCTTTATTAACCCGATTTCCATATTTGTGCAGCCTAAAAATAATATCACATTTTTAAACAAATAAAAGTGAAAAAAGATTGTGTGAGTAAAAAATATTGTTTAAACACATTTTATGTGTTAAAATCATTTTGTACTTTTTTTGTTTAAATTCTTTATCTTTTTTGGTAATGATTTCATCATTACTAGTATCGTCTAAATCTAAAAGAATTATTTTACAATATCCATTTCTATAAACATAATGCATTTACCTAATTATGTACTAAAAACTTACTTACCTTGAAAACCGACTCTCTGGATTATTAATTAAGTCCTGGAAGATATATTTTTAACTTAAATCGTTATTTTACACTTAAGATGTTAGAACAAAAGCGAAACTGCGTAACAAATAACATATAAGAAGTATTAAAGATTATCAAGTCTGAACATCTATGACTGCGCGAGATATTGCAAGGTTGCCAAATTTCGGAGGTAACAAATGTACGTATACATGACGGAGGTAACTTTGGTGTGGCTGAATCTGATTAAAAAGCGACACTAGCGCCAATTCATATATGGTGGAACTAAAAGTTCCTTTTTAAGAGACTGGGGGGTCAAAGTGACCTCCGAAATATTTTTGCACAGATTGATTACTGACACTCCCCCAATGTCAAAAATATGGTTAAACACTGTGACCTCCGAATTTGGAGGTCACAGCGTCATATATGAGGTCACAACGTATGAAGGGTCTCCGTTTTGGAGGTGACAATGTACCCTTTATCAATATATATATATATATATATATATATATATATATATATATATAGGGTGTTTCACTTTACATGGAAGCACCCCTTTATTATCTTATTTTTGTATAAATCGATTTGAATTTTTTTGTGCAGCTCACCTAGAGGCATCTATTTATTTCCTTGAGCTCAAAATACGCTATCAGCCTGGCCTACTACGATCAAAAACATTGTCAATATTTGCTTTGCAAAAATTATTAAGAAGAAAAGTTGTTAAGAATCAAAATAATACTCCAGATAAGAACTTTCTTTTAAAAGTTCGTATTTTTAATTTTTATCCATAATCTTGTCCCAAATTTCAACTTTTAATTTGTCGATATTTTGCTTTGCGTTAAAGTTACAGCAAAAAGTTCCATAGAAAAGTTGTTTAGAATCAAAAGGATATCCCAGATACCATCTTTTGTTTAAACATTTTTATTTTTATTTCTTATCCATAAATTTGTCAGGGCCAAATTTCAATTTTAATTTGGTATCAAAGGATGTCGTGGAAAAATAATATTTTTGTTAACGTCATTAGCTTTTCATAATGGCTTAATTACGTTTGACTGTTTTTGTGAAAGTAGAAATAATTTTACTTACTGGTGAAAATGCAAGAAACAATAGTATCTGGAATTAACTGGAGATGTTGCTAAGCCCCGACCAAGAATATTAGTTAGAGAACATTCCTTGGACAAAATGATTTTGGCGGCTTATCACGCTAATTCTCGATCTAGTGTAAGCATTAAATTTAAAATTAAAACTATCGAAAATTTGGCGCTGCTTACTTCTCCACAAACTTAGTGCATTTAAACTTAAATTTTTACATACATACTTTAGAAGAGGGTGATGAATATTGTTATGGGCGCAGGGAAATTTCCTGGAAGATATAAATTTCTTAAAAAAAAGTCGTGTTCAGCGATGAAGCAACATTCACGACTAATGGTGTTGTATCATCACATTGGGTTATCAATACTCACAAAATATAAATGTGTAGTGTGGTATTTTGAACGATCGTATCATTTGACTTTTTTTCGTAATAACTTATACGCTGAACGATTTTTGGATTTTTTGGAAACTGAATTATGGGGTGTAATTGAAGAACTACCACTTGTGAGGCAAACAATATTTTTTCAACTTGATGGCGCATATATTCATAATGCTGTAATCGTTCGAGCATGGTTAAACCAGCACTTTACACAGAAATCGATCAGGAGAAACAGTCCCATCATCGAGTGGCCCACTAGGCCACCAGACTTAACACCACTTGATTTTACTTATGGGGGAACTCTTAAGAATAAAGTTTGTAGAGTAAGACCCCAAAATCAAGATTAACTTTGTGACAGACTTAGGCAAGATTGCCATGAAGCTAATGGACGAGAGTTATTAAGAGTATCAAGAAAGAATAGGAAATTAATCAAGAAATGAATTCGGATTGATGGCGAACTGGTAAAAAGGGGCTATATTTAAAACTGATTTTGAGGCTATTACCTAAATAATTTTGTGTTTGTAATCTGTAAGTTGACTTTGTAAAGTTAATAAAAATAGGCCTCCATTTTTTTCATGATACCTACACGAAATTAAAAGTTGAATTTGGGACTGACAAATTTATGGATATAAATTAAAAATATGAATTTTTAAACGAAAGTTGGTATCAGGGGTAATCTTTTGATTCTTAACAACTTTTCTTGATAACTTTAACTTGAAGCAAAATATTGACAATGTGACCCATGTTTTTGATCGTAGTAGGCCAGGCTGATAACGTATTTTGCGCATAAGGACATGGATCTTGGTGAGTTGTACAACTGATAAAAAATTCAAATTAAATAAAGAAAATACAGGGGTGCTTCCATGTAAAGTGAAACACGCTGTATTTCATATACATATATACAAGGGTGGTACATTTATACAAGGATGGAATGCCAAATTCCCATGTTTCCCCTCCAGCAATCACAATAACCTCACTGTAAAATAACTCCTACATATTTGTTTAAGCAGGGTTGATGTTTTATACGGACCAGCAGTTAAAGTTGGTTAAAACTGGCTAAAACTATTTAAACCATGGCATATTTTAATTAATAGCCGGCATGTGTTTAAAATGCGCATATTACATTTTGAACGCTAAATTTTAAAATGTTTAAAATTTATTTATACCTACATATAAGAGAAAGCAGAATCTTTCTGTTATATACCTATCTAAAATTAATATTATATTATGCATTTTAATGAACACAAAAAAGTATTACTAAATCTCAAGAAAACTAACAAAACACCCAATAAGATTATATTAGTAGATACTTAGGTACCAATTTGAAAATAAATAATTCTGAAAAACAAAATAAGGTAAGTATAGAAAAAAAACTGTTACATTGCTAGTATAATAACAATTTGTTACTGTTGTTTTTTATCTAGTAAAATTTTAACAATAAAATTGATAATCTTTTATTAATTTCAGTTTTGGACAGGTTAAACAAAAAGTTTGGGTTTTATCCAGGAAGGTTTAAACCACTAGTGCCCAATTCTGCATCTATGCTTACGTAAGTAAGCAAAAAACTGACTTATTTATGGTGAACTTATAAAATATATCTAAATTTCTTTCTAATCATTAAAATTTACTAGTATTATAAAAAATGCCAGCTTTGCACCAGAATTATTAGAAAACTTTCTAACCACTGATTTAAATGTTACTTTGCTATTAAAATAATTTCATTACCTTATTTTCACTCGAACAAAGTTAGCTAAATACAATTTTAACTCATCTTCTATTTTTAATTTAAAGTGTTTGTAGTTATTGTATTTCCCTAGTATATTAAAATTGAATGTAAAATATAGATATTCTAGTTTGTAAGGGTTATTTAAAGTACATATATTTTGTTACCTTGAGGGCCATGTTTGTATATAGACAAATACAGTGTCTACATCCCTATCGCTTAGTGAGGGTTGTTCATTAGTGTCCCTGCAAACTTGTGACTCATCTAAAACCAAAATTTACCCCACATTTCAGTTAAAAATCTCGAATACTATTTGTAAATAAACGTTCGACTCCGGTGAAAACTTACATGAAACAAGCAATTGCAGAAAATCTGAACATGCATCACACATGTTTAATTTAATCACAACTAATTTATGTGGTTTTCATCTCAATTTAACCTAATACTAAGTATTACAATAATTATTTGTATAAAAAAATATCAACGTTTAATCAGATGATGATGATGTCCACCATTTTAAAACGTCTTTCGGGGAACTGTCAAAATCTAGTTACAAACAAAACGAAAATCCCTAGGCCATTACCGACATTGAAAACGTAGATAAATCTCATTGACCTTACAAGAATAGAAACACAATTATTTTTTATAAAAAAATGTATTATTTTACATATTTAAATTATTTTACAATATTAATTAATTAAATAATACTTCTGGGTTTGCATAATGACTCTCAGTAAAGGTTTCTTCTGGATCTCCATCAGCAGCATCCTCTGGCAGTGGGGTAAAGACGTTATCATTGTTTAATAAATCTTCATTACTAGCATTCGGATAGGATAGGTTCTAAAATAATACAAATTTATTTATGACTACTTATGAATAATATAAATTTATTTATGACAAGTCTTGTTTCTTTTTTTATTGTTAGCAAAGTGGCAATATTCGGGCAAAACTGGAGCTATAGGGTTTTAAAATAGTTTTGGTTTTAGAAGCAAGTTATCGAAGTATTATTTCTTAAGATAAGCATATTTTATTACACAATCCACACAACAAGGTCTGTTCTATCTCGTACTAAAAATACTAAAAATCAATGCACAGACTCTAACGGCGGCCATTTTTATGTTGTTTAAAATTCTTGTGCTTCGGGTTTAAACTGATGATACAGATTTTTGGGTATAGTAAACTTGTGGGTTATGGTAAATTAACCTTAAAATTGACATTTGACAGTTTAATGACAGCCCTGATAGAATAAGATTAATTTTTTACAAAAGAGGAGTAAAATGGTTGTCTTGAGGCTTAAAAGTGCCTCTGTAAGTCACACTTCGTTTAAAATGATTTTTAATTTGGATAAACAGCACAAACCCAAAGCACAAGAATTTTTACCTTGTAGTAGTGGCGCCTTATATTTAACATTGATGGTGGCTCCCGGCCTGTCAGGCCCGTAAATTTAAAAAAATCATATTTATGCTAGTATTTTTTCTTTGTGAATTTTTTACTTTTAATTTATTACTTAATCCTATTGTGACCAAGGTCACTGATTTTTTAACAAAAAAACCTCATATGTTTGAAATATGGGGTTAATTTTATGGGGACAGGATTATAAGGTGACATAATATTATTTCACAAAAAACTAAATAAAAAATGTATTCTAGCAAAAAAACAACAAATGGTTTAAAAGCTTGAATAACAAAATATCGTATTAATCGTGGTTTTGATTTTTTTCCACACAATGGGGTAGTTAAATTTTTTCTGACCTATACTTTTTATGGTTTTATTGAAGTCGTTTTGTAATTTTAAACATTTCTGTGAAATCGGAATTTCAATTGAGTTTACCGTTTTCGAGATATTTACAAAAAAAAATCTCCTAATTACGTCACTAGGCTATTGACAACGTTGCCAGCTTTTTCTATGGTTGCCAGTGTGTTTAGTTTAAGATTCTTACGATAGATGGCGCCACGTTATAATACTTTAGTTTCAAAACCACTTGATCTATAATTTTAGTTGAGAAGAAGAAGAAGAATTGATTTTTTGACGTTTCTTTTTTTCGGGTTATGGTTTTTTTAAATTTAGATTATTGAAAATCAATGTTATTGTTATGTTATTTGTAATTGATATTAGATACAGCGCCGTAGCAACAACCCAACGGGCCCGGGTTCGAGGCTATACCCACGGGCCTCTGGGTGTTTTTTTTGCCAAAGACGATAATTGATTTAGACGTTTTTATTAACTTAAGTTTTGAGAACGATTTAACCGTCACATGAATTGTAAGGTGTAAAAAACATAGTGTTATTATTTCGGTAAAGCTGCTACTGAATGAGTAATTGTCAACCATAATAAATTTTAGCAAATCCTTTACTTACTTAATATTTTTAAATTCGCCAGAAAAACATTTTTGAAAAGCTATTAATTGATAGGAAAGTCTATCTAAAATATAATCTTCATATATTTCACGAATGTTTTCCGCCATTTGGTTTATTTCTGTATCAGTAGAATTTAACAGAACTTCAGTATCCAAAATACTGATGTTAGTGGCTATTTCATGTAAACTAATTGTAATACTTTGTAACTGGCTGATATTAATATCTAGCAAGGGCGTCGCCAGAGAGGGGCAGGGGGGCAGCTGCCCCCCTAGAGGTTAACGCTCACAAGTCACCCGGCTAATTGAAACGATAAACTGAGTGTTGTGGAAATCCTCAAGGAAACTGAAGATTTTTTTCCTAAAATTAAGAAGGCTTTGAAGATCCTTGTTGCTTTATCTTGTACGACTTGTACAGTTAAAAGGTCATTCAGTAGCCTCAGGAGAATCAAAACCTGGTTGAGGAGCACAATGCCTGAAACTCGACTCATAGGCCTCGCAATGATGAGTGTACACTGTGTACAGTACACAGGCAACACATTTTCAATAACTTGGACGATTTCGTCAACAAAGTGACTAACGAATTCGCAAAAATTATTTTTCAATTGATTTTCTATGTACCTAGTTATTTTGTTCGTTTTTTATTTTTTTTATTAAAACTTTTCTTTTTTGATTTTTCTCTTCAGTTCTTTTATGCTGCCCCCCCTAGCATACCGGCTGGCGACGCCCTTGATATCTAGTGTCTTAAAAAAAACTTCAACTCTAAAAATGTCTTCAGCAGTTTAAAAAACAGTAATTTGCGAATACGTTTTTACCAAAATTCTGGAATTACCTATCCCCCTATGTATGTCATTTGACACATCTTTTAAAAGTTTACTAGAGTTTTGGATATCTTGCTGCTGATTTTGAGTGAGTTTTGATACTGTGTCTATGCTATTAAAAATTTTAGATGATAAAATAATCAAAAACACTGTTTCAAAGTCCAATGTACTTTTAAATCCTTTCGAGTCGTCTATTTCAGCATTATTATTAGATGTTAAAATAATTTTTGGCTAGGCGTTAAGAGCATCAAGATACCTAAAACGTAGGGCTTTTATTGCATCATTGCGTGAAGATCAACGGGTTGTTGATATTTTTTTAAGCCTTAATTTTGACTCGCTTTTACATGATTCAAGCACAAATTATTATTATTATTAGTGGTCTTTTACTATTTACTAAATATATATAAATGAATGCATTATTAATGTTGAAATATATTAAAAAAAAATAATCCAAATATTTTCAAAAAAAAAAAATTATTCTGCTGGCCGTGGGCCCCTTGAGCTCGCGGGCCTGGTTCCACCGAACCCACGGAACCATTGTAGCTACGGCGCTGATTAGATAAGTGATTTATTAATAACGGACTCCAAAGCAGAGGAATCTTGTGGAATGGTTGGTTACATTGAACATTGGAGCTTTTAAACAAATAAAGTAAGTAACTATAATTATAATCATATTTTGCCGTAAATGCATTTCATTAGTATAATGCCTAGTTCTTTATATTCTTTTAGATATATCTTGGACTCTAAAATATCAAACAATAATATGATACCTCGTAATAAGGAAGATAGGTACTTAATGAATTTGGTGACCATCTTTTACTCAACTGACAGTGACAGTATTTGTACATATATGTAGAGGTTATAACCTCTTCGGGTATTTTCTGACATAACCGAATGAAATCATTAACAAGACAACTTGACAACAGGGTAATTTTCAACCAATAGAAATCTTAGAATGTTGGTCACATGGCGAGGTTTGTGACGTCATAAAAATTTATATATTTTGTAAATATCTCGAAAACGGTAAACTCAATCGAAATTCTGATTTCACAGAAATGTTTAATATTACAAAACGCCTTTAATAAAATCATAAAAAGTATAGGTCAGAAAAAATTTAACTACCCCATTATTTGGCATGGGTCATACATAGAAATTTTTGGCTATGAAGTGTGTGGTCCTTCTGTCTATGCGACATTTTGCACACCTTTTTCTGGTCCCAGGGGGAGTTAGTTGAGGTTCAACATTATCGGCAGAAGTCCCAGCTACTTCTTGTCGCCTTTGACGTACCTCAGTTGGTAAATTTTGTTCCATAGAACGGCGATTCAAATGCTTCTACTAAGACATAGCGCCGTTCTTCAAGAGCCTTCGCATTTATAATTTGAATTATTAGCAGTGTGTATTATTTGGGCATTTATTCCAGCCACATTTATTAGCCCATAAAATATGACCATATTTGATAGAATAAAGTATAAAAATATGCTAAATAATTAATATACCACAAAATAGTCGTATAACATAAATGGTGGCGCCCGGCCTTTCAGGCCGTTTTAGGTTATAACTTTTTAAGTTAGAACTGTAAGTAAATAAACATTGCACTACACCTTACTACCCAAAAAGTTAGGAAGGTACTGAAAAATCGAGGGGTCACCCGAGAGGTCAACCACCCAAAGGGAAAACGTCCAGGGATTCCCATGTATTCCCATTATATTTTATTGTATTCCTATGTATTTCCATTGTATTCCTATGGTATTCCCCCTCTAAAATGTCCAGGGATTCCCAGGTGTGGGTGACCCCGAGGGGTCACCCACACCTGGGAATCCCTGGACATTTTAGAGGGGGAATACCATAGGAATACATAGGAATACAATAAAATATAATGGGAATAGTATTCCCGGAATACATGGGAATCCCTGGACGTTTTCCCTTTGGGTGGTTGACCCCTCGTGAAAAATACAAAGTTGTCTCTTAATTATTTTCATAATGATCCGCTAAATAACAACTTAAAAATGGCCGCCGTTAGAGTCTATGCAGTGGGTTGCCTAACTTGTGATTTTAGTATAATTTTTTATAATTTACCTTATTTTTATTTTTATTGGATATAATTCAAGAGACATACACCTTAAGATAGGATGGTGCGCATGTTGGGCGGGGCTTAAATACGTCACTCGTTGAGTATCTTTAAATCAGTAATGTGCGTTTTAATTATACGCTGCTAAAATTCTGGTTTTGCGATGCTTTTGGATGTTAACTTGCTCTGTTTTTCGTTTAAATTGATTTTGCGTTTGTTAAGGATAACTTTTTAGTGTTCAAATTATTGTTATTTCGTTGTGTTTACCTGTTCTGTTTGTGCTAAAACTATATATTGTTTTGTTATTGCCTGTTGCGTTAAAACAATTGTTTTTTTGTAATTAATTTTCTTTTAATAATAAAAAATAGATTCAAATGGTACCAAATATTTTTCCAACGCATCTAGCATCCATAAACTATCCTTTAAGCACTTTGTGTTTTTTTTTGGCGTTGGGGAATATTTCTAATATTTGATTAACATATCACCAAAGTTGTCCTTTTTCAATCAAAACACTTTTAATAACACTATATTACCTAATTTTGGGCTGCTGATTTCAAAAATGCCACTCGTTTTGTTCCAGGACGTCTAGGATTCGAAATAATTGCGTAATAAAATGCTCTGCCCAATTATCTCAATATGTAAGTTTTTTGTTAATATTTTGAATATTTATTAAATTATTTTGCCTTAAATCTATTTTGGATGTTCAGTACATTTTTGACGTTTTTTGTCAAAAATATACAGGGACTCCATACAAAGTCAATAAATGTCAAATAGAATTTTTTGTTCCATTGTAGCCGTATACTATAGTAGTATATTTAATAAAGCATTTTTCTGCAGAGACGTGCTTTATTAAATACCAAAACTAAAACTATAATGTTTTTATTCATGCCTAAAGTACCCAAAAATTTAGTCTCGAATCTTATTTATTAGGTCTTATCAAAATTTAATATCGAATTGAAGTATAAAGGCGCCTTTATCTACTTTATCGTTCAAGCACACTAAAGTAAATCTAATAATTATGGACATTTAAAATTTAAACTTTAAATTGTATTTTTACTTGAAAGTGATTTTAAGAACCAAAAATAAAAAAAGAGCAGGAAATGGAAGTGGTAATGGAAGTAGCAGAGAAAGAGAAAGGAGATGAACATTTATGTCGTCGTTGTAAATTTGTTTTGTTTTTGTTGCGGTACCTTTACGCCCAAGAAAAACCAACGCAATTTTTCATTACAAAATTTTATGAGATATACCTACTACTTTAATTTTGCAGGAATATTAAATGGACCTGATATACGACGTTTAATGAAAGATCAAGCATTCAAGACGCTCTCAAAGTTGACGAGCTTGTCGCATATGGCAGTGTTAAAGCTGTCATTAAAAATGTTCTTGGTTCATATCGGGCCTAAAATTGGCGCCAATTCATTAAAAAAATGCTTGTCATTTAAAATACATTTTCTTTTTTTTTTCTTCCTGATAAATTTGCCGAACTGATGAACATGGAGAACGATTTCACCAAGTAATTGCAAATCTAGACAATGGTAGATATCTACACTGTTTAAAATATATGTGGTGTAAAAAGTAATCTTAAAATGGTGTCAAAATCTAACACCAAGTGGTGTTAATATAACACCATGAATTATGGTTAAAAATGTGTACCGATCGCGGCAAAGGCGGTGTGGATCCTGTGATGTTCTTAAATCTCGCGTCTGTTGACTTACATGAAGAATATATAAACTGAGGTAATCCTTTGCTTTGGTGTGACACTACAAGTTGTTCGATACTAAAGAGACCTTAAATAGGTGGAAACAGCTGTCAATACTTAAAGTATTTTAAGTTAGTGCAACGCACTAAAAACATTATCTCTAGCGAGTTGAAGGTTCCATTTTCTGGAATAATACCACTGGTAATATACTAGTAATGCTTTTTTCTGTGTAGTATGATTTAATTTGTTCACAAACACATAATATTTAACACTAAAAAGGAGTTCAATTTACACCAAGTAAAATTTATTTTAATACTGTGTAAAAGTTAAATTAACACCATTTTAGTATTTGAATTTACACCGGCCAACGGATCATATTTAACACCATATTGGTTTGTATCGATATAGACCAAATATGGTGTTAATTTGGTGTTAAAATGGTCATGAAATTTTGAACAGTGTATGGGTATAGCGGAAAGAAGTTGGATTCATTGCTAGGAGACATTTGCTGGAATTTGCAGCAAAAGATGTACGACGATAATGAGGATTAAGCACAATAATACTATAATCCAATTTGATATTTGATACGATTTAATAAATTTAAGGTAGAAAAAAGCAAAATTATAAAATGCATTAAATTTTTAGGGCTTAATTTGGATAAAAAATACTGAAACTTGTTTACTTTGTTACCCTTTCAATTTAATAATTAAAATAAACTACAAAAAATGTCAAATAATAGTTGTTTTTTTTACATAAAATGCATTAAGATTTTAGTTTTAGTATTTAAAATGTCATATTGTTAAAATAACTATGATCTATTTGCCGTATACCAATTACTTTAGTACATTCAAGATAAATTTAAGCAAAAATAATTTAATAATTAATTAAAATACCAACAAAAACTTACATTTTAAGGTGATTGAACAGAGCATTTTATTACGAAATTATTTTAAATCCTAGACGTCCTAGAGAAAAACTAATTATATTTTTGAATTCAGCGGCCCAAAATTAGTTAAACTAAGCTGGAGTACTTAATGTTAGGAAAAAAAAGTTTGTAAAACTATCATAGTGTAATTTACAACAAAAAATGACAAATGACAGTTTTTAATTGATAAAATTGGATATTTTGTAGTTCTTACCTCCTCCTTGAGTTTTTTTAGTTTTTTCTTGGTTTCCCTTTTGAAAAATCCTGCTTTCATCAAAATAAAGACTATCAAGAGGAATAATAAAAACCCAGCTATTACAGCTGCAACAATATACCAAATCGAGATTTCTGTAACTTCTAATTTATCTACAAACACAGTGGATACTGTGTAACTGTTGGATCTGAAAAAGATTTTATTGTGTAAACAAATTTTTTAATATAATTAAGTCGCGCCATTTTATAAATAAGAAACCTGATCGGATTATAAAGTTATAAAGTGCTCTTTTAGTTCCACCCTTACATCCAAACTAAGATGTCCCATAAGCCAACTGAATGGCTTGTGCGGGTTAGGGGTAGGAACGGACCGACGGCTTAAAGTCCCCTCCGAAGGACTATACACAATGGACAAACACAAATAAACAACCATACCCAAGTGGGATTCTAACCCACGACCTCTCGGCTCGTACCCAGGGGCTCTGACCTCTACACAACCGAGGCCGGTATTTCTATAACTATAACTAACTTCCTGATTCTGACTTTTGACCGCCCTTTTGACGCTCCTCTTCTCGAAATTTTTTTGAAATTCATATTCATATAGTCTAACTTTGTCAGAGTACACATTTGTACACCGATTTTTATAAAATTGGAGTGCCTATATTATTGAGGGGAGTTAGAGAATATTTTTTAATACTGTTCACATCATTTGATATATATAGGGTTAGCCAAAAATCGCTTATTTTTAATAAAGCAAAAGCGTAAATTCATGGTTTTGGAATAACACGCAAAAAAGATTTATCGCCAATTTCTTTTAGATATTTCTAGGTTTATCAGGTTACAAAATGATATTCTTATAAAAAAATTTTTAATAAAATTAAATAAAATAATGCTTAGAGAATATTTAAAATAATGGTTTGACTTTTTAGTACCTAGTTTTCAATTTTGAACGAAAAACTGGTTGAAGTTTTTTTGATATCATTAAATTTATACAGGGTTAGCCAAAAATTACTTTTTTATATATAAAAAAGTATATATAGTAAAACGCATAATGCACAAAAAAGATTTATAACCAAAAAATTTTAAAAAAATCATGAATTTTCAAAAAATTTTGAAAAGAGGAGCAGCTTTGGTAAATTTCATTTTTAAGTCACCAAAGGGTCCCGATCAAGAAACTGCAATCAGTTTTTGGCGGCATTTTTATGTGACTTAAACCTCGTTCAGGCACACCGTGTGTATACATGTGCACATGTGCAACGCTTCAAAAATAAGCGTCACTTTTGTGAATTAAAACACCGTAAGCTAATAAATGTTTAGTTCTTCAGCAATGTATAGCACATACAATAAAATTTAAAAGTGTGTATTTCTTTCTTATAGGAAAAGTATATTTTTACAGTTTTTGTGAAACTTTCAAAAGTTTAAACCTCGATATCTTCAAAACAAAGGCCGATCAGAAAAAAATCTCATTTTTTGTTTGAAATCCAATCTCAAAGACGAATTTTCATTTTTCGCCTCCTATACTATAAATCACCCTATATTTCTTACCTATTTCCGGATTCTTTGAATTCACCATCGGACATTATTATTTTTGCCTCTCCATAGGATTCATACAAAATTTGTTTCTTTTTTCCTCCTAAAATATCTAAAAACCAACCAAATTTATTATTATTTTGCTTTCCGTTAATCCTGCAATAGTTTACCAAAAAGTACGTTTTCCTTTAAATGCATAGTAAAACTAAGCGATTCATCAATGACATTTTCATTAAATGGTCCAACTGTGCATATTATTTCGGTAGGTCTAGCAATATTAAAGCGATATAAGGACTTTGACACCACAATGTTGCTCGAGTTTAATTCTTTTAATTGAGAATTGTGATCGGGAACCTAAAAACATTTTTAATTGTAGATCATACTGTCCTGCAAGGACAGGAAATAAGCAAAATGACACATAAATAGAGATGGGATTTTAGGTTGCAAAATTTATAAAAATAGGTACAGTGGCATATATGTATATATACAGGGTGTTTCATAATATATGCGCAGGACTTCAGGATGTGATAGCTCATCCAAAAAGATGAAAAAAGTCGCTATTAACTTACCCTCTAAAATGCACAATTTTCGAGATACAGGGTGTTGAAATTTTAGAAAAAAAATCGTTTTTTTAGATTATCTCTGGAACCGTTTATCGTACAAAAAACAGCTTTTGTAAGCATTTTTTTTTACTCATAATTGGTGGAGATTTTGAAGGGGTAGCGGGTGTTTTTCTCCTCAACTTCAACGCCCCTGAAAAAAGTACGGTTTTAAGAGGCCCATTCGAACCGCCAATGTTTTCTACAGAAAAAAGGTACTCTTGGTCATAAGCTCTAAAGTTGACCGTTTTCGAGAAAAATCAACTTTTATGTTTAAAAACATGGCCTCTCAAAACCGTACTTTTTTCAGGGTCGTAGAAGTTGAGGAGAAAAACACCCGCTACCCCTTCAAAATCTCCACCATGGTGGAGGTAAAATTTTTTTTTTCCTCATAATTGCAATTATGAGGAAAAAAAAAATTTTTCTAGCACAAAACATAGCTTATTTTGAGTAGAAAATGCTAACAAAAGCTGTTTTTTGTACGATAAACGGTTCCGGAGATATTCGAAAAAATTTTTTCTAAAATTTCAACACCCTGTATCTCGAAAATTGTGCATTTTAGAGCATAACTTAATAGCGACTTTTTTCATCTTTTTGGATGAGCTATCACATCCTGAAGTCCTACGCATATATTATGAAACACCCTGTATATGTAAATATTCCGTTGATTCCGTTCCCTCTAAAAATGACTAATTACTACAGTTATTAGTGGCTGCTTTTTCACGTCGTTGATAAAGTATAGTATGCAACTCGTTGTATAAACTTCACCAGACACTCTTTTTATTAAACACTCGCTTGCAAGCTTCGCTCGTTTCCAATAAAACTAGTAACTAAAATGGCGTTTATAAAACCTGATACATAATATACCTTTTGGTTTCGCCGTACTAGTGCAGTTAACTAATTTACTCGTACCTGATAAAGCGTTAAAAAATTTGCGTACAGTGCCCATAAAACATTCTCTTCTCTTTTACTGTGAAAAACTGCTTCTATATCGATTGTTAGTCTATCTTCAAGAAATACATTTTGATTTACACAGAAAAATTTGAGATTTTAAGGCCGGTATACTGGGAGACTCCCGCCTAAACTCCCGGTATACCGGGAGACTCCCGCGGCAGCCCTAGGAATAACTATATATTTAGAAATATATATTCCTAACTCGGGAGGGCTGGCAGCCCTAGAAATATATATATTCCCTAGGAATATATATGTATATTCCTAGGGCTTACAGCCTCCCGATTTAGGCGGGAGTCTCCCGGTTTTACAGCAAGCCTCCCGATTTTTAAAAGACGTCTTAAACCCCCCCCCCCTATCATATCTGACGTCCAAATCATAAAATAGAGCTTATGCAGACTTAATCAAGACGTCATATTGCTGTCTGGGAGGGTTAACCGCAAAGAAAATTTATTTTTGTTATTTTTAATTAAAATATATGGCAATTGTTATATATTTTATTTATAAATAACAACTACCACTGTAGGTTTATAAAACTTGCCTCTCTTTTTCTCCTGAAATCATTTGGTCCTCCTTCGGGTTCAGAATTCCCGCCATATTTGAAGAAACATTTATTTGGAATTTCTATATACATAAACTGTATAAACCCTACTTCATTCGTAGAAATATAGGATGGAAATTTAAATGATACTTCAACTTTTCCTATCGTACTGCTACCTTCTTTAACAACCTAAGAAAAATGTATATCAAGAAATAAAACTAAGAATGTTGTTAATGTAAGTACTCTGTATGTCTGTGTGAAAGTCGTTGATCCATTTTTGGATAATTCGTAGGCCTTTGCTCCCGATAGACTAAAAAATCAAAAATAATTTTTTTTAAAATTAATTTAAAACAGTTATACCCGTCCAAATAAATATCTACGTCCCTATCTATGTTCAAGTAAATTTCTTTGGTCAAATTGTTTTCATTTTTACTTTTTGTTTTTAGTTCCACAGTAATTAAAAGATGTCCACTGAAAGATCCGGCTATTGCTTCTTCTAAATCCAAATCAAATTTTACCTAAACAGAATAAATTATTGCTTGGTGAAACTTTTTCAGCGAGGTGGAAGTTGGAAAGTTTCACGTTTAATTAGAGTGAAATGCAATAAAAAGCGATAGTTTGCTTATTTTTTTTCAAACATGGTCGCCATGATTTGTTAAAGCTCGAACATGGTAAACCATTTGGCTTACCAACCCAGTATATAAGCTCAGGGAGTCCTTTGTTTTGGGTGTGTTCCACTACACCAAGTTGCCCGACACTGATGAGACCCAATATAGGTCGAAACAGCTGTCTGTCGGTATTTGACGATGGTGGAACGCACTCAAAATAAAAAACGATGGCGAGGCGTAGGTTAAATTTTTTTCTTGTAAAACATTTAATATTAATTATATTAAAAAAATAAAACCTATTGGATGAGCATTTATTTATATGCAAAAGGGTTCCAAATTACATACCTGTTCACTTTTAACTATAGGACGAGGGAGCGGGCACTTGAGAACTTCCGTTTCATTTTTAATTGAATTACACGAAATGTCCGTTTTAAGAGGCTTTAACCCCTTTGGTAGTTTTACTATTAATTCGTTAGAGTAAGCATATTCGCCAGAATTTTGAATATCAACCTCAAGTGTTACAAAGGACTTCTTATTTGTACCAGTGTTAAAAGTATTGTTTTCCCTTAAACAAATGGGTAATAAATTTTAGATATGGAAAAACTATCAGCTATCAACTAGTTAGTTATCAGTAAGGACTAATATCATTAAGTGTCAATAGGTGTTGGCCATATTTTGAACAAAATACCTTTTCCGGTTTGAACGGAATATATTTTTACATTTTTAAATTCCACATAAAATTCTGAAAAAAATGACTAAACCATGTCCTATACCTTATTTATATCTGGTAGCATTATTAATAGTTAAAAACTTAAAACATGGACGACGGTGATCCATTAAGTCTTATTCTGTTAAAAAATAAAGAAGAAGAGCAGTTGCAAGTTGCAACTGCTCTTCTTGCAACTTGCAACAACAAACATTATATAGAGTCGCAGTCGCGAGTCTATTTTTTATTCAGGAATTAATTTTATGTGTTAACCCTAGAGTGATATTTTAAATTAGATAAAAAATATCACATAAGAATATAATAGCAGATATTCTAAAATTTGATTTAATTTTTATTCCAAACTGATATTTTTAATTTAGTGAATTTAAAATATTTGTTTCCTATAATTGTATTTTTTGTCAAACACACATTTTTAATTCGCTTAGTTAAAAATTAGATTTAATTTTTACGCCACACTGATATTTTTTATTTAATTAATTTAAATTATTTGCTTTCTTTATTCGTATTTTTATTTTAAAAAAATGCAGATATTTTTATTTGATTGTGATATTTTTAATTTCGACTGATTGAGAGTTTGGATACCCCTGTTATTCCAAACGTCACAAAAACCGACCCACTCCAACAACAAACTAACGTGCACTATCCTTGTTCAGCACACGCTGGGTCAGTGCGACATGGGAGTCCCATGATGGGACTCACGTACGTCGTAGATCCCAGCATATACTTACGTAAGTATATGGATCCCAGCACATACTTCCACACATCATATACAAATCATTTCTAACTGAGACTGTTTCCATTTCGTGGGGGTAAAGTAGGGGAAATGTTTTCACACGGTAGCGGGCATGAGGCGCATGCGTCAGATGCATTGCTGGTTAAAAAAAAAATACCATACTTTTGTCCCTATTGAAGAAGTATAATAAATACTTTTTAATAAATTGTATGAAAAAAAGCATTTAGCAATAATAAACTCACAAAATGATGATATTTTAGATTTTATAATGGCATCCCAGTAAGCACCAAACAGTCGGCAAACAGTCGGCCTTCGCTCGGCATAGGCGGTTGACCGGCGGTTCGGCTTGCCCCAGCCGGCCCGCTTACGGCCCGCGTTATGTTACTCCGGTACCGTTTAGCCATGTTCTAACCGAAGTCGGCCAGAATACGGCATGCCGCTGGAAAATCCTTCGGCTTGCCCTAGCCGGCCCGCTTACGGCTGGAATACGGCCTGCCGCGGCAAAAGCGATACATCTCACGGCTGCTTACGCACGCGAGCTAACTATATATAACTATATTGGTTGCAATATTTAGTTGGAAGTGTGCGTCCGTAATGGCATAGCTGAATATTAATTGTTTGGAGTCCCCATCTCCATCCTCATCTGCTCATAACGAATAATCTCTAGCTAGTCGAGTGTGAAGAAGTATCTTGCCATTCAGAGAGTACGTGTACGTATAATTTCTCTATCTTATGTTATGTGATGTCTATGGTATCATATATTTTAAATCCCCCACTTATGAACTGACCATGCGCATAAAGAAAAATGGCACACCAAAACAATTTTCCCTCAGAAACGGGAACAAGGTCATCTATACAAAATATATATATATATGCCTATAGGCAGCGGTATATGTGTGGAAGTATGTGGATCCCAGTGATTGTGCTGCCATCTAGCGACAGAATTAGTTTGAAATACCAGGGGTGTCCAAACTTTCAATCTGAATTAAAAATATCACATTCTAGTATATTAAAGAACTAATGTCATAAGACGTCATTTTGTCGCACGCGGACAATTTATAAAACGAGCGACGAAGGAGCGAGTTTTATAATGGACAAGTGCGACAAAAGGTCTTATGACATGAGTTCTTTATGCTATTTTATCTATTTTGCAAACATTTCATAAAACAAATTAATTTTATACCTTATATTTAATTTGGTGGAATTTTACTTTACATAGTTGGTATCACATTTTGAAGTTTGAAAGGTCATTAACCTTTCAAACATTATCACATTCTTTCGCTATGGCGTCGTTAATTTACAATAAGTATTTACAATAAGCGGCTGTTAAAGAAAAAAAAGGATTTTCTTTGGTGTTAAACAAAATTTATTGCACGAAAAGTCTCGTAAGTACTAGAAAACAAATCATAAAAATATTATAACCTATAGGTATTCAAAATTGTATTTTACCAGTAGCCAACCTATAAAATCAAAATTTTGGGTGGAATAAAGTACCTCATTAAAGAACCAAAAGCGGTGTTATAATGAAGTCATTATGAAACCAAAATAGATAAAAATAAAAATTAAATCGATTTAAAAATATCTCCTATGATATGTACGAGGTGTGTTCAGAAAATATCGGGAATTTTCGTTTTTTGAAACAAATATTTATTTATTCGTCTCCATTAATGTTGTCGCCTTCAAAATAGTCCCCATTGGATATTATGCACATGTGCCAGCTCTTCTTCCAATACTCGAAACACTTCTAAAACTCGATCTTTGGGATAGCCTTTAGTTCTTTCAGCGATGCGCTTTTAATGTCATCTATGCTTGCAAAACGACGGCCCTTTAAGGTTCTCTTTATTTTTGGGAATAGGAAAAAGTCAGACAGAGGCATGTCTGGCGAATATGAAGGCTGGGGCATCATTACAGTATTGTTTTTGGCCAAAAATGTTGTTCAAAATTTAACAATTTTAGAACAAATATTGCTGCCACGCGTTTCTTACCCAAAACATTCGAAAAAATTTCATGGGATGAGCCAATCGATATACCAACATCATCAGCGACTTCTCTGATGGTTTATAACCATTTCTTCCACTTTTTCCATGTTTTTATCGGTTGTTAATGTGCTTGTGCCTTCGGGGCGTTCGTCATCTTCAACGTCTTCACAGCCATCTTGGAAACTCTTATACCACTTGTAAACTCTTGTTTTACTTATAGCAGACTCACTATAGGCCGGCAGAATTTATTTCATTTTTTAAGCAAAATTGGATACAAATTCTTTGATCCATTTCTTTCAACGAACGAAAAATCGCCGAGCTCATAAAACACGTCTAACCTTAGCGGCTGCCACAGACAAAGTAAACAATGAAAACAGCTAAAGTTTTTATCATACTTCGTGGGCATATATACCAACATAATAAAGAAAATTTTATGACAACCAAACCCTCCGAACCCGCGAAATTTAACAATTCCCGTTATTTTCTGAACACACCTCGTATGTGTTTAGCAAAAAATACGAATATAAGCAAATTTTTTAAAATAACTAAAAAAAATATTAAATAATTATATTTGAATCACTTTTCGGGGAACTTTTTCATATTTTTGATTGGTAGTTATCAGTAATTTATTTGAAATTACTGATAGTTATAACCCCAGTAGCACAAATATATTGGCCCAATATTTGTAATAATATTGGGCTAATATATCTTTCGTCAGATTTTTTCTAGCATGGTCCAATATTGAAACCCAAAATTGGCCCGAAGTTGTTTGACATTATATTCGAGAAAAGTTGAGGGAGAAATTAAAAGAAAAAAAAGATATCTACTTACTACGTAGTACACGGAGAGAAAAATTTTGCCAGAATGAGGATCCGTATAGCTATTTTAGTTATACGCAATATAGTTATCTGTCTTTATGATACGCCGTATAGCCAATTCAGCTATACCGCGTTTTTTCATTGCGTATCGTCAAAATGACGATCGTATCGCCGTTGTAGACATGTAGAAGATTCTTATTATTTTACGTATGTTTGACACATCAAATTTAACTGTATAAATATTAAGTTAACTTAGAATCCATACAATTAAAATAATTTATAGCCGATTAACATTTTGATTATTAATTATGAAATAATTCAGGTGAAAAGACCAACTTGTACTTATACAACGAAATAAATGGTTAAAATGTATAAGTTGGTCTTTTCACCTGAATTATTTCTTAATTGTTATATTTAAGACCTGAAAGTTTATCAATATTTTGATTATTAGTATTAATGATAAGAATCATAATTTCAAATAACAAATTTTATTAAAATGATTGATACAATACATTATTACAATATCTTAAGCTAAGTAATGTTGTAAAATATAACGTTCTTCCGAACTTTGAATTAAGGATACCGGATACATGTAGTGGTCATCATAACGTATAATATAATTATCTTCTTTTGAACTTAATATTTTAAATGCATGGCGATGACTATCAAAAACCGTAATCAACTTTATATAAAAAAAATAAAATAACATTTTGCTCAATAATGGTCGATAGTGATCTGTCGTATAGCCAAATCAGCTATACAGATCCTCATGTTGGCCAAGTAGTTAACTATACCGATAAATCGGCATACGGTTACGCGCGCTATTTGTCGTTTGTCTGAATCAAACAAAAGTATCGTAATTATGTAAAACCATATCATTATTTTAACGATACGACATTTACAGATACTTTGAATAGACATTTTGACAAAATTTTTCTCTCCGTGTAGGATTTCTAAAAGTGATATGTCACGATCGTGTGTGACATGACATGACGTGTCGACAAACGTTTGTTTTCAGGAAATCTTTATAGTACATTTGTAGGTACTTAGGGGCGTAGAAGCGGGGAGGCGGGTGACAATGCCCACCCAAATGATAAGGGGGTGAGGGGGGTTACTTGATATAAAATGTACCCTCCAAATTCTTTGAAAAAATCTACCAATAACACAAGTCGTGTACCGTCTATATAGACATATGTTATTCTTAATTACGATGAAATGCTAAAATCGTTTTTATCGTGTGCTAAAATGATCAGCTTGAGCTTTATTAACGTAATAACGAATTTTATTGCTAATAAGACAAAAAATCGCATATATCCCTTGTTATTCTTACGGTAATATGCAAGAATGGCCTTTATTATTTTCACCAATTTGGTGCTAAATAATAAATAATAAGGATGGTAGTCGATTGCGCCACCCCCAACTTAAAACCGTTCCTGCGCCACTAGTATAGACATATCCTGGAAACAAACGTGTTTCGTTACATATCACTTTTAGAAATCGTTGACTATAGTCAATATATCATTAACTATATATAGTTAATGATATATTGGCCTAAAATAATATGCCAATATAGGACCAACCTTGGATAAACATTGGCAAGATATATTAAATTAATATTTTATGCCAATATAGGGCTAACATCGGCTAAATAAATTCAATATTGGCCCCAGATAAAATTTTGGGCAAAGACGCGACCCATATAGGACCAATATTTTGTGCTACTGGGGAACCATCATAGTCAAAACTGAAATCATTTGAGAAGACTTAAAACTAATACTTACAAGTCTAGCAGTCGAAGTCCCAGCGTCAAATTCGATTGGCAAATATTATCATTCGTGCATCCTACACCAAAATGTACGTCGATTGTTTTTGGCCCGCTCGATCTTTCCTTGTCTATGATTGGACAACGCAAGCAAAATGAATCGCCGTGAATATTATTTGTTGTCTTATTTTTAATCATTATGTTTTTAGGTGTCTTTTGACCTTCATCCACAAAAACGTAAGTCAACTTTACTGGAACGGTTTCTTTAATTTTGTTGTCTATTTTAACCGATATATTTTCAGTTTTTGAAGTTCCAATATTTATGGTGATATTCTCAGTGGAGTAAGAAAAATTGGTTCTTTTAAAATCTGTGTCTATTTCTATGGTTCTTGTTAATGCTAAAATTATTTATGATGCTTAGTGAATGTACAGGGCACACTGTCGCAAATAAGGTGCACAACGCCATACCACGATAGAAAATTACATTTACTTTACTTTAATAGTTTTCAAATTATTAAGCATTTAGTATTTTAAAAATGAACTTAAAATTGGTTACTATAAAAGAGTATAGGTACTCTTTTATATAAATGTATATTAAAATTACAAAAATAAAATTTAATTTTAAAAATCTTATAATCCAAAAACTACTTATCCTAAAAAAAGAGTCATTCCAAATAAAACATAAAAAATGGGTGCTGCATAGTTTAAAATTTTAATAAAAAAATTGTCGATTATCTTTTAAGCATAAAAATCGAGAAACTTGTTTTACTTTTGAAAGATATCTATACATATCTAAAATGATTTGAAATTGATGGACTACAACTTTTTTCTATTAAAAAAATGTTGATGATTATAATTTTATTTTACTGGCTATACAGGGTGTTTTACATTCGTTGTTTTTGGGGAACGACATAATATATCGATTTAAAAATTTTAAAGCGGTTATAATCCATATTTTAAACAAAATTCCAACCCAACCCAAAAGAACACCCAATATATTTTTACATGTTTAGATTCCACATAAAATTCTGAGTAAAATTACTATACCATGTCCTATACCTAAAGTGAATAGTTTTCGAGTTATTAATTTTTTTCGTTAAAATTTGACAAATGCGCGTCATTCAAAAATAGCCTATAATAATAATAATAATAATAATAAAGTTTATTTTTTTCATAAATAAAGTATATTAACAATTTGTTGTGCAAGTATAAACTTAAATATTATGAAAAAAACACTCAGCACACTGTGCTCAAGAAGATAGAAATATTCTACCCCTCGGTTTTCAGCACAAACCGGCCCTGACTACATACAAATTACATTCAATAACTTTTTTGTTATTAGGTTTGCGAATATGGAGGTGCAATTTTTGGAATACTAAATCATTCTTTAAATCATTCTTTGTCAATTCTATAACATGTTTTAACAAATTACCTGAGAAATGTTAAATGTATAACCCGGTATGTTATTACACAATCATATAATAAATTTAAAAATTAATTTCAGATAATTTCAAACATAATATCTAGATATTATTTAACAATTTATAAAATTTTAAATATTATTTTGTATCAAGAAACCTGTGATGGATGAATTGATGAATTAGTGTGTAATCTGTCATTGTTCAAAATTTAATAGCGTAAATTTTTTAGGTTGTTATAACGGTATAACAATTTAATAAACCAACAATATTTTAATCGAGAAGAGCAACGTGTAATGTAGAAGTAAAAATTAAGGAATGCTTCAATGTAAATGAAGAAAACTTTAAACATTTAGTAATAAATGAGCAATAAAAATTGTTAATTAAAATATTGTTGGTATATTAAATTGTTGCATATATGCATTCTTTTTGTTATTAAAATATTTAATAAAATATTTTTTCTTCATACCTTGTTCGAAAGTACGTACTTTCATTCCTAATAGCAGGGACCGATGTATGAAGAAAAATGGTATACACCACACGGGCGCCCAACCAGCAAAGTAATTTTATAATTTCATCGCACTGCGACTGTTTTATTTTATTCTTATTTTATTATTACTTCCAAAATACAAATTAATTTTATAAGAGAAGTGATGAACTCTATTCTGTTGTTAAAAATGAAATGTTTTATAAATTTATCGTAAAAACGTTTCTATGAGCAACACAATAAAACTAATACAAAAGTCAAACCTATAAAATAAAATTGTTTTATAATAATTATTGTTTTTAGTAAATTTCGGCAACATTATTAAGACTCTTATAAATATATTATAAAACTATTTTATAGTCGCGTTTTATAGCTTTAATAAAACAATTATATTAAAGTATCAATGAGAACTATTTCGTTTCTTCAAGTAAATTGTTTCTTTAGTAATCAATATAAAACTGCTTTATATTATGTTATTTGGGTTACAATATAAAAGCAATAACAAAGTTCTTATAAAACTAAATAGCTAATATCAAAATGATAACTAGTTATCATTTTGATATCGCTAATTACAATAAAACAAATTTATGTTGAATTAGCTGATGTGGAGTAGGTACATAATTTTCATTAGTTCAATGTTTCATAAATATAAATGTCGCAATTATCGCAGTAAAAAAAAATAAGAAAAGTGGCGCCTTCCGCAGAAGATTAAAAAGATGTTACGAAAAAATTATCAGTAGTGATAATAAGGATTCCAGTTTCGACAATGATAAAACGGATCATTTAAACATAAAGCAGCAATCTACCAATTTTAACAACAGAGCTTCAGACCTCACAAGTGTCAGTACTAGTAACATTTTACTGTTTTATTAGAGTCGCCAAAAAGTCGCGAGTTAGCAAAAAAGTTGCCAGTTAGCAATATAGGCACTTTTATTTGCTCGGCAATGACCGTATAAAAATCGCCTGTGGTATTAAAATGTATGAATGGCAACAAATATGTTTTATTAGAGTTGCCAAAAAGTGTCAGAACTAATAACATTTTATTGTTTTATTAGAGTCGCCAAAAAGTCCCGAGTTCGCAAAAAAGTTGCCAGTTAGCAATATAGGCACTCTTATTAGCACCGCAATGATTGTATAAAAGTGGCGTGTGGTGTTTAAATGTATCAATGGCAACAAATATGTTTTATTAGAGTCGCTAAAAAGTCGCGAGGTAGCAAAAAAGTTGCCATTTAGCAATATAGGCTCTCTTATTACTATAAACAAGACACAGTTTTTTTCACCATGTTTCGGTTTTTTGAAATATTTTGGGAACAGGGCGGTATTATAACGTTTTTCGAATTTTTAAAAATAATTTTATTCTCGCTTATATAGCTATAAAGTATTGTATTATAATAACACAGTGCAAAAGGGAATGGTTTGAAACCAAAAGCAAATGAAATTTAATAGCTTCTACAACAAAACCCTGTCAGGGTTTTTTTGGATCACGCCTCAGTTGTTTATCATACATATTTAGAGTTGGTACCAAAAAATTATGTATAAATTTTATAAATACATGTTAATTTTTCCATTTTTGATGTTAATTTTTACCTAAGACCTACAGTAGAGGAGGGCGCGCACTCGCGGTGTCATACAATTTTTGCTATAGAAAGTATACTTTTTACGTATTTTTATTGTTAAAATTTTTTTTTCTATTTTTGATCAAATCGTAACCTCTTTTATAAAAAAGCTATAGCAAGAAAAGTAAATTCGGGAGTTAATTATAACTACTCTACAGGGTGAATTAAGTATATGTTCAAACTTCATCAGGCTAATTCTTTAGATGATTTTAAGATGAAAAATCAATGTAAACATGGGTTAGGATTCCTAAGATTCCTAACTTAGGAAATGTGCTTAGTTTTCAAGATACAGAGGGTGTTAAAAAATTTGTTCTATCTTAAATATATCTTGAATATCCTTTACTCAATTTTGATGAAATTTGTCGGCGTTATTTGTTTAGTAAAGGGCTAATTTATTGTTGAGCACTTTCGTTATTATAAAGTTTAGCGGAAGTTAAGTGGTACTTTATCTCAAGATAAAGTACCACTTTACCTCTTGAAGCTTCTTTTTTTACCTCTTAAAACTTTTTTCATGTTTTTTTTAAATGTTTTTCTGGTCCACCCAATATTTTTTGCCTATTTTTGAAGCCCTTAAACAGAAAAAAGTTTGAGAGTATTTTAAAAATTAATAATTTTCTTAAAATATTCGATTGCGAAAAGAAATTTCATAAACTCCGACCCTGTGACAATATGTATCATTAGCCTACACAAAATATTTTATAAAGATTGCCTAGTAATTTAAATTGTTTTATAATGGTTGCGCCTAAAAGTAAATTATTTTATAGAAAAACGCCATTTTAAAATGGGTGTACCCCAAGGAATCGAAATAAGTTGAATTTAAAATACTAAATATCACACGGTATAATGACACTTGCAGTAGGTAAAATACATAAAAATTATTATTAGTTACCTCTACAACCAATCGGTTTAAGTTTTTCTGTATAAAATTATCATAGCGAGGAAGCTAGTTTTTTTGTTATTTAAAAAAATTTCCTAAAACACTTGAAAATACGGGGCGCACTTAAATTTTGTTAGAAATATGCTATATATTTCTCAATAAAATTTCCCTGGTATCAAAAATGTCTATCCCTGTAGCACAAATAAAGTTTCCAAATAATAGATATAGTGTTTAAGGTAATATTAAAATGGCTTCTTTGCTAATGGCCTCGGCCTCAATTGCAGCATTCAGAACATCTTTAAAAAACATTTTTATTTTGTTACTGTAATTCCAATATGCATTTTTATTTTATATTGTTTTCATGAAGCTATTATAAAATTGTATAGTTGTTTTATAGAAATGTTTATACTTTTGTAAAGTATATTTTATAGCGCAGTATAAAAAGCTTTAACAAAACTGTTTTATAATGCTTTTGTAAAGTTTTTCTAAGACTTGCCGAAATGTTTATAAAATAATTTTATTATGTTTCCAAAAGCTTTTACAAAATACTAACCAAAACTGAAATGTTTTATAAAGTGGTGCCAATTTTACATTTATAGCTATCTTATAAACATTTTAAAAACGTTTCTGAGAGTAATGTTTGTTTTATAATTTTTGTGTAGGAAGCGTTTTGGCAAGTATTATAAAATATAAAAATGCTAGTTGGGCGGCCCCTACTGTTTGTATAACTTCATAAAATTTTTAAAATGTTTGTCAATGTTTTTATTTTTATTTTATTTTTTAAGTCACTGACTGCTATTTTTTAACAATAATATTGTTTACAAAACACTTACTATTTGATTATGTAAAAACATACCGGGTGTTTATTCAAAACAAAAAAGTTATTAACTTTTGCGCTGGGTTTTCTCATGTATTTTGTTGGAAAATGTTAAAGAATTAACAAGGAATCTTTTAAACAATGTTTTAAGATTCCAAAAATTCCATCGCTATATCCTCAAACCTAAACTGAGAAAAGAGATTTGTAATTATAACAAAATTGATTTGTTTGGGGGTGTTTTTTTTACAGTAAAACTGGTGTAGTTCCTTTTAATAAGATCAATAAATTTGGTTTAATTAAATAGTTTTTTTGAATGTATTTGGTTAATACTATCAAATTATTTTGTTCGCATTTTTAGATGGTAATAATAAATAAATCCTTACAAAAGTTTAAATTTACTTGGATTATTATAATAAATTTCAAAATGTTATAGTAAATTTGTTAATTATTTACCAACACATTTTATTTGTTTACTGTTACAAGCTATGAATTAGCGTCACAGACCTACGAACAAAATGGACCGGTTTATTTACATTGAAAAGAGTGGCCAGGAACAAAAATAAATATTTTCCCTCAGTTGTCACATCTGACTTTATTTGCTTTGAAGTATCTATATTTTACGTAAAAGATACTTGCAATCCACAACTTATTTAATATTTTTTATTTGATTTTATAGTGAAAAATACCAATAGTGAGTGATATAAAAATGGTGAAGCAGTGCTACGTTTGTAAAAGACTTGGATCCAAGAATTTAAAACTTTCTTTTCATAGGTTAGTTTATTTACAAAACAAACCCTGCCAGGGGCGTAGAAACTGAATAAATAAATGAATTCACTTAAATTTTAGATTTAAAGAGCCAGATTCTACATCATCTGGAACACTAACTGACAAGGTTAGTATTTTGTTAGGTATACCTATATATTTATATATATTAAATATAATTTTTACATAGGATTGCAAAACACAATAAAAAATGTACAATTTAATATTTTTATTTATCCCTAAAAACAGAACGCCACTGGTGTGGGAACTTGTTTATAAATACCCCTTACTCCTTTACCCCTAATCTAAATAGTTCTTGGCAACAAAACATTGTGTATTTTGAAGGGGAAAGGCCAGTCCATTTTGTTTGTAGGTCTGTGATTAGCGTAAATTAAGAATGTGTTATTCTTAATTATTTAGTGTTACAATATAAATTCATTTGATAACTATAACCAAATGCATAATTCCAGGAATCAAGTCTTCGCTACAGCGAAACTGAATTCAATAATAATAACATAACATATTCTTAAAACAAAGAAATTGCATTTTGGCTTTCGTCTACCCCAACGCCATATTGCATTTGTTAGCCACGTTTGATCTTAAGTCGATGCAGTGTGTTTCCTATGCCTAAAATGTTACTGTGCGAATTGACCAATATTATAATTTAATGATTATAAAGTATTGGTGCTGTGACTTGGTTATTTTTTATTGTAAAATGAAATTAATTTTTTATGCTCGTACCGGTATAATATTATAAAAAAATTTTACGTCCCCATGTAAAATTAAAAAAACTATACAAAAGCGCATTTAAAGTTCATTTAAATATTAAAACAAAGATACTTGAATATTTTTTTCGGAACCTCAACATTTTGGATACTACCACGTGGCATGGACATATACTATAGTGCGACATTTTTGGACACCCTGTATATTAATTAATTAATTAATTAAACACACGTTTTTTAGCACAACATCTGCAGATTGGTTTTAGTAAACTTAAAAGACATAAAAGCATATTTTTAAAGCTCTAGACCTCTAGTATTAATACTTATGTGTTTTACTTATGTTCTCCATAGTTTGATTTGGGTGGTGTTTATTCTCAACGATGTACGTCGCTTGTAAAATGAATTCTGTGGCGTTTTTGTTTAAATATGGCGGAATGGACACCAAGGATGTTGTCACAACCACAACAGGTCTTCCCCTTAAAATTACCGCGTGTCCGGACAAAAACGAGCCAATCGCCAAATCTGTAAAAAGTTTAAGAATTCAGTCAATTTTTTAACAGAAGACGTTAACCAATCAGAGAACATATAGAATTTCTGTGCAGAGAATGCATTGTTTTGATTGGCAAATTACTATAGTATATATTAAATACATCTTTAATCAAAAACATACTTACCGCTCACATTTTTGTTGAAAACATCGCATGGTTTTGAAAAACTAAAACCAAATCCTTTTAAATTCTGATATACACTTTTTCCTTGGATTTTTTGAGATGCGGACGGGTTTAAACCTGTTGCTGTGCCATGGTAAATGTACACAACACCTTTATCTTGAAATGGGGCAGCAACAGCAACATCTAAATTTTAATTTTATTAATTGTTTAAAATTTTTAAATGATTTATATACCTCCAAAACCGTCGGCATTAATATCGTTCAAAAACATAACCGACATTCCAAAATGTCCATTGGTATGGTTGCCATGTATAAAGGGACCTTCTACTGAAGGGTGCACTTTTCCCTAAAATTTAAGTAAATATTTACATACATACATATAAATGTACAATTTCTTGCTCTATACCCTAGTATTAAATGGATAACAAAATAATTTTTTTTTGTTTAGAACGAATTTTCTGGAAGATAAATTACTTGTCAACTAGACTGGGCCAAACAACACAACTTTTTTTTTTGAAAAGTATATTGAAAATATGGTTTGGGGTGACAAAAAAAAAATATTGTGAAAGTTTTAGTCCATAATGTTATTATTAAGAGGTCTATCATCTCAATTTTAATTTTTTTTTCCTCAGCAAGTTTTAGGCTCAGAACTCCCAAACCATTGAGTTTAACAAAATTGACTTAAAATTTTTTTTTAAGAAAATTAAATGCTCTACAAAAAAGGTTAAAGTGAAATTTTCCGTCAGATGAACCGTTTTCTTAAAATCATAGTAGTTTTACATTTTGATCTTTTAAATTGGAATTTTGTAATTCATGTAAAAATCAGTACCTACCCATAAAAAACCGATAAATATGGGAAATCAAATGCTTTACAAAAAAAGCCTCTTAACATTTTTGGCTAAATTCACTCAATCAAAAGTTATTCAAGGTTAAAATTTCGAATTAGCAAAATTACAGCAGTTATTTAATTTTTAAGGCCGCCAATGATGGCACAGTATTTCTGCTCTATAGGGCGAGCCCCGCCAAACTTGTTTTTGTTTACTTTTTCCATTGATAGAACATCAGCGTCTTTTGCAAACACAAAAAATATAACAAAAACTCGTCCGATAGAGCAGACCCAAGTATCACAACCAAAATCTTAGTAAAATAACGTTTTTTTAAACTTGTTTTTTAACCAATTAAACTGCGCACCACTCAATGTGTCGCGACCAAAAAGTTCGTCCTTTTTCAAAACGACACAACTTTTTTGTTTCTCTGGCAATTCATGCTATAGATATGAAGCTCACGGTTCTTCAAGTAAATTTCGTACATGGTGATATGTAGAACGGTAAACAATTTCAATAACTTCATCCAAGCCCCGTTTGTAAAAAAATAATTTTTTTCTCGTGTTTACTTTGGAATAATGAAGTGTTATGTCTTACCTTGAAAAGGTTTTCAAATTTTTCGAATTGGAATCTTAGCAAAGAAAATATGATTTATTTTCTAAAAGAGTACTCTTAAGGCTTTTTGGTAGGCAATACACTCAGTTTTTTTAAGAACAAGAAGATAAGATGGTGAAAGATTGTTCCTTGAATAATTCTGAACAAGCGACAAGCAACAAACTTCCATTATTTTCAGAGGGGCCTAAGCAAAGACCACTTTTCAAAATGACATTTTGGTGAAAATTTGCGAAAACTAATCCTGAACCGATATTTACGTTCGTGAAAAGTTTTCTTTATAAATTTGACCTCCTGATTGTGATTTAGTTGTCAAATTTAAGTTTCAGATAAAACCAAAATCACTAAGAATCAAAATTCGAAAACAATTCCCTGCTGTTAAATTGGAAACAAAAATCATATTTTCGTTGCTAAGATTCCAATTCGAAAAATTTAAAAAACGTTTCAAGGTAAGACATAATACTTCATTATTTCAAAGTAAACACGAGAAAAAAATTATTTTTTTACAAACGGGGCTTGGATGAAGTTTTTGAAATTTTTCACTGTTTAACATATCACCCTGTAGGAAATTTACTTGAAGAACCTTGATCTTCATATCTATATCGTGAATTGCCAGAGGATGGGGCTAGCAGACATCACAGACCAAAATAAAATCCTTTAAGAAACAAAAAAGTTATGTCGTTTTGAAAAAGGACGAAATTTTTGGTCGGGACACATTGAGTGGTGCGCAGTTTAGTTGTATTCAACCATTAACATTTTAAGGTTACTATAGTAGATATAGGTTACATATATGTACTAAAAATAACCCTTTCAATTTACCAACCGGTTTCTGTAACCTTAAGGTAAATTCAAAGGATATTTTTTAGTATAATTTAATTAACAAATGTTACTAACTAGTTAAATATTTGGTTTATTTTTGGTCAATTTAAACTCTAAAAATAACCTAAATTTACCTATAGGTAAAGAATTTAAATTAACTATAAATAAACCGAATATTTAACTAGTTAGTAATATTACTTACAAGTTAAAAAGTAGGTTATTTTAGAAGTTACATAACGTTATATTTACTTCTAATTTTAACCTTTAAAAATGGTTAATACTATAGTTATTTTTTTAGACATATTTTGGTTTAGTTTAACCTTTGATATTATAATATCAAAGGTTAAACTAAACAAAAAGAGTTAAAAAGTAGTTAAAAAAGGGTAAAATAAACCAAATATTACCTTCTTTTTAACCAAAAGGTACATTAACCAAGAAGTTAAATTCAACTAACATAACGTTAATTTTACCATAATTGAATTCTCCACTTATTATAAAATAACGTTAATTTAAAATTAATTTTACCAATATTACTTAAATAAATTAACCAGGCATAACGTAAATTTAACGTTAATTTAACCCGTTGTGCTAGTAATTCGAAAAAAAATAGTACAATCTTTAATAACTAATATCCAAAATAATATGATAAACCATAATATTATAGTTTTCATTTAAAAAAATATAAGACGGTATAATGGTTATTTATGTACCAAGGGTGGCTCGAGGGCATACATATATATTATACCCACGTTGCATACACACTTTTATGTCATACTCGTACTTGTTTGTTATTGCATCCACAACATAAATATTTTAAAAAATCCGAAAATTCAGTTTTCATTTCATTCTAATAGTCACTATGAGTAAATAATGTTAAGTAGATATTTACAAAATACTTTAATTTTATTATTTTTCTTTTAAATTGAATAAAAGCAAATATGGCCCTGTACTTATTAACCAGGTACTAGCACAGAATAGTCTGTGACTAGTATTATACCAGTATATTTCACATATATTTATATAAAATTTATTTATAAATTTCTTTATAAAAGGACAAATCGAGAAATACAGGAATATTTCTATACCGGGACATCAAACTTGACCCTCCCAGGTAGAAAAGTTCTACTTTCCCCTTAAAGTTCATTTTCTGCCCTTACAGTTATAAAGTACACCATTATACACGATTATGAATTAGTATGACATAAAGTTTATAAATGTATTTACAAAATTTAATTTAAATTTAATCCCATATCTTAAACCGAGATATAAGAATATTCATAACCACAAGAACGTGCACTTCTAGAAATTAACTTATAATACATAAATTATGTACATGAATAATAAAACACAAACATTCCTAAACTATAACGACATTATGCGGAAAATTGTGTTTTTTTGTTTATAATAGTGGTCTCTTTACTTTAAGTACTTTTTATATATGTTAGTACTCGGTACTCAGTAGGTACATTTTAGGATTTTGTCTTGTATTTTTATAAAGAAAATTGTGTATTTTTATTTTTTATTTTTTAGTTGCCTCTTTACTTTAAGTAATTTATATGTATGTACTCTATAAAAATGAATTAGTTAAAAATGACTAATTTAATAGTTATTATTGGCTGATTTTTTACTTGTACCATGGTTAACCATGGAATACCATGGTATCCCAAAATTTAACAGCCAATGCTTATGTAAAATTGTCCGCTGAATACGAAAATACCGTCAAAAATTATGAAAGTGGAGCATTTTTTGAGATACACTGAAAGAAATATATGTTTGTTTTAGCAAATGTATGTGGTTCATATATGGACTACCACATACATTGCTAAAACAAACATATATTATATTTAGTTTTAACATAATATGTTAAAACTAAATATAAAAATGGTTAAGGTAAATATATTTTATGTTTCATATATAGACTACCACATACATTGCTAAAACAAACATATATTTCTTTCAGTGTATCGTCAATTCCATATTTAATGGAAAATTGACTATATCTCAAAAACTGTTCTACTTTTTTAACTTTTGACAGTGTTTTCGGATTCAGGGGACAATTTTACATTAGAATTGGGATACCATGGTATTCCATGGTTAACCATGGTACAAGTGAAAAAGCAGCCACTAATAACTATTAAATTAGTAATTTTAGACTAATTCATTTTTAGAGAGTACTCAGTACATTTTAAGATTTTGACTTATATTTTTTAACTTGTGTATTGTGGGGCCGTCCATAAACCTCATGACGCTAAAGATACTTTAAGCACAATTTGTAACCTACTTACCATTTGGTGGCACAAAATAGGTTATAGTAAATCTCATATCAAGCTTAAATATATAACAATGCAAGATTTTTGCTTTGCCGACTGTACACAAAATCTCAAAAATTGATATTTAGTCACGTGCGGTATAAAAACCGGTGACTTAAAAATTGTTGGATGTGGGTGAAAATAGAAATTTTTGCAAGTTTAAAACGTTTTAACGTAAAATAATCCTATTTTTATACTAAATTATACCATTTCGAGATTTTTAGTAAAGGGTACAGTGACGTCATCACCTGCGCCGCGGTGAATGTTTTCCGTGGCGTCATTAATTTAATGAATTATTCCTCGCATGTGTGCTGCTAAATTTCGCCAATAACGCGTCGCATATCGTATTTTAGTTGATAAATGTTGATGGCTTGTTGACCCAAATTATGCAAATTTGGTTGTTAACTTAGCCACTGAGATAAAAGCGCGCTTTATCTCTAAACAAAATTGTCTTTCCAAATTTAACATGTTGCTGCCTTGTCAGAATCCAATTAATAAATTCCCCGTCCATTGCATGAACTACTGGGATTAGCTTCTGTGTTAATTGAATTTTGTATGGATGGAAATGAAGATCTTTTGATCAAATTTATTTTAAACTTTAAAGCAAATTTGATCATTTGCATCCATACAAAATTCAATTTAATTAAATTTAAAATTTATAGTGCCCATCAAAGTAATAGGATTTTCGATAACACTTGTCCGTACTGCTGCAATATTTTTAGCAGATCAGCTAGTACGGACGCACATGTATTTTATGTCCCCACTTTCCTCAAATTTAAACACCAACCTTCGCACTGTCGTCTTATTTGGAGCATTAGCACGAGTCGTGCTGCACGACCGAAAATTGGACGTAATTTTCGAACGGTTTTTGCATAGCATTTTTTATATTTATAACGAGTCTTAAGAATAGGAATAAGAACAGGTTGTTCTAGAGAATAGACTTATAAAATCGGAATGTTTTAACACTACAGAAATCAAATTTTTCAAGGTTGCACTTTTCAAAAAATAGGAACATGGCGAAATTTAAAACCGGCGTTCCTATTAAAACACCCTTTATAATATAAATATGTTTTTGTCATACGGACTCATTTAAGTCCGTAAAATGCTATTTCAAAATTTATCTTCAAAAAAGCAATAACTCTTGGAAATTTGTCGATATGAATATTTTCTTTAACCCTTAACACTGCTTTCAGCATGGAATATTTCGACCAAACTGTCGACGGTTTGAACGTTTGTGACTAATTTAAGAGAGTATTTTAATTTAAAAGCCTCAAAACACATCTTGCGTAACGAAGGTTTTTAAATGTTTACTTACTTTTTCGTGTAAATAATTTAGCAATACATCTTCATTTACAACGAGTACGCCAATTTTGTGTTTCCATTCAATAAAAGCATCATATTCCAGTGGCGGCTGGTGGATTTTATGTATACCAATATCTCAGTTATTAGACATGGGACCCACACCAAATTTATAATAGTTTATAATGACATTAAATAAACAAGTTTGGCGCAAACAGAATTTAAATTGAAGTTTGCGAAAAAAAGTTAGTTTTTCCTGTCGCCTCACCCGCCTCCAGGCCCCTCTATTTGAGATAATTTAAATTAAAGTGGTACAATTTATAATTTACTATAATTTATAAACAAATTTAAAATTTTATTTTAAAAATTCAAATATTACAGGTTTTATACCATTTTAAATATTTTTTTATTTTAATAAAATAAATAATAAAAATTTAAAATCGAATAAAATTTGTAATATTTGAATTTTTAAAATTTTAAATTTGTCGATAAATTATAGTAGATAATAAATTGCACCACATTAATTTGAATTATCTTAAATAGGGGGGCCTGGCGACAGGAAAAACTAACTTTTTTTCGCAAACTTCAATTTAAATTCTATTTGCGCCAAACTTGTCTATTTAATGTCATTATAAACTATTATAAATTTGGTGTGGGTCCCATGTCTAATAACTTAAATATTGGTATACCCAAAATCCACCACCCGCCACTGTCATATTCTAAAAATATGTGTAATACTATTATATTATTTAGAATATTATTCTTTATGGTAAATGGCACAGGAAGTAAATCCAACAAGATTTATTGGGCTTTAGTAGCAATACATTCAGGATTTTGGAACATTTTAAAATTTATGTGACTTTCTAACAAATTTTGAATAACATTACAAAATTATCAAATCAACAAACTTGTTGCTACGATATCAATTATTTTAAAGCGAACTTTTTCGAACACTCCCCTGGCGAAAATAAAGCGTGCATGAAAAGTGTGCAATAAGTGTGTATTTGGAGTGCAAGTCTTTATAACAATGTGCATACACGCTACTTTGTGGTAATTTCACACTTTTTGAAATTTCACTCTTTATGTACATTGACATCACGCTTTTTATTTGTCATATGTCATATATTACATTATATTTTAGCACATTGTTTGCACAGTGTTAGTACATTGTTAAAAGACATTTTGCAAATCTTCAGTCTACCTTACGCATGTCACATTTTATACACACTGTTAGCACGCTTTAATATTTCTCATTTATGACCCTTATATTACACCTTTTTATAGCACATTGTTTGTACAGTTTTAGCGATCACTCAGTTTAAGCACATTTTAGATATATCTCGCTTGAGTTGGGGTACAACATTTACTTAAAAGGTGAGGTAGATTCCATCTTATGTATCGCTGCTCGGCCTATTGCTAAGATCAAAGCAATCCCCTTCGTGGAGTTGACAGTGCAGGTATTTTTCTTAATAAAATACAGTAAGTAGGACCTACATTGTGGGTATTTTTTTTATTTTTTTTTTAATATTTATTTGATTAATATTATTATAAGGATATTTATATTTCAATTATGTGTAAATTAAAGACTTTTTAGGTCACCAAAAAGGCACACAGGTGGCAAGAAACAGTGTGCAAACAATGTGAAAAATCAAAAGGAGTTCCCTTTAGAAAATTGTCCAGTGATTATTCACACTTTTAAATTTTTGGTTTTGCACATTGTTTCATGTTCCATTTCCCACCCTCCGCACATCATTTTTTTAAAAGATTGCACATTTTTGGCTCATTATTCTCAAATAATTTTGCACACTTTTTGCACATTTCATTTTCACCAGGGTCGGCACATGTCATATGCTAAAAAAAGGGTATACTTGCTAACCAAAAATATATTTTATATTTGGTCTTAGGTTTTATCTAAGGTAACTACGTATTAGTCTGGTTGTAAACATACCGCTGTGCTGCCTAGATAAACATAAACGGCTCCTTCATTAAACGTTTTGGTTTTGTAGAATGGCGCCCCTACGACAATGTCGTCCAAATGGTCGCCGTCGATGTCTCCAGTGGTTGTGCAGTACCCGAATCCATCTCCGGGTATTTTGCTTCTTATATGTTCTATAGTTTCTGAAGTTTGTGATTGAAGACTAGTATGATTGAAAAATATTATAATTTGTCCCAATCCATCGTAGGCAAAGGGGGATGTTTTTATGTACACTGTTTGTCCTTGTTTGTACAAATTTCCTGACGAAACCGAGTATCCAGAAAAATATTCATGCTCGTTAGAGAAATGTTTAGTTAAAACGTTATTATCTAGATTTAATTTTAAGGCAGATCCTATGGTGGCATAATATCCTGGACTTCCCATTAATAAAGTACTGGATTCGGTCTGAAATATGAAAAAATTATAATATTTATAAGTTACTTATATACAAGGTGTCCCTAAACTTAGAGGCATACATTTAGGAAAATATTGAGCAAGCCAAAATAAGACGAAAACCTAAATAAATATTTTTCCTAATCACTTATGTTTTCAAGATACAGGGTGATAAATATTACTTATAATATCAGTTTAAATGTAACTTCCACTATGGTAGACTTGGAAACAGTGGCGTAGCGACAAATTTCGGGCCCCCCCGCGAAAATCCTTACTGGGTCCCCTGATTTCAGGTATTTTTTACATGGTTTTATATTGTAAATAAAAAATAATACATCCGGTGACATGATTTTTTAAATTATTTATAAATAAAAAGTAACAAAAAAATAATTAAAAAAAAATAAGGTTCTCTAAATATTTTTTAACATGAAAAAATAACCTTAAACCATAATAATTTTATCAGGCATCCTTGAATAATATTATGTACCTACTCTATTTATTTCTGTGATTTATTGTGTTAAGAAATAGAGTGCCTATTTAGGCACTATTTAGACACAATAAAGAGAACGCTTCAGAACTGTCAGAATAATACGCATAACTAAATGCGCATATCTGTTTAGAGTTAGGCGCATGTTTCCAAGTTCTGAATCGTTCCAGCGTAAACCCGCTGTCAATTGTTAAATAAGCGCGATTTTTAAAATTCATCAAAAGGTTCCGTTAGATGTTTTACATTTATGTTGATGTTGATGGTAGGCCAATAATATCAAGTACCTACCTACATTTTAGTAAATTATGATATTTTAAATTAATCATTCATTATTATTTAATTTTTAGTATAAGTAAGATGGAAATAAGTATTTTAATGTTTTGGGGCAAGTATCGGCCGGGCCCCCTACGAGGTTAGGGCCCCCCGCTTGGCGGGCGTTCGCGGTACTGTCGCTACGCCACTGCTTGGAAAGGTGATATTTTGAGAACATTCACTCACTACCAATACACATATTCACATATATCTAATTATAATTGTTTGAGAGAACTCAGTGTCGTAGAAACGGGGGTTGCTTTAAGCTTATTGTCCCATACAAACTTTAAGGTTAGGTTTTTATAACATTCGATGTAATTTTTCGATTACTTAGTTCGGCTACTATTAAAAAGGTGTACCTCTCAAACTTCGATAAAATAAACCGTTTCCGAGATATTCGAGATTACAATAATTGTTATATCGCATTAAAGGATTAAAAGGTATATGATAACAATTTTTATTTTTTAATTGAAATATTCTCAAAATCTCACTTTTCCATGTCTACCATAGTAGAAGTTATATTAAAAAAACTCATATGATAAGTAACACTTTATCACCCTGTATCTTGGAAACAAAAGTAATTAGGAAAAATATTTATTTAGGTTTTCGTCTAATTTTGACTTGCTCAATATTTTTCTAAATTTATGCCACCCAGTTTAGGGACACCTTGTAGTTTTAAACAAAAAACTCAAAAAAATACATAAATTTGTATGCTTGAAAGCTTATTTTTTTTTGGATCACTTTGTATTTTAAAAAAATTCGACCATATTTTATTTGATAGGTGTCTCGAAAACAAAGCTTTGAAATGTACAATTTTATGATTTTATTGTTGTTTTATCGTCTAATAAATTTGAAACACCTTGTATTAAGTTCGCTATTTTATCATAAACGTTGAAGTTCAAAATTAAATTCCTTAATACCTGCCCTTTTTTGGCGGGAATTTAAAAATTAAACCTAGAAACACCAGAGTCTCTGCTATTACCTTATGAAAATGAACAGAAAATCCTGCTTGGGATGTTTTTGTTTTTGCAATCAGTATTGAGCCTTTCGTTTTCTTCATTGTTTCATTTACCATGTTTTTTTCTGCAAAATTTTATAATTATTTAAATAAATTCACTAAACTTTGTTACTATAGTCGATTTTTGTTATTATTCACTTTTCAGGTCATTTATAAGGTTAAAGGCCGATTCTCACATAGCGACGCGACGCTACGCTACGCTACGCGACGCGACACTTTAAAATGTAGCTGATGAAAGATTTCCATGCATTTAAATGAGACAATTCCCACATAGCGACGCGACAAAATTTTGTCGCTTCCTGGAGCGCCAATAGGGCGCGATTTTGAAGCATCGCGTCGCGTAGCGTCGCGTCGCTATGTGAGAATCGGCCTTAAGTATTAATTTTTGTAAATCTTAAAAGCTATTTTTTATGAAAATATAAACTTTTTGTAAAACTTGGCAACGCTTTTTATTCCTTAAGCCGATTTATGAAACATATAAAAACGGTTGTTATGGAAACAAACAGATTGTGTAAATTAATTATTTTTGCTTCTCAAAACTTATTACGCCATCTAAAAAACTACCTACTGTTCTTTTTTCTCTTTGATTTTTTTTATAGAAATTAATAAATTTATAAGTTTAGTTTAGGTTAAAATTTTAGATTCAGAGTACTTTTAGATAGCATAATATGCTCATATTATGAGTGTATGGAACGTATGGCTGGCCCAATCGGCAACGCCGAATTTTCGCCCCGGCTGGTAAATCTCGCCTATAAGAGTTTGTGGATGAGTGTGGAATTTTGCCGCCGGGCCGGGCCATACGCCCGATTTAGGCTAGTGGAGTTCGGGACAAGGAGGGAAAACATTTTGGTTATTGGGGGACATTAAACTGACCCAAAACTAAGTACAATCCGGAGTCCCCCTCAACCAGGAATTTAATAATATCCCCATTCAATTGGCATTCATGAATGGGTCTTGGTTGGTTAGTACGCATATTTTACTTATCCTTTCTGGTCTTTTAGTACTTCCTGTTCGTCTGTGTCCGTGTCTCTGTCCGAGTCAGATTCCGGAAGTTGGTACAATGCTTCACTCATTTTTCGCATAAGGTTTTTGTGGATGCTGTTGTTTTCCTATCGGATACGGACGATTTGTAAGAAGCGAGGGTGTCGTGAAATGTTTTAACCCGGGATTTAGTAGCACCAACATTCAATTGGGGTTCATTAATGCAGCTTGGTTGGTTAATGCTGCACTCTTAGAAAAGACCTGGTATTTGTAACTAACTTATTATCGTTGGGGTAAAACTGTTGCAGAAAATAAAATTTTTTGTTTTTTGTAATCAGTACCTTTATATGTGTAACTGCTTGCATCATTACCTGAAAAGATTTAGTTTTGTTGTTGAGTATTATTTACTGCAAAAAGGCGATTAAGTTATTTTAACTGAAACTTTGTGTTGGCTAGAAGTATTGACAACATTATCTCAAAAAAATCATTTCGGCGGTAAAATGTTTTTGTTGGACCAAATATTTAAGTAACATTCTCAACTGACTGAAATTAGTCCGTGGAACTAACGGTTCGGTTGTATAAACTATGCGTCACTTTTCACACAGCTAAGACACCAGCGGTGTGAAACAAAGTGTCAGTTGGGGATGTTGTCTCTGTAGGTTAATGCAACTGCAAACTTTGTGCATTTTTTTTTCGCGCGCGTTTTGTCCAGCCCGGCGCGTGCTTTACTTTTAACCTGTAAACAAACGGTGTTGCACGGCGTCCAGACTTCGGTGGTGTTTGTTCTTTTGTATTTGTGTATCAGCTCGTGTGTAGTGTATATTTTAGGTAAGAAACTAATAATAATAATAAATTTTCTTTATTGAAAAAAATACATTTTTCAAAGGGCCATTGACTTTTGTCCTTCAGCCGGCTACATACTTTTTAACTATTCATATATATATAAGAATATATTCTTATGTGTTGGTTACTTATAGATATCTCGAACAAATAATATGGATGAGCGGACTGAAGTAGAAGATTTATTAGGAACATGGGGTTTACCTAAATTGGTTCCAGTTTTTAAAGGTTAGGTATTATTATTGCACTCCTTTAATTACACTATTGTATACAAAAAACTATAGTTTTGGGGTCCGAAAAAAAATCCAAAAATGTGAAAATGCCATTCCGACTGAAAATGGCCTCCTGAATCCAATGGTGCCCACCAAAAGTCTCCATCACGTCGGAATTTCGAGAATTTTTTTGTTTTGTTTTGTTTTGTTACAGCTCAAGTCGCATTTTTGGTATAGGGCCTATACTATAGGCACTCACACTCAAAATTTATCGAATGCTTACCCCTGTTATCATGCAAGTATGTTACGTTGTACCTAAGAATCATTGTTAAGTTGTTAAACAAAGGCTTGCACTTCACGTAAACATCACGGTTTACTGAAGAAGTATAGTCAACTTATATTTGGTGTTTTCAGTTATATTGTTATTTTCAGTTATATTGTTATTTTTTAATTTATAATAAATATTTATAAAACGAACGGGCATGAATTTCCTTTCTCTATTTTTTATAATATTTACACAAAAAGTGTTATATTTACTAAGCAGGTATGTACTGTGGAATAATACAAATTTGTTGTTGCTACTAATGCAAGCATTTAATATTAAATATAACTTAGTTACAGTAAAAAACAAATTTATATTATATCAACTATTAAATTCTTTAAATGTACCTTTTTTCATGTAATTTCAATTAAAAAATAAATTCCTGCATGATACAATGTTTGTTGCGATAAATAGCAAGTGCAGTTGTTACAACTTAGACGCTGCTAAAATAACAGACTAATGTGATTGCATTAAATATCAATTATTTGTATGAAAAAAAAACTAATTTCGATGCACTTAAACTTGTTGGTTGGAGCTACCAATATTGGCTGTTCCGACAACAAACTGTAAAAACAAATTTGTATTAGTTCCCACAACATATTTTTTTGTTGTGCCTATTTTCACTAATAAAATTGGTTCTGGGAACTAAATTTTCATTGCAAATACCAGGTCTTTTTTAAGAGTGTGTGTCTACTTGCCCCCCTGTGATATACTGAATCTTGTCTTCAGTATCGAAGAGTTGCTGACCACGACAAGCCGTTAGCAGTGCCCCTCTGCCTTCGTGGAAATTTATCCCCTCATGCTAAGTACTGACTTCATAGTATGCAGCCGTTTAGCCAGTCGTTATTTGACTACATGAAAAGGATAAGACTTACACGAATTATTTTACCCCACTGTAAGTAATCCTTAGTTGTCGTTAGTTGCCCTTTTATATGGTTGTATTGACTTTTCAGTGTTTAGGTTACTTTTAATTGCCTGTCTGTTCAATGTATTTTAAGAGACAGTTGTTTATTTTAGTTTCTTTAAGTTCTAAACACTTTAATTTTATTGGAGCTGTCCTCTTAAGTTTGTGCTTATATTATATTTTGTGACGTTCTTGCGTAATTGTTGGTTTATACACTATCACGCTGTTTTCAGTAATAATGATTGATTATTATTATAATGTTTTAGTTGCGAATTTGCGTGTTAATTAGTAGGTACTAGGTATTAGATTTTGTTTTGGTTAGGCTTGTTTGTTCTTTACATAAGGTGATTCATATTGACCTGCGGTTAGTCCGCCAGGTATGCCACTTAATTACTTCTATGTCCGTATGATCTTCACTGTATTCACTTTGGACTTAAGACTTAGAGAACAGGTACACCGATTTTACCTGCGCAGGTAATTCTTTGCACTAATTTCGAACAGTATTTTTCTTAAACTATACTGTATATGAGCGATTTTTATTCCTTTAAGACTTTCATTATTATTAGGTACACTTAAGAGCGTTCGAGAGCACATGCGTTCGACTGCCCGTCTGTATTGGTACTGGGTACTTTTAGATAGCATACTGTGTTTTGTGAAAAAATATATTTTGTGATGTAATTAACTATACGCGTTTCTTCATCTTATGGGTTGGAATTTCTCAAAAATCTGTCATGAAGCAATTCTGAAGTCTAAAATTTATCAAACTTTTGTAATTTGTCGAAATAAACTGCCGGCAAAAAATGGATACATATTCGTCTTATACAAAAGACTGATAATTGTTTAATGTGGTCCTGAACAAGTCATAGGTCACATAAAAATGACGCCAAAAACTGACTGCAGTATTGGAATAAGGATGTCCTCTGAAGTTTAAAAATATGTTTTTCAAGATTGTAGCTGTTCCTTTTTTGAAGTTTTGCTTAAAAATCCAAATATCAAACGTCATTTGGTGATTCATTTTAGGTGTTTGCTATTATCTTTAAAACGGAGGCCTTTGGAAAAAATTTTTGAATAAGGAAATAAAGGTGACTTAATTATCTATTAAATCATGCCTCCATAATTATGCCTAAACTATTGGCCTACGAAATCCATGGACGTAGTGAATTTTTTAACTGGGTATGTTTAATTTTTTTTGTAAATAACCTGCCATAAGTTACTTTCAACATTGCAGCATCATTTTTCTTTAAAGAAATATAACCTATATAAAACAAAAAAGACAAGTAAGTACTTAATAATAATTATTGTCATATATTATTGTAAAGTTATCAACATGAGAAAAAGCATTAAATATTTCTTGACGGAAACTCTACAACTGCTCATTTCAACGACTCTTTGAAGTTAGGATGTGCCATGTTGTTTATCTTGTATTTATTTCAAAAATTTTATAAACTCGCGGTGGACATTCTTCCAAGTGATTAATTAGTTCATGAATTTTTAAAGTTTGAGATATATCAGCAGCTTTAAACATAACTACTAATGTTTGTATGTGCATTTTTATTTAGTCCAAATTTGGCGTTTTGGTGTAAAAATAATTCTCAACTAATTTATCCATAGTCTTAAATTGGGACACGTATGGTAAAATGACCAAAGGACTGACAGTTTGCAAAAAATCTTTTGTGTCAGGATGTTTCCGAAGCATTTAACATGCATTTCCCTCAAATATGTCACCTTGGTAGTTCTTAGAGAAAAAAATCAGTGTTTTAGGTCATCTCAACGCTTGTTCTTTTCCCAGAAGTTTCACTAGTCCGTTCCAAAATACTTAGGCAAAAGTGTTGCCTGACAAAGGTGATGGCTAACTCATATACCTATAAGTTATAGGTATATGGGCTAACTAGATTTTTTTATTTACTCCTTGTTGGCAATTTAATGTAAGCAACTGGTAGTATTATTGCGTGAGCGTATACCTCAACTGAACATACATTACTTAGGTACTCAATTTATTTAAGGATCCTGCTTTTCTTAAATACATAGTTTTTTTAATAGATAAACAATTTACTGTTGCCCTTTCCTTTTTTTTGAAATATGGTTTCGGCGATTAAAGTGCAAAAACATCAAGTTTTTAAACATTAAAATTTTTGTAATTAAAAAAATTATATCTACGCCAATGGTTGAGGTTGTTGAAGCATCATTTAATAGATAATTTTGTCGTCTTTAATTCTTTATTTTAAATTTTTTTCTCAAAGGGCTCAGTTTCAAAGAAATTCTAAATAAGTCACTAAATTACAGTTGGTATTTGAAGTAACTTCCAAAATTAAAAAAAAAAGGATCTAGGACTACAATTTTGAAAAACATGTTTTTAAACTCTAGAGAGGGTCCTTATTCCGATATTCTTATGCTGTGATTGTAGCATGCAAAGTCACAAAGTCTTAAACGTTTGACGTACTTTAAAGATGACCCCTCATTTTTTGACGTTGCGTTGTTTATTTTGTTTCCATAACAACCGTTTTTAAATGCTTTATAAATGGCTTAGAAAATAAACAGCGGGTCCAATTTTTTTAAAGATAAATTTTAATAATTAAAATATCTTTATTAATATTTTAATAATTAAAATATCTTTTCCTATAGCCTATTATGTATCATAAAACCATTATGTATACATATATGTAGGTGTATTAGGGTGGTCGTTAAAAATTAAATTTTTTGCGACGCCCCCTAAAAAGCTTCTTTTTGATGAAAAAATACTGGGAATTTTTTTTTAATTAAAAACAACACGTGCCTTAAGACGATCTTAGTTAATTTTTTGGTATACCATATACCATACCATATACCAGTATACCATATATAATCATGTTTTTATGGGAATTTTTTATGAAAAATAAAATTTTAGTCGAAATATAAACAATTATAGAATCCAAATCAATAAAAAAACAATAGTTAATCGAAATAATAATAGACAAAAATTTTAATTCAAAATTTTTCCCAGTTGATTTGGTATATAAATAAAAAAATGAAAGATATTCAAATTGATATTTTTATTTTAAAACTAAATTAGTACAAACGTAATTTTAATATCTAGATTTCTTCACTCCAAGGTGAAGTTATTTCATTGTTAATAATTTTTAAATCTAAAAAATTATTATTCCATATTTTCAGAAAAGACATGATTATACCAAAAAATTAACATAGATCGTCTTGAGGCACGTGTTGTTTTTAATAAAAAAAATTCCCAGTGTTTTTTTCATCAAAACGAAGCTTTTTAGGGGGCGTCGCAATAAATTTAATTTTTAACGACCACCCTAAGGTGTATATATATTAGGGTGATTCATTTCCGCAAAGTTTTTGTTTTCTTCGGTGCTCAAGCAAAATATTAATCTGCATATAGAAAAAAAAATTCTCAACAAGTTTGAGCTCTTAATATCAATTTTAAGTACTTGCAGTTTAAATTTAAAGTTTTCCCATTTAAAATGCATGTAAAAAAAATGTTTTTTTTTTCAAATTTCTAATGCTTAACCACCTTTGACAATATTGCAAATCGGTTTAATACACCTTATGGGGAATTTCACGCTCTTTAAAATTGCTTTTGAGTTTTTTTTTGTAACTCGCATTGGTTCACCAGTAGGAGTCGTCAAAGGACAGTTTTTGAAAAAAATCGTTTTTTTTTTTTAAATTTTTTCTAACAAACCGCAAAAAGTAGGGAGAAAAGTTTTTGTTTTCTTCGGTGCTCAAGCAAAATATTAATCTGCATATAGAAAAAAAAATTCTCAACAAGTTTGAGCTCTTAATATCAATTTTAAGTACATACTATTTAAATTTAAAGTTTTACCGTTTAAAATGCATGTAAAAAATATATTTTTTTTTTCAAATTTCTAATGCTTACCCACCTTTGACAATATTGCAAATCGGTTTAATACACCTTATGGGGAATTTCACGCTCTTTAAAATTGCTTTTGAGTTTTTTTTTTGTAACTCGCATTGGTTCACCAGTAGGAGTCGTCAAAGGACAGTTTTTGAAAAAAATCTTTTTTTTTTAAATTTTTTCTAACAAACTGCAAAAAGTAGGGAGAAAAAAGGGCTGAATCATAAAAAAAAGTTATCCAACCAATATTTAATGAATTTACATTTTTATAACTGAAAACGTAAGAAATTGATAATTACAAACTCATAATGTTATTTAGATTGATTTTTTCTATTTATTATCATTATATTTCCCTACACTAAGAAGTTTTTTAAAATTATTAATTTCTCACTTATAATGAATATGAAAACAACAGATAAATTCATAGCAAAATAGCAAAAAAGTATAAATGAAGATTATTTAATTTTTTGAAGCAAAATTTGAAATATGTTACATAACCTTCTGTATATTCCGATTAAAGTTTTGTTGTTTTTTTATGAATTTATGTGTTGTTTTTATATTCATTATGAGTGAGAAATCATAATAATTTTAAAAAAGTTCTTAGTGTAGGGAAATATAATGATAATAAATAGAAAAAATCAATCTAAATAACATTATGGGTTGGTATTTATCAATTTCTTACGTTTTCAGTTATAAAAATGGCAGTAAATTCATTAAATATTGGTTGGATAACTTTTTTTTTATGAATCAGCCCTTTTTTCTCACTACTTTTGGCAATTTGCTCGAAAAAATAAAAAAAAAACGATTTTTTTCAAAAACTGTCCTTTGACGACTCCTACTGGTGAACCAATGCGAGTTACAAAAAAAAACTCAAAAGCAATTTTAAAGAGCGTGAAATTCCCCATAAGGTGTATTAAACCGTTTTGCAATATTGTCAAAGGTGGGTAAGCATTAGAAATTTGAAAAAAAAACCATTTTTTTACATGTAGGTATTTTAAATGGGAAAACTTTAAATTTAAACTGCAAGTACTTAAAATTGATATTAAGAGCTCTACCTTGGTGAAAATTTTTTTTTCTATAGGTAGATTAATATTTTGATTGAGCACCGAAAAAAAACAAAAACTTTGCGGAAATGAATCACCCTAATATATATAGGTACTAATCACAGACCACAGGTGGTCTGTCCACAGGTACTAATAAAGGACACATGGTACTAATAATTAAAGGACAATATAATAACGTTGATATCCATAATTATAATTATAATGTATGGAACGCGATGGAAACTTTTTACGGCTCAGGTTATTGTTTATTAAATTTTATACATTTTTGGTTAAAAAAACAAATAATTTAAAAAAAAACGCGTCAAAAATTAAATATTAACAGAAATCGACTGATTTGTAATAAGCACCTACCATTTTTAAAGGGATATATAAGATTACTTTTATCGTTTCTTAAATCGGTTAAAAACAGAAATCCTTTTGGGTTATTTTCTTCTCCAATTCCTTGATAAGCAGTATAAGCACTAGTCTGCAAAATACGTAATTAATAATTATAATTGGGCCGTGTTTATTAATCATATATGATTAATAAACACGGCCCAACCCAAGTAGCACAACAGGTTAAATAACTATAGTTATTGCTTAGCATTCTATATACTATAGTAAGTAAATTAACCAAAATCTAAGTAAAATAACAGTTTTTTAAAATTGTTTTTTATCCAATTAGTTGTATTTAACCATTAACATTTTTTTAAGGTTACTAAAAAATAACCCTTTAAATTTACCAACCGGTTGCTTTATCCTTAAAGGTAAATTCAAAGGTTATTTTTTAATATAATTTAAGTAATAAAAGAAACCTATTGGTAATATTACTAACTAAACTGCCCACCACTCAATGTGTCGCGACCAAAAAGTTCGTTCTTTTTTAAAACGACACAACTTTTTCGTTTCTTGAACGATTTTATTTTGGTCTGTGATGTCTCTTAGCCCCATCCTCTGGCAATTCATGATATATATATGAAGCTTAAGTTTCTTCAAGTAAATTTCCTACAGGGTGATATGTTAAACGGTGAAAAATTTCAATAACTTCATCCAAGCCCCGTTTGTAAAAAAATAATTTTTTTCTCGTTTTTACTTTGAAATAATGAAGTATTATGTCTTACCTTGAAAGATATTTCAAATTTTTGGAATTGGAATCTTGACAACGAAAATATGATTTTTTTTTAAAAAGAGTACATTTTTTGTAGGCAATTTAACAGCCGGGAATTGTTTTCGAATTTCGATTCTTAGTGATTTTGGTTTTATCTGAAACTTAAATTTGACAACTGAATCACAATCAGAAGGTCAAAATTATAAAGAAATCATGTCACGAACGTAAATATCGGTTCAGGATTAATTTTCACAAATTTTCACCAAAATGTCATTTTGAAAAAGTGGTCTTTGCTTAGGCCCCTCTGAAAATAATGGAAGTTTGTTGCTTGTGGCTTGTTCAGAATTATTCAAGGAACAATCTTTCACCATCTAATCTCTTTGTTCTTAAAAGGACTGAGTGTATTGCCTACCAAAAAGCCTTAAATGTACTCTTTTGAAAAAAAAATCAAATTTTCTTTGCTAAGATTCCAATACAAAAAATTTGAAAACCTTTTGAAGGTAAGACATAATACTTCAATATTTCAAAGTAAAAACGAAAAAAAAAATATTTTTTTACAAACGGGGCTTGGATGAAGTTATTGAAATTTTTGACCGTTTTACATATCACCCTGTACGAAATTTTCTTGAAGAACAGTGAGCTTCATATCTATAGCATGAATTGACAGAGGATAGGGCTAGCAGACATCACAGACCAAAATAAAATCGTTCAAGAAACAAAAAAGTTATGTCGTTTTGAAAAAGGACGAACTTTTTGGTCGCGACACATTGAGTGGTGCGCAGTTTAGTTAAATATTTAGTTTATATTAAGTCAATTTAAACTATTAAAATAATCTAAATTTACCTATAGGTAGATAAATTAAGGTTATTTCAAGAATTTAAATTGACTATAAATAAACCAAATATTTAACTAGTTAGTAATATTAGTTATAAGTTAAAAAGTTGGTTATTTTAGAAGTTACTTAACGTTATATTAACTTCTAATTTAACCTTTGAAAATTTTGTGTAGACATATTTTAGTTTAGTTTAAATTTTGATATAACTCTTTAAATTAACCACAGCTTTGGTTAATTTGGATATATTTTTTTAACCAACAAGTTATATTTTATCAAATATAATTTAACTCGCTGTTAAATTAACGTTAATTAATAAACTGGTTAAAAAAGTTGTGGTTTTGCAGTTTTCATTGTTAACTGCATAGAAAAATGATTCTCAATACAGTTTTATATATAGGGTGTCCCAGAATATGTGGGCAATCTCCCGGATTCAAATAGAGCACATACAAATAATATGACAAGTTCCTATAATTTTTTTCCTACGGCCCCCTCTACGGAGATACGGGCCCATAACGGACGTCCCTGAAAATAGTTTTTTTTTAAATAACTTTTAAAGTACTAGGTGGAATTTAATATTTGTTGGTTACTAGTAAAGTTTCATTAAAATGGACACTTTTAATCACATTCGGCTTATTTAGTCATGGACGGAATAGCTCTGTTATTTTACCCCTTAAACTAAAAAAAGGTACTCTTCATCGACATCGATAACATGTTTTTGTACAATAGGTTTTTTGCATTAATTTTTATATTTTTTGCAATGCTTTTTTTACATTTACCGATTTAAATAATGATGTCACTGTTAGTTGAAAATAGAGTGTTTTAAAATTTTTGATATTTTTTCTTCTTTTTAGGGGCGTGCGTTATGGGCCAGTATCTCCGTAGAGGGGGCCGTAATAAAAAAAATGTATAGAAACTTGTCATATTATTTTTATGTGTTCTATCTAAATCCGGAAGATTGACCACATTTTCTGGGACACCCTATATAAACCTAAAGGTTGTGGACTTCGTGTGATAATGGAGCCTAAAAGAAATAATTTTAAAAAAATAGACTTTCTTTAACTATAGAAGAGTTAACGACGTTGTAAATAATTATTTATCTACAAATCTTAAAACCGTCCACTCACATTTAATTAATTTGGTAAGCGTCTATAGGTTTTATGACAAAACAGATACTTTTATAAAAATAAAGCAGTGCTGCAACTAAAATCAGAACGTAAGATCGACGGGAATTTATTTTTAGGTTAGTTATTTTAAAAATAACAAGTTAGTTTAATTTAACTAATTTTGGTAATTATTATAATTTTTCAACGCGCATTTAAAACATGAAAGTATTATTTACTACTTCATCAGAAAAAAATTGTCCCATTGTTTTTTCCATTGGAACTATACATATATGAGTATTAATATTTAGGGGCGACATTTTATTTTAAGGATCTGTAAGTTATATCTATAGATATATATAACCATATTTTTAATATATAATTATTTAGAGTTAAAATACATTTAAACCGGTTAATTATAATTCAAGTTTACTTAAGAGTTAAAAAGTAGTTATATTAAGAAAGGGTAAAATAAACCAAAAACTGACAAATATTAACTTTTTTAACCAAAAGGTACATTCACCAGGAAGTTAAATTTAACTAACATAACGTTAATTTTACCATAATTGAATTTCCCACTTATTACAAAATAACGTTAATTTAAGGTTAATCTAAAGTTGTACAATATTACTTAAATTAAGTAACCATAACGTAAATTTAACGTTAATTTAACCTGCTGTGCTATAGCAAGTATACTTGGGAATACTTACAATAAGTAACGTATTATTATTATTGATATCTGCGCTGCCTCCAATAAAAGCATTAATGAAACCAACTTGCTCAATTTCGCCTAAGGGATCATACAATATTAAAACAAAATAAAAAATATAACTTATTCTATATTTACTTGGGAAGTTTAAATTTGAACAGCCCTCAGTGAAATTACATTTATACATCACTCCACCTTTCGATGACAAATCAGTTTGTTTAGGGGCTCCAATAAATACTCTAAAATATAAAATATAATATTATATAATATATAACTGGAAAACATTACCGTAATAAACATTACCCTAGATGATAGTAAATAAAGACAAATTAAAGCCAACTTATTTCATTTTTAAATTCCTACCATTATTATAAACTCATTTTATAACTTTTACTCGCGAATTAATAGACTTTGCAATAGTTGCAATAGTTGCAATAATTCAGTTTCCGAATCAGTCGATATATTTTATTTAACAATGTTAAATTAACATATAAAGAGTTCTCAAGCCAAATCTCGAGTTTACTTCTAAATTAATAGCTGTAAGTTTTATCATTGTATTTTAGTAACCTCGTACCTATTATAACTTTTAATTTATAAGTATGCTATGCTTGTCTTGCTATTAATTTTGAATTATATATTACCTACTCTCCTTTAATTGGGCACTGCCTGCTGGAGTTTTATAAATAAATAAATTTTATTCTCAATGGAACGCCCTGTATATTTGTACATAATTAAATATGAAATTATAATTGTTATTATTAATATTATTACCTTTTCATTGATATAACTATTCCCTCTATACCTAAAGATATTTTACAATTAGGTACCCTAATATATTTATGAAGAAAAACTAATAAAATGTTGCTCATGTGTATTAATTCGGTACCTATGAATAACAAAACTTTCCCGATATTTTTTATTATTATTTTAATAATTTAAATAATTTAAATATTTATTTAAAAAAAATAATGTACAATAACTACCTAGTCAAAAGAAGTTGATAAAAATATTTATTCTTAATGGATAACCAAATTAAAGGTACAACCATTGATTAAAGAGTGACTTCTTCACTCAACAGTACAACCATTCAACGGTACCTAAGATTAAATATACTTTTCTTATATTTAATCTTTGAGGGTACAACAAAAGTTTCTGCATGTTCTAGCAATAAGTTTGTCATGTTGTCCATGAAAAATAAACAAGTTCATCAAAACTTTATTTGAAATGGTGATTTTCCTCCATTTTAACTATTGTATTAACAATTTTTGTTAATTTAAAACATTATTTTTATTTAACTTGAGGAGATCTGCAAATACCCCCCCCTAATAAACAATCCGTGGGTTATTACGAACCTAATTGTTTGAAATAAATGTACCTACCTATTCAAAAAGCCATGTAAATAAAATTAACATTTAAATTTAGCGCGACGGAAATGTAATTGACGTATTGAGTACCGTGTGATTGGGTAGAAAGAATCTCCTGTTTAGGTGGGAAAAGGAAGGGGGGAAAATGCCAGTAGTCAGACGGGCAGGGAAGAGGGAGGATTCGAAAAGAACCCAAGCGGCGAACAAGGTGTGTGAATTTGGTGAATGTAAAAGTGTTTAAATTTGTAGGTTTGTACATTTTAAATATCTAAATTATTGTAGTATAAATATTCCCAAACAATTTGATATAACGCCAAGTCCTGCTGAAAAAAACTGATCGAAACTCGATCTTTTTTTATCATATTTTTATCATGGTCCAGAAAATTCTCGATCCTTTTTTATCATATTTAATGAGGTTCTAGAAATTCTCGATCCTTTTTTATCATTTTCGATCAGATTTCGCGGTCGATCATATTTGATCATAAAAACACGATCAGTGTTGCCAATGTATGTACGTGGAAATCCACGCATTGTGTGTAATTTATTTTGTTGTGTGTAATTTGTGTGTAATACATAAATGTGTGGAATTTGCGTGTAAACTTTATCTTTAAATTAACAATGCTTATAACAAGCATTTAAATAGATATATTTGCAAATGCGCATTTTAGTTATTTAGTTATATGGACGAATTTCTGTGCAGATTTCTATATATACAGCAAATTAAAAAAATCTGGTGTTTTTGGAAACTTGCAAGCGTAAGTTATCGAGTAATTACCGCAGAAAGAGTTTTTGTGGTGATTCACCTCATAAACTCTTTCTGCGGTAATCACCAAAGAAACCTAACAAAACCAAAATCCCAAATGTGTGGAATAGTTGTCAAAATTGTAGAATTTTGACAAAATCTGTGTGTAAATTATGTCAACACCATTGGCAACACTGAACACGATCGAGTTTCGATTCATTTTTAACATATTTGATCAGATTTCGAAGTCGCTTCTATTTGATCATGAAAACACGATTGAGTTTTGATAACATATTATCGAAACTCGATCGTGTTTTCATGATCAAATATGATCGACTACTAGGTTCTTGAAATTCTCGATCCTTTTTTATCATTCTCGATCAGATTTCGAAGTCGATCCTATTTGATCATAAAAACACGATCGAGTTTCGATCCTTTTTCGAACATTTTTGATAAGGTTTTCGTGGTCAAAAAGGATCGTTTCGATCCTGTTTTCATGATCAAATAGGATCGAGTTTCGATCCTTTTTGATCACGAAAACAGGATCGAAACTCGATCATTTTCCATAATGTTTCCATAATTAATTCTAAAATAAAAGATACAATTTTCAAAACATGAAAACTTTATTGGGCACTTTCAAAAAGATCGGATGACAACGATGATGATGATGAAATAAAATAAAATCTTGACATACTTGTCTAGGGAAATCTAGGGATTTTTTTGTAAAAAATCTGGGGAAATAAAAAAATATCATCTGGCAACCCTGTCTGTAATGTGTCTATAATCTGTGCACGTGCTTGTCATGTTGGTTAGTGTTTTTTGTTATCGATTTTACGGTTTTACTGTGGGTTTTTCTTTACTATAATAATTAAAAATTCGATGAAAAGTACTGATTGCCATCAAACAAAAAAAACTTATGATTCCCGAGTTGCGGCAATTTTTTATGAATTTTGTTTTTTCGGCCCCTGAAAAGTAAGGTTATGTATACAAATTTTACTATGAATTTATTTGTTATAGGTAAATTTAAAGACAGCAAGATAGCAAGATGTCAATTAATTTAACCGCTCATGGACCATGTGCTTTTGTTAAATTTTGCGACACGGGGCACAAAAAAAGGGTGTTGCTGTCGAAAATTTCAAATATCGATGCAAAAACTTTCTCTCGAAACAAGAAATACTTTATTGAACGTGAGGGAGCAACTGCGCAATGCGTTGTTTCTTTTTTTGCAAGTAAATAATTAATTTTTAGTCTTGATTATTGCAAATTGTATATCGTTATACAGGGTGATTCAGTTTTAACCTACCAGGGGAAAATGTTCTCCCATTATCCTGATTCAGAAAAATATCACACATAAGTTGACAAAGAAAAAACGTTTTTTCGTCATATCTTCTATGAAAATGATAAAAATTAATCATAATTTTGTATACATACCTTTCATATGAAAGCCCTATTTTTGAAAATAAAAATTGTTAAAATTTGATACAACATTGGCGTGCAATGGGGCCACATCAAAATATAAAGAAAAAAAGTACACCACTAACTTTCGAACTTTTCTCATAATTTTTTGAAATTTGGGTTGTGAATCAAGTTTTATTTCAGACCTAAGCAAATTATTTAAAAAAATAAAAAAATGAACTTTGACATGCCTTAACTTAAAAACCACTTTAATTTCGAAAAAATGTATATAACTTCCTACCATTATTTTTCGATGCACAATTATCCCCCTTAATTTCGTGACGCATTAATAAAACACCCTCTATAGAATATAATTGCAAATTATTGTCTGAACTAATAATAAATATTCTATGTATTTTTTCATGTATTTTTTTATTAGAGAATAGGACTGAATTGCTAAAAAAATTGAAGGAAGATCGCCCAATTTTTAGCCCAGCAACTCAGTGGGACACTGCACCGGAAGTGGAGTGCATTGAAGAAACGCAGGTATGTAAAAGTATATGTATAAGTAATGATAAATAATTTAACAACAGATTTAACATAAGTGTAGTAATTATTAGTGATTTAAAGCATAGTCTGCTTCTCAATTAATATTTTCGAGACTTTCTAATTTAATTTTTTTTTCTCAGGTATTTTCGAGCACTACCTTCTTAAGGAAAGAAAAGTGGAAGAGTTGGTGGCCTTTGATGAACTCTCTAAAATGAAGAAATACATCAGTCAAAAAATATATGAGCTAAAGCAAAACGAAAATACAAATCCAAAAAAAAAAAATTAGAAAAATCGCCGAAGGAAAAAAGGTATGAATGAAAATTTGCAAGATTATTTTGCAAAAGTTTAAAAGACAATATTAAAATAGTAATATAAATATATTCCCCTAAAGGGACACTTTTTTTTGTTTTAGAAAAAGGATAAAAATTTCATCACCATCGTCATCCGATATTTTTGAAAACGAAAATGTCCAATAAATTTTTCATGTTTTGTAAATTGTATCTTTTATTTTAGAATTAATAATGGAAACCTTATGAAAAATGATCGAAAAAGTATCGAGTTTCAATCCTGTTTTCGTGATCAAAAAGGATATTGAACCTCGATCCTATTTAATCATGAAAACAGGATCGAAACTCGATCCTTTTTGATCACGAAAACAGGATCGAAACTCGATCCTTTTTCGATCATTTTTCATAAGGTTTCCATAATAAGTAAAAGTAGTATTATATACAACTTTTCATACTCTTACCTTATGACAGTAGTCTGAAAAGAGAGACCCAAAAATGACTTATCCCCTTATTCCCCGAAACCACGGAATTATTGTTGTGAATATTATTTTATAAAATATATGACTGTTATTATTATAATTACGAATTTCATCATCATCGTCGTCGTCATCCGATTTTTTTGAAATACAAAGTGCCCAATAAAGTTTTCAAGTTTTGTAAATTGTATCTTTTATTTTAGAATTAATTATGGAAACCTTATGAAAAATGATCGAAAAAGGATCGAGTTTCGATCCTGTTTTCGTGATCAAAAAGGATCGAGTTTCGATCCTGTTTTCGTGATCAAAAAGGATCGAAACTCGATACTATTTGATCCAGAAAACAGGATCGAAACTCGATCCTTTTTGATCACGAAAACAGGAGACAAAATCCTTATCAAAAATGATCAAAAAGGATCGAGATTTAAACTCGATCCATTTTCGATCAGTTTTTTCAGCAGGGAGTCAATTGATCGAATATTTATCTTTACACAAGATATTTGTGTAAACTAATTATTAATTAGTTTACACAAATACCTTGTGTAAAGATAAATATTCGATCAATTGACTTCGCGTTCGATCTATTCCGCCATGATGGCTGCTGTTTTAAATAAACCACGCCCGAAATCAACTAAATAAATTTACGTTTAAACTAGGTATTTCGTATTATAATTTAGGTTCTACGTTATAAACAATTGGTACTTGATTTTATCTAATTAAAAGGGTAGGTTTTTACGGGGAAGTTATCAAAAGAGCAGGGCGGTATTGGGTTTTAATTAGCCAAGTGTCAGGACTGTACTTGAGATTATTTAATTATTTTAATAAACATTTAAAAAAAAAGAATTTAACATAAACGCTGTGTAAAATAAGTGTAATTAATATCGATTTTCTTGAATACGGGATTTATAAAATTGTACTCGTAGATTCTCATTTATGTCCCATAATTAGTTAAGGTGATTTTTACCAGTCATATTAAATTATTTGGTATTACATTTGGAGTGTATATTAGGGTGAGCCAAAAAAACTAACCTATCGGATTTAGGGGTTAAAATGAACCTACATACCGAGAAAAAAATTTTCCTGCAAGGCAAAATTTTTTGCTCAATTTTAAAAGGTGTCGGTGAGCATTCTAAGTTTTCCATTGAAATAACACGTAAAAAAATCTTTTTTCATTAAAAAGACTATAACTTTTGAACCGTTTGAGATAAAATTTTTTACGTCGCGGATTCTTGTAGAGCATAAAATTTCCCAAAGAAGCTATACCAGGATTATTTTTTTTAATTCAAAAATTCGTATGTTTGAAAGCTTTGAAAAGTGTAAAAAATCACTAAAACTGCAAAAAATTTTGCCTTGCAGGGAATTTTTTGCTCTGTATGTAGGTTCATTTTAACCCATAAATCCGATAGGTTAGTTTTTTTGGCTCACCCTAGTGTATATATATAGCTATTATATTTTACCAAGAAAACCACCATTTTACCCAACCTTTATGTTATACCTTATTTCAAAAAGCATACCAGGACTTAACATTTTGAACCATTTGCAAAAAAAGGTCGAGGTTTGAGTAAATAGACCGAGATTAATTTGTTTATCTAAAAATGAGCTTGACTTGTAGAAGTTTATTGCTATGCTGGAAAAACGCTGTCAGAAATATGTTTTGTGAAATATAATATACAGACTGTATAATACAGTGTGTCCCCGGATGGAACTATACTTGTAAACTTTATTTTGCTTTTTAGTACAAAAAATCATTCTTTATAAAAAGTTTAGCTTACTCTGTAAACTCCATAGCCATCTTAGAAACATCGAAAAAACCTACAGGGTGGTTAGATAACAAGAAAATGCACAATTATGTAAAGAATAAAGTACGTTTTTTTTAAAATGTACAAATATTTGAGAAAAAAGATGTTTATAATGTCAATAAAAAATAGGATTTTAAATTTGAACGGTTTAATTCAAAGTTATTGCTTTCAAAGTTTCGATTATAGTAAATAATAATTATGAATATATTATAATAGGTTTGTATAACATAGTACGACGAAATTTGATTTTTTTCCCTCTCATGAAAAATGTCTACGGATTTTGAAAATAGACTTAAAAAATGATACCACCCAAGTAGTACAACTGATTAAATAAACGTTAAATTTACGTTATGTAAGGTTAATTCATTTAAGTAATATTGTACTATAGTACCCAAAAAATGAGCATATGAAAAGTTTTCCAAAATTGTACTATCCTTTTTCTCCACTTATTACAAGGATGGTACAATTTTGGAAAACTTTTCATATGCTCATTTTTTGGGTACCCCATTTTGCCCCCCCGCTGCCTTGTTTTGCCCCCTTTCACCTCCCGTCTGCTAATTGTACCATAAAATTAAAAAAAACAGAAAATTTGTTGTTAATCAAACTTTGACCTCGAATAACTCTAGAAGAAATCAATTTATCGATTGTTACATTTTGTAAGAAACTGCATTTTTTTTATATTAAATAGAAACATTTGAGAGGGTAAGAGCGAAAAAAAAATTAAATTTTATTTTTTTTTAGATTGTGATACCACTATACATTCGTCAAACTAAAAGAGCAAGATTTTTTTCCAACATATATTGAATATAAGATAAATAAATACAAATATGTTGTTTTATTAAAAAAAAATCAAAAATTAAAAAAAAAAAAAATTTATAGGTATAAAATAGGTAATTAAAATTATTTTTTAACGTAATTTTTGTATTTTAACAAAATAGAAAATGATGTGATTTCGTGAAACGGATTTTTAAAATCTGTTAAAGTATTTTATTCTTGGCTTGATATACGTTTTCTTGTTTTTTAACCACCCTGAATGTTATTTTAAAATTTTTAAGATGGCTATGGAATTCACAGAATAAGCAAAACTTTTTATGAATAATGACTAAAATGCAAAATAGGAACGTTTACAAGTATAGTTATAATATTATAAATAAAAGTACAATAAAGGTGAAATTGCAGAATTTTGCCATATTGGTGGTTACAACGTGGTTCCATCAAACATTAATTTAACTTATGCACCGTAGGTATAGCATAATATTGGGGTTTTCCGTGAATAATGATAAACATTATAAACTCCCTGTCTATAACAACGGGAATAATAATGAACTCATTATTCATATACTATATATTATAATATACTATTAATCAAAATGTCAAAATCAATGACTTTAAATAACATTGTTAACATAGGAAATCCTTAAAGATTTGTAAATTTATTTAAAAAAACAGGTATTTTATTCTTGACTTGGTATACGTTTTCTTGTTTTTTAACCACCCTGAATGTTATTTTAAAATTTTTAAGATGGCTATGGAATTCACAGAATAAGCAAAACTTTTTATGAATAATGACTAAAATGCAAAATATATTTTCCTATAGGAACGTTTACAAGTATAGTTAGTTATAATATTATAAATAAAAGTACAATAAAGGTGAAATTGCAGAATTTTGCCATATTGGTGGTTACAACGTGGTTCCATCAAACATTAATTTAACTTATGCACCGTAGGTATAGCGCCATTGCATTGCATTGCATTCGATCGCTGTTCTTAATGGCTTTTAAAAGAAAATTACTTGGTTCAATTTTTTGCCCTGAAACCTCAGGCGTTCTTGGCCAATGATTCTAACCGAAAAATGACCAGGGGTCCTCCATATTTGGTTTAATTAAGTCTGTTTTAAATAATATAATAATAATAAAAAGAAAGATTTTTTAAATTATGGGTAAAATTGGGAAGAACTTTTTTAAGTCTCTAACTACTTAATACAACAACTTGTCTTACCTTTCAGGGTGATCCTTTGTTTTTTTAGTCAACACTACCGAAAATCCAAAATAGTTTTCATTTGGTCGCGAACTTGGATCTTCGAAAATAATCGTATGACTCAAGTCCAAATTAAAAGCGTTGCTTTTTAGGATTAGTGACAAAAAACACAAGAGTTTATACATGTTTACAGAAGAAATTTTGAAAAACGACTGTCTATGAATGCTTGTGCGGGAGTTACGACAGGAACTTGGTTAGGTTAGTATCAGAATTGAGATAACCGCAATTATTTTAATTTATTACTAATAATTATTATCATTTCTAAAAATTATTTAACAGTTTTTTAGTTAATTATAACTTTATTCACCACTTATTATAATAATATTACAATTAAAGCTGTATAATTTAATAAATTAGATTTATGTAGAACACTCTTCAACTATAACATCATCATCTAAAATATAACTGGCAGAATTGGCAAGCCCCTCAGGCAATGTATGAAAATGATCTTCGTTATTTTCTTTTAAATCATTAACATTTTCATTTTGGCATAATTCCTAGAAAAAAAACATGTCTAAATTTAGTGTATTTCCTTGTAACAAATAAAGGGATTAACAATATGGATGTCAAAACTTTCACATACGGTCCCCCATGTTAAATTTTTTTTTTAGAAAAAAGTTCTAAATTCAAAGAATATTCGTAAAAAATTAAATTAGGTTAATTTTGTGTAACCTGGTAGATCGTTGGTCGGTGTTGATTGTTTTCACAAAATTTGCTAAAATTACTCTGGACCCTTTTAAGGGCGATATATTTATTTCTTATTACGTGATACTTCCCAGAGAGCCAGGATTTGCCCTTTCGCATGTGGACAAGTTTTGCCAAGGTACAATATATGACTTTTGGTCTTATGCAATCGCGATGGCCAACAATAAACGATCAAATCGTGCCCAATAAAATGTAAAAGTAGTTTTGTTACCGTTGGTATAATTTTGGGAATGCATTCCAAAATTTGGACATGATTAAACGATGACACATTTTGGACGTTTATTTGGGCAAATATTTGAACAAATCTTGAGTATTTACAAATATTAATATATGAAAGATTATGTCCTAATTTGGTTGGAAAGAAGTTGAGTAACTTATATCCCAAACCTTGATTGTCTGGGTACATGGAATAACTGGGTTGAAAAAGCCAGATACAGAAAAAGATACTAGAAAGTGTGAAGAGGAAAGTGACAATGAGCAAGTTCATATACAAAACGGTGTCAACAGAGGCAATACAAGTTATTGCAGGAGTCATGAAAATTAGTAATAATATAAAAATATAATAAAACAGTAAAACCACAACAGCGCTATAAACAAAGAAATTGATATCGCAAACCGCGAAAAGTTGGGTATTACCTCACTCAACAATATAACGAATTCCGATGTTTGTACACAGTAAAAAATAGGCTACATAGTAAACATAAGTGGAAAGCCATAGAAAGTACAATAACCAAGCCGATCAGCAATTCCAATCCAAGGCCGATCCGATTTGGCCTACAAAATACTCGATTCTCATCCGGTATTGAACCGGATTATCGGATACGGCAGGATGTGTAATGCTTGACAGAACTAGTTGACAATCGATTCTGGCCTAATCAGGCAGCCTGCTTGAGGCTCTGATTATGAAAATCATATCTGAATCGAAAAAAGGCTATTAATTTTCTAAAATATAAAAAATAGAGCTAGACCAATCCACGAGCGTTTGGACATATTTTCAAGGCTTTGCAAACTACATAACATTTATAAACCGGCTTTTCGACAGCTGTTCCGTTGGGGCCGTCCCTCCTGAGACGTCACAAGTTATTAGCTTTACTCTTTCCCCACCTTTGCCTAAATTTGATGAAATGTTCAAAAAAAATTATGTAGATGTGGATGTGGGTGGCAAATTAGCGAGATTGGATTTAATTTTCACCATTCGTGCACGAAAACACCTTTAGCCTGAAATGATCTAGCATTGTTTTATTGCTTTCTCCTCCATATAGGGCAATACAAATGACTTTCCCATTAAGGTTACAACCTCTTGAAACCGTTACAGCTTTTTAAATCAAAGAAACCTGGCTATAACAATATAGCGTCAACAGGGTAAAACATTTTCATTATAATGAAAATGTTTTACGCTTTATGAAGAAGAAAGTAACAAAACAAATCTAAATTATTTTTGATTGAAGCTGTTCTTGTGGAAGAATCGTGAAAATGAAATCCGATCTCGCTAATTAACCACCAATCTTTTTGAACATTTCATCCGGTGCAGGCATGGTAAGCGAATTGTTTTAGATACTAGGGAGGCTAAAGCTTAAGCCAATGATGACCTCTGAGTCAGGAAAAACGAAACCATTATCACTTGTCGACATCATTTCATGCTGGTGTACGAGTTAATGCGGCGCAACGTGCGGCTGTCGAAAAACCGGGTTAAAATGTTTTGCAGTTTAAAAATTTTCTTGCAGGAAAATATGTTTTAACTTTAGATAGATTGCCATTGACTCTGACAAAGAGATATCTTTTCTCTAACAAGATACAGCTTATCTTTCTCATATACAGGGTGTCTCACCAGCGATGGTACCTTAGACGTTTACGGTGAACGGCTGAGGATATCAATTTGAAATTTTTATAGCAATTATTGTACAATTTAATCTACCTTTTAAAATTATTTAAAAAAAATTCCTCTTCCGGTTTAACCGGAAGCGATATCAACTTTGTTATTTCCAATGGAACACCCTGTAAATTTTTTTATTTTTAAATTCCTCATGAAATTCTTAATGAAATTGCTGTACCATTCCCTATACCTAAACTTAATAGTTTGCGAGTTAATAATTTTTTTCGTAAAATTTTGACAGTTGCACCTTCATTAAAAATAGCTTATAACTTTTTTGATATTCGGTTTGCTGGTATGCTCAGTGCCGGTTTAACAGGGGTTTTTTGGGGACTATAGCACCGGGCGGTAAATATTTTTGGGGCGGTACCGCGTACCGCCCATAATTTAAAAAAAATACTTAATCGTTAGAATTTAGAAAAAAAATTATTGCGACACTGCGTCGGCGGATACAACGGATACAAATGAGAAAAATGTTGTTAGAGTTGAAGCAGCTTCTTCATCAGAAAAACTTGATTTATTGGAAACGGAATAATTTTAACTTTTTGGATAGACGTTTTGCAAAGGGTTAATGAAACCAATAAAGCAGTCCAAAAACAAAATATGGATTTAAGCAAAAATGCTCATCTTTTGTCATTTTTAGTTGAGAACTTTGATTTTTTACGTGATGATTTTGATCATTACGAGGAAATTAACAGGAAACGAAAATTATGCTCAGAAGCGGATAATCATAAGAAAAATTACAATTTGAAGAAAATAATTCAGAGGACAGTTTAAGCAAAAAAGAAACAATGCGAACAATATGTTTTATTTTAATAATTTACAATCTATAATCCGAAATCATTTGTCGATATGATAGCTAGAAATCTGGCACAAACAAATTTGAATTTTTGTTTAATATAAATGCATAAATTTTCGTGGAGAATTTGGATGAGTTTTTTTCTCAAAAATGTGTCCAACTCAAGAAACTGGTAACTTCCCTTTCGGAAATAAAAATAGAAACTCCATTGGAATTACTATAAATTTTTTACGAATATAAATTAATATCTTCATTTCCGAATATTAATATTTGTCTGCGATTTTTTTTTTGTAATGGTTTCAAATGCAATTGGTGAACAATCTTTCTCTACTCTAAAAATGGTAAAGAACTACCTAAGAAATACAATTCCCCAAGAAAGATTTAACTCCTTAGTAATTCTGTCCATTTATCAAGACCTGCTAGATGAAATAAATGTAAAGTGTTATAAAACAATTTGCTACTATAAAAACTTGAAAACAACCTTTTAATTATTAGTATTAGGATTTCTCAATATTTATTTAAACCAAAGAATAATGTTTTATTTATTTATAACTTTTGATTGGATTTTATTAGTTAGTATTGTTTATATAAACCAAAGAATGTTTTATTTTTTAGTTAGTGCTTTTGATTAGTTTTTATAATTTGTTTATAAAGGCTCATTTTATATTTTATCCTATAGGATACTAAGTTTACTGTTAGATACCAGCCTAACCAACCTAATCTTCCACTTGACGTGAGAAAGTAAGACTTAAAAATTTAAAAATGTTTTTAAAAAGGTAATATTTTAAAGCATTGGGCGTTGTGTTTGTGCCAGAACCGGGCGGCGAACTAACTTAAACCGGCACTGGGTATGCTGTAAGGATTTTTGGAATCTTAAAACATTGTTTTAAAGATTCCATGTCTGAAATTATATTTTTGATCAAAAACCATAGAAAAATCGTGGTAAATTTAGTTAACTTCAAACATTAATAACTTGTTTATTTTCAATGGAACGGTATGCATGTTTTTACATTATCAAATAGGAAAATGAATTACATTTCGATTGGTATAACCATTCCCTATACCTAAATAGTAAGGTTTCGGAAATACAAGCAAATTTCTGTAAAAATACAATATTTTGACATATTTATCTCAGATACCGATGAAATGTCACAACAAATTAGTTATGTCATTGATTGACAGTTGATACATTTCTTAAGGAAGATATTTTAAAAATAATAGAAAACAACAATTAAACAAAGCTTTAAGAATTTAATTATTATAAATTATAAAAAACGTGATGGAAAAAATAACAACCAAAAAACTATTTTAATAAATGTTTAAAATGGCGACCATTGACTTGCAAACATTTTAAATGCGGAGCCTGGGAGATTCCGTTGTGACATTTCATCGGTATCTGAGATAAATATGTCAAAATATTGAATTGAAAATAAACAAGTTATTAATGTTTGAAGTTAACCAAATTTACCACGATTTTTTCTAGTTTTTGATCATAAATATGAAAATTTCAGACATGGAATCTTTAAAACAATGTTTTAAGATTCCAAAAATCCTTACAGCATACCAGCAAACCGAATATCAAAAAAGTTATAAGCTATTTTTAATGAAGATGCAACTGTCAAAATTTTACGAAAAAAATTATTAACTCGAAAACTATTAAGTTTAGGTATAGGGAATGGTACAGCAATTTCATTAAGAATTTCATGAGGAATTTAAAAATAAAAAAATTTACAGGGTGTTCCATTGGAAATAACAAAGTTGATGTCGCTTCCGGTTAAACCGGAAGAGGAATTTTATTCAAAATAATTTTAAAAGGTAGATTAAATTGTACAATAATTGCTATAAAAATTTCAAATTGATATCCTCAGCCGTTCTCCGTAAACGTCTAGGGTACCATCGCTGGTGAGATACCCTGTATATAGAAAAATTAAATATATTTTGACGTGGATTAGACCTACAGGAAAAACTGCAATAGAAAAACAAGCCTGAGACTCAGGCGTTCTTCGAGGATTGGTCGGCTCTCGTTAGTCGCACCGAGCTCTATTTTTTTCTTGAAATTGTAGAATATTAAAAGAGGTACAAAATGTTAATCATAATAATTTATCATCAATATACCGTTTGCACAATATTTTCCAAAAAAGTGAAAAAAAAACAGAAGATAAGAACAATTTTACTCATTACGCTAAAATCTAAAAAAATGTATTTTTGAGTATAGGTACCCTAAAATATAAAAAAATGTATTTTTGCGTATATGGTATCTTTGTAAAAAAACTGTCAGGTGGTGCAAATTTGGTTTTAAGCTTTTTAAATAAGCCCCTATCGATTCATAAAAAAACAGACAGTGCCTCGGCACGCAAGGTCAGGCCATTTTTCACCACGGTTTGACTGGACTATGGGGATAATATCCTATTATCCCCATATGCTCAACCGGGCTGCCTGATGGGGCCAAGACAGGAAAAAATTACATCCCAACCGAATCTGGATCCGGCCCGACAGAAAAAATGTATATTCCAAGTTGGGATATAGGGTTTTAAAGTGTCGGAAAAAAACAGGAAAAATTGGGGAAAGTACAAGTTATTGCAGGGGTCATAAAAATGAGTAAGCGTGAAATATCGATAATTAAATGGAAAAGATAAAACAGTAAAACCACAACAGCGCTATACAAAGAAATTGATATCGCAAACCGCGAAAACTGGGTATTACCTCACTCAACAATATAACGAATTCCGATGTTTGTATACAGAAGTAGGGTATTACCTCACCCCACAATATAACAAATTCCGATGTTGAGTGAGGTAATACATAGCTGGGTATTAAGTGTCTCCGTGTTGATGCTTGACGCGTTATTCAAAGTTATATTGTCCTCAACACGTAACTACTGAGAGGGGGAAGCTGGAAGTAAGATTGAAAAACAACTAACTACGGAGAATTTGGGCTACATAGTAAACATAAGTGGAAAGCCATAGAAAGTACAATAACCAAGCCGATCAGCAATTCCAATCCAAGGCCGATCCGATTTGCCCTACAAAATACTCGATTCTCCTCCGGTATTGAACCGGATTATTGGATACGGCAGGATGTGTAATGCTTGACAGAACTAGTTGACAATCGATTCTGGCCTAATCAGGCAGCCTGCTTGAGGCTCTGATTATGAAAAACATATCCGAATCGAAAAGAGGCTATTCATTTTCTAAAATATAAAAAATAGAGCTAGACCAATCCACGAGCGTTTGGACATATTTTCCCGGCTTTGCAAACAACTGAGACGTCACAAGTTTTTAGCTTTACTCTTTTCCCACCTTTACCTAAATTTGATGAAATATTCAAAAAAAATTATGTGGATGTGGATGTGGGTGGCAAATTAGCGAGATTGGATTTAATTGTCACCATTCGTGCACGAAAACACCTTTAGATTGAAATGATCTAGAATTGTTTTATTGCTTTCTCCTCCATATAGGGCAATAAAAATGTTTTCCCATTAAGGTTGTAACCTCTTGAAACCGTTATAGCTTTTTAGATCGAAGGATCCTGGCTACAATAATATAGCGTCAACAGGGTAAAACATTTTCATTACGCTTTATAAAGAAGAAAGTAACAAAACATATCTAAATTATTTTTGAATGAAGCTGTTCTTGTGGACGAATCGTGAAAATGAAATCCGATCTCGCTAATTAACCACCTAAACAAAAAAACGCTTTGATATAGTCAATAACAATGCTATAATTGATTGTTTTTTCATTTCTCCAATAAAAGTTAAAGTTTATTCAATTAAATATGTTTGGAGCAATTGAAGGTAAGGGATTGATTTTATTACAAATATTATCAAGTTAAAATTACTTCTTATAGAGTGAACGGCTCTTTAGATTTAAACCTAATAGAAATGTGTATACTTCCTTGAAAATTTTAGAAATGATTGCATTCAAAGTTTACGGTTTTTTTCCGCCGGCAATGGTAGGTACTACGTATTGAATGGCGCTAGCACAGCACCAGCTTTTGGAACATGCTTGTCAATATATGGACTCTATAGAGTATACTTTTTCTATGGAGTATACGTCAATTACATATTTGGAAAACTGTATCACACAAGTGAGTCTAACATTTGCATATACATTTTTACTCTCCTCATACATCTCCATATATCAATGATTTAGATTTGTCTGAGTTTTTTTAATTTTTTTTACACAACCGAAAAAAAATTGTGCTTTTTTTTAAATGCTCTCAACTTTCTTTAAAACTAACTAATCGAGTTTTTAATCGTACTTTATGAATAAAAAAATATTCAGTCATCATTCATGACACGTTTTTTGTTTGGAAAAAATAAATAGATAAATAAAAATTGGCAATTTTTTTCTCTCGAAAACTAAAAATGTTAATAGAATATGACTTAGGTTGGGTAAAAACATACAATGTATGTATGGGGCATTCTACGCCAAATAAACCACTTTTGATTTGAATAAAATTTTGTTTGTCATACATATTATCATAATATGTATACATACATGTACACACAACATTCTTTCACTTAAAAAAGTGATTTGGAAATAAGAAACATTAACTCTAAACCTACTTTATTACAAAAATAAAGAAAAATTTATTAAAACTAATTTTCTAGAGAACAAATTACAAAAAATGTGAATTTCTCAGAGAATAAACTTTACAATAAATTAGAATTTAGGAGGAATTAATAGGTTTTTGTTAATTTAATAATCAGTGCATGCACATGTTTCCACCTCTGGCCTTAATGCAAGCACGAATTCGACGGGGCATGCTTTGTATTAAGTTATTTATTTCTTTTTGTTGAAATTTTTTCCACCCCCCTAAAATGTGCAAGTCCCCCCTAAAATGTGCAAGTTGCTCTGCGTTGCCGGGTTGTTTTAACGGGCTGTAGTCCTTGTTTTAACCTATCCCTTAAGTTCTCAATTGGATTAAGTTCCGGTGAACAAGACGTCACTCTAAAACAGTCACACTTTCCATTTCTCAACAGTTTTTGACTACTCTGCTTATCAGCGGTGGTGCCTTATCCGGCATAAATAAAATAAAATCACAGAACACAGTTAAGGGTTACAAAATTATTTCTTTTTAAATTCTAATTTACCGTAGTTTATTTTCAGAATAATTCACATTTTTTGTTATTTGTTCTGTATAAAATTTGTTTTAATTTTTTTTGTAATATAATTGGTTAGGATAAAGTGCTTTTTATTTTCAATTCAATTTTTTTCCATATAATATTGGTTGTGTGTATAATTAAAAAAAAATTTATCGATTACATATAAGTATACTTTTATTAAAATGATCTTACCTCTTTGCGTTTGTCAAGTTCTACCTTCATTTTTCTTTTAAAAAATCCAATTTTTACCAAAACAACAACGATTACAAGTAGTACTAAAGTTCCAGCTACAACGGCTGCAATAATATACCAAAACGGGATTTTTGATTCCATTTTATACACAAATAGGGTAGATACGGTAAAACTATTGGATCTTAAAAAATCACACAAAAAATCATAAAGTCATTTGTTCAATTAAATTTCTTACCTATTCCCTGACTCTTTAAATACACCATGTGGTACAATGTTTGCCTCCCCATACGTTTCAAACTTGATTTGGCTCATTTTTTTGCCTAAAACACCTAAAATTCAAACAAGTAAAATTTTTTCTACTGCTGTTAGTTTTGCAATATTTTACCCTTAACAGCATTTTCATTTATTTGCATTAAAAACTTAATGTTTCTGTCTTTAACATTTTCATTAAATGGTCCAAGTGTGCAAATTATTTCCTTGGATTCAATAAATTTTAATGAAGAATTTAAAGAAATGACCTTGCTAGATTTTAACTCTGATAGCCAGTCTGGTTTTACCTATAACATATTTTGGGTTTAAGATTTTAAAACCTACTTACATCATTACAAATAGTTTAATAATATATATTATATGGGTCATTATACTATTAAGGCTCTCTGCCATTTGTCAGTTGTCCCTAACATTTCTTATTAAAAAAATAATAAATTGAGACAGCTAATATAGAACTAGATTTATAAATAAAAATTTAAAATAACAACAATTAATAAAACATTTTTCTGTGAATATTTTTTTAAGCGTGGCCAAACCTTGTCCTTATACATATTTAATGTCTACTTCGTCACAAACAGCTTGGCAACTGCAATGGTATCGCTATTGTTATTTTGCGCGTTACAAACAAGCAGCTTGTGTTTTTGAAGGATATCTTTTGTCACGGCATTTACTCGGTAAGTATTTGCATTATTTAATTTTCTTTTTTATTGTGAAAAATGTCTTCTTCGTCACATGTCTTTTTGTTACACTGCGCAGCTATCGCTACGACATTAACTCTTTAAGCAAAACTTAACTGCTGAGAATAATATTAGAATTACCTTTAGTTTGCCTAAATAATAGTCACAATGGATTTGAAAATGTGAAATATTTATTTTTTAGAGGTAGATGGGTCTAAAAAGTGTAATTACCCATATATACATAAGTAAATATTTATCAATAACCAAACAATAAAAATTAATTCGATTTTAAAAGTAGCTTTTTGATTAATATATGTACCTAGATAATATATATTATAATAAGTTTTTGAACTTGCCTTTTCATTTTTCTTTGGAATATTTTTAGCTGTTTTCTCACATTCATCTGGAATATCTACTAAATATGCAAACTGTATAGTTTTATCCACCGTAAAATAAAACGGCATTTTTATTTTCACTTGGATTTGTTCTATTGAACTTATACCATCTAAACCAACCTAAAAAAATGGATTATTTATTTTTATATAGCAGTAAACTAATTTTTTTTGAAAAAATCTTCGAGAAAATACAAAAGGCCATCATTTTTCTCAATTATTGTTGCTCCTGGTAGCTTAATTTGGGGACTCTCCGTTTATTATAAAAATTTATATTTTAATTAAATAATATTTTTTAATTAAAAACTATAACGGATCTGGGATTTCTGGGGGTCTGTAGATCAAGGTGGTCCGCGATTTCTGGGACACCCTGTATACTATAACTGTAATCTTATAATTATGTAATATTATTATTTTATTTTTTTTCAAATATATAGATAGTAATTTGTATATTTTATAAAATATACAAATTACTATCTGTTATAACACTAAAAATTTATACAGGGTGTTTAAATTTAAACAGGGTGTTTCCAATATCTTTGAATTTTGACCTGATACAGCTAAACCAAGCACGGATTTGTAATCTACGACCAAAAATTTAGTTTACGTGTCTGAGCTTTTAGCTGTGATATTTTCACCTCCCTATAGGGTATACAGTGTTATTATAGAAAAGTTGCATAATTACAAGAGTCGTAACAAGACCATAGATTATTAACAAGACTATTAAAATAAAATTTATAAATTTAAAAAAAAACAGCGGTTCATAAAATATAAAAAAAAAACTAAAAACGTATTAAAACCAAAATTGTTATAACTTCGTTATTCGTGGGAATTTTAAAAAAAGTTTGTATCTTTCTACTATATTTTGAGTAGGGTTTTAAACTGTCAGAAAAAAAAACTGTTTTTCCGTTTTTTCCCAGGCCTTGGAAAAAATTGGCTTTTTTGGGAAAAAATGATTTTTTTTGTTGAAAATATACACATTTAAAAAAAGTAGCAATGAACAACTTAACATTATTTTAAATTTGCTTTATTGCAAAAAAAATAAAACCTAACATTGAATTAAATTAAATTGATTTATGAAAATAAACGTAAACGTTAAATATACTGTCGGTTGGGTATTTTTGCAAAAAGCCGTCCATTAAAAATATCCCACTACAAAATAATAAATGATTTATAAAGTTAAATTTTATAAATCAAATAAAAGTTAATAATAATTTTAATATAGCACCAAATATGTTTTTTTGCGTCATGGTAGAATATTCTTAATAAATTAAAATAAAAGAAATAATTATTATAATCATAATATTATAATTATAATTAGTGTGGGAAATTCAGTTTTTTCTCGATATCAGTGTATGGATATAATACGTAAAAATTTGGAAATTTTCAGAAAAAACTTCTTTTGCATATTTCGTACCCTTTGAATAAAATTTTAAAAATAAAAAAGTCAATTTTTCAGAAAATTTCCCAATTTTTCCGGTTTTTTTTTCGGAAAAAAAATTTTTTCCGGAAATTTTAAAACCCTGATCTTGAGTTTCTATCACCATCTTGCTGCGACATGTGTAGCTTTATTTATAAACTTTATACATGCGGTTTGTTATGAGTGCCATTTTGGCAACCGCATGTCTCAAAATTTATATTTATTGTCAGTTTCGCTTCTGGCGTTTTCACGATTTCTTACATAAATTATTATTTATTTATACGAGTTTTAAACACATTTAAAACAAAAAACAATGACAATGTTTAACAAAATGTTTAAAAATATAAAAACGTTTTTGCATGAGTCACAACTAAAATAAATGTTCAAAAAATGGCATACATGATTAACGGTTGTTATGACTGCTATTTTGGCCAATTTTATATGTTTGTGTAACACAATAGATAAAGCTAAATATAGTGAAAATTTCAATATAATCGGACTAAAATTGTTCAATTAACAGCACTTTGAACTTTGAAAATTGTCGAGTTTTTGCTAAAAATTAAAAATAAAAAATAAAAATAATAAATATTTTAAAATTAAAATAAAAAACTCTCTATTCAAAAGGGTGTTTCATTGAAAAAAATAATTTTATATATACAACCGATGCTTTTTGTTTTTTAATTTTTGTCTAAAAATATTAATATGTCTTCATATAAAGATTTTAGAGGGGTGTCCCATTTATATTTGAAAAACACCCTGTACGTTTATATAATTATATAAACGTACAGGGTGTTTTTCAAATATAAATGGGACATATAAATGGGAAATTATAATTTTTATGTACATCTATTTGTTGATAGTTTTCTTTGTATGACCCTGGTGTCGGGAGTAAACGCATGACAGAAGCTAGACTTCTTACGATTTCAATTTAAAAAGAATGAAAATTTTAAAATGTTTAAAATTTTGGGAATTTTGACAATTTTAAAAATTTGTCCGACCATTTTATTACCTACTATTATTTTGAGAAATTGTTCCTATTTTTTTTTTAATTTAGAACTACTGTGCAAATTTATCCTACTTCATTTTAAATTATTCTCACTGCGAGCGAGGGTTTAATGAAAGTGTATAAACGAGTTGCATAGTATAGTCGCACAGACCGGTATTTTGACCTAAAACGTGGCCAAAAATATTTGGGCACTTTTTCTTTATCAAAAGGGTAGCAAATGACCAAAAAACATATTTTTAAAGGTATACAAGTGATATTAGGTACTTTTACTATAAATAAAAAAAAGTATGTATTCACAAATTTATTTATAAAAAAATTATAAAGTAGCTACTTACATATATGCAAGTAATGCAATAAAAATATTAAAATTAAACATATATTAAAGTTTTTGTGCCCTTTAAAAAATAAAAAATACATCCATTTACCTAAAAATCTTATAAGATCGCACTAAAGTGTCTGTTTTCAAGGGTATATTTTTTCGTGATGTGGAAACATTTGGATGACTTTGATGGCTGCAATTATTCTAGATATCCTAAAGTTTAATAAAATGTATAGCGGATGCCGTTGCGAGGTGTTGCCGATATTTAAAAACACCATTGTTTCTTTAAGAAAACGAGAAAAATTAAGAATTTCTAGGTAGTTAATTATAGTACTCGATATAAATAAATAAAGTTTATAACACAAATGAAATATTGCCTAAAATATTGTACATACCTTTACATCCATATTAATTTCTTTCACCAAAATCTCTTTTAACATAAGAAACAACACAGCAAAAAATTGTTTTTTTGTGGAGTGTCGCGAACGAAGACCTAAGATGTAAAAGAGCGCTAGGTTCTATAGAACTATAGCTATAGCTGCTGGTACATCGGACTGGGATGGCCAATTCAAGTTTCAACTACACCAAAAGATGCCATGTTATCTAACTTCTTTAAAACAAAATCTTAGATCTGGTAATAAAAATTAACAAAATTGATTTTTGGCCACGTTTTAGGTCCAAATACCTGTCTGTGAGTCGCAGCCAAATCTATATAACTATAATGACGTCAGCATTACCAACTTTTTTAATGCGTAAATCCAATGTGTTACCTAATAAAGTCACTACACTGTAGACTCTACAGATTCTAATTAAGCGCAAAAAAAAACTTAAAAAAGAGCATTTGGTTGATCTCAGATCAATGATCTGGTCCAAAATCAGCAGAAAAATTTGAAAAAAGCAATATAAAAAACAATATTTACCCTGTAAACTTGTGTAAAATTGGTCGACCCATCTTTGGAAAATTCATACAATGGTTTTTCTGAAGAACTAAAATATAAAATATTAATAATAATAATTTATCTTTATTTAAAAAACATTAATACCCGTCCAAATAAATATCAGCGTCTCTGTGTAAACGCATAGATATTTCTTTGGTCAAATTTTTGTTTACATTTTCACTTTTTGTTTTTAGGTCCACGGTAATCAAAAGGGGTTCGCTGTAATATCCATTGTTCACTTCCGCTAAATCCAAATCAAATTTTACCTAAACAGAAAAAAGTTAAGAAGTTCAATAGTCCGTCCGTCAAATATTTACAAACGAGCCACAAAAAGTCAGTGTAATACGCATAAAATATACTATTTTTTTAAATTAATTAATTGTTTCGACTTTTATTTGATGAAACTCCATGTTGATTTAATGTTAATACGAGGTGTGTTCAGAAAATATCGGGAATTTTCGTTTTTTTGAAACAAATATTTATTTATTCGTCTACATTTATGTTGTCGCCTTCAAAATAGTCCCCATAGGATATTATGCACATGTGCCAGCTCTTCTTCCAATACTCGAAACACTTCTAAAACTCGATCTTTGGGATAGACTTTAGTTCTTTCAGCGATGCGCTTTTAATGTCATCTATGCTTGCAAAACGACGACCCTTTAAGGTTCTCTTTATTTTTGGGAATAGGAAAAAGTCAGACAAAGGCATGTCTGGCGAATATGGAGGCTGGGGCATCATTACAGTATTGTTTTTGGCCAAAAATTATGTTCAAAATTTAATTTTAGAACAAATTTTGCTGCCACGCGTTTCATACCCAAAACATTCGAAAAAATTTCATGGGATGAGCCAATCGATATACCAGCATCATCAGCGACTTCTCTGATGGTTTATAACCATTTCTTCCACTTTTTCCATGTTTTTATCGCTTGTGCGTTCGGGGCGTTCGTCATCTTCAACGTCTTCACGGCCATCTTGGAAACTCTTATACCACTTGTAAACTCTTGTTTTACTTATAGCAGACTCACTATAGGCCTTTAACATTTCACAGAATTTATTTCATTTTTTAAGCAAAATTGGTTACAAATTCTTTGATCCATTTCTTTCAACGAACGAAAAAGCGCCGAGCTCATAAAACACATCTAACCTTAGCGGCTGCCACAGACAAAGTAAACAATGAAAACAGTTAAAGTTTTTAGCATACTTCGAGAGCACAGAATAAAGTTCTTTATTCTGTGTCGAGAGCATGTATACCAACATAATGAACCAGCGAAATTTAACAATTCCCGATATTTTCTAAAGACACCTCGTACACATAATAAGTAAAAAAATTCTAACTCTTAAACGCCTTTACCAATCTTTATGAAATTTTGTGTAAATATACTTCAACTTATATCTCAGTTTACGTGTTCGAGTGTTAAAAACGAAATTATGGTAGTCAGCAAATAAATCAAACGAAATATCCCTAGATAATCACGTGTTCGTAATCCAGTGTTGCCGGTTCTTCTAGACGAAAATGACAGATTGATCATTTTGGTTGGACACAGTCAATATTATCGCTTGTTATTGAAACACTGCGGTGAAAGTTAACCAAAATTTAGATGGCACTTCTACATGTATATGCATACGAGAAAAAAATTCAATAACTTTTCAATGTCACGTTAGAAGATATGCATGAATTAAAGACTGAACATGAGAATAAGAAATCGATGTTTTTTTTTGTATGCACATACCTGTAGAATTCAACCTGTCAACATTCACAACACAGTTTAGCAATTTTAATATTTTTTTACTATATTTATAAAACTTTGTAATAGTATTTTAAGTAGACTTTACTACAACCTAGAATTTTTTCAACATTTTCTCATAGCGACGAATATCGTGCCCGAACCTCCTTAACAAGAACATCTGCAGATGTAGAATGCTACACTTCTTGTGATGGAGTGGTCAGGATGCCTTTTTTAAAGATGTTTTGTGTCTAAAGTCCCAAAAAGCGCTCAATTTAAAAAAGAACGTCGCTATTCGAGACCATTTTGACAAAAATTTGACTTATATTATTTCGCAGCCACCGTATTCGCATAATTTAGCACCGTGTGACTTCTGGCTATTTCCAAAACTTCGAGTCTGTGAATCGTTGGATGCATTAAAGGCTATTCCGGACTTTTTGGTGTGTTTTAAGGATTGGAAACAAGGTTGCCAAAGTTCATTAAAGTAATTCTTGTTCTTTACAATTTATAGAATGGGGATTACTTTAAAATAGTATATTACCATTTCGGTTTCCCCTTTATTTATATTGATCACTGGGCATTTTATTGCTTCTGTTTCACTTTGAACTGGGCTACATTCATACATTTTGTTGGAAAAACTTAATTGCTTTGGTAGTTTAACTATTATATCGTTCGAATAAGCATAATCTCCAGCATTTTTAATAATAACCTCCAGTCTAACATTAGATTTAGTACCCGTTATATATGTATCGTTAAACCTAAAAATAAAAATAAACAAAATGATTTTAAATAAAGGGTGGTAACCAAAAGCTTTATGATTTTATCCATTTATCTCTAAAAAGTACTCATTGCCAAATGAAGTTCCAACTTACAGATCAAGCAGTTTAAGTTCTAAACTCAAATCCGAATTACAGATACCAACGCTTCCGCACTCTAGATTTAAAGATATGTTGATTGTGATTGGTCCGCTGGACCTTTCCACGTCTATCACTGGACAACTCGGGCAAAAGGTATCGCCTCCAGAAAAATTCCTAGTGTCCCCATTTTTTATCAACATTTTACTCGGTCTGTTATTTTTTTTTTGTGCGTCGGCAAAAACATACGTCAATTTTACTTCAACGTAGTTTTTATTTACGTTGCTCATTTTGATTGTTATATTTTCGTATTGTGGCTTTCCAATAATTACGTCAATTTTCTTAGGTGGGGGTTTAAAAGACGTTCCGTCTAAGTCTATGATTCTTGTTAGTGCTAAAATTATTTTGATTTAAATTAGGATTTTTATAATTTATAAAATATTAACTTGTTTCCAGATTATTAGTTAGACCTTAATTTTTCATAAATTTTTTTTAGTTTTACCATTATATTATGGAGTATTTAAAATAACGTCTTCAAAATCGGAGTTTTCATGAAAAATTATGATCTGACAAATTATTTGAAAATTAATGTATCTATGTTTTACTTACATATTTTTGAATTAGCCTGTTTCGGGTTGTGTTTATTCTCAACGCTGTATTTCAATGTTATATTGAAATGTTTGGCTTGTTTATCCAAAAATGGCGGATATGTTTCAAAGGAAGTTGTCACAACCACCACAGGTCTTCCCCGTAAATATACCGCGTGTCCGGACAAAAACGAACCAATCGCCAAATCTGTAGAATATAGAAAAATTATTAATGCCTTTGATTACACTAGTTTACAGCCATTTTGCACACCATGTCTCACTATGATTTTCTTGTGTAGTTTGGCTTACTAAACGCGAAAATCACACTTAAAATTTTTTTCATCGAAGCGTTTTCGAGAAATGAATTTTTAATTGTTTTTTTTTTAATTTTCTGAGGTGTTTTGACGTTTTAGAGTATACTTCGAGTTCTAATTGATCGATTTGACCAAACAAGCACTTAAATCAAAGGTAATTGAGCCATCTACAACTTTCTCTTCTATAGTTTTGGTATCGGCTCAGTAGTTCGATACTGGCGATTTTATGAAGTTGAAAAGGTCCTTTTGTTTTACATAAATCGAGGTCGAAAATTTACATATATTTCTAGGAAAGATAGAAATCGAAAAGATAAGTCCAGTTTGATTAATTTTACGTATAGATTATACTTAAAGGAACAAAATAAGCTGCTTTTGATAAAAATCCATGGATAAATGGCGAAGTTATGAATTTTTCAGTAGAAGACCAAAATTCAGTTTTTCGAGAATTTTTACGTTTTTTCTTCATTTTATTGAATTAGGTATATAAAATTTAATATTGAACATTGATTTTTATTTTAAACATTAAATATTGAAATTAATTAATTAATTATAATTATATATTGAATATTCAACAATAAATATTGAAGATTGAAGATATAGAAAGTTTTATTTTGTTGTAATAAGGTATTGGTTGCATTTGTATTCCGTTTCTCGTATGAGGGACCAAATGTAATCAGCCGCTCCATAGCCTTCATTTGATGGTGAAAACGTTATCCGTGCTCATCACTTACGTCGCTCAGATTGTCCAGGTTATTTACGCACTCGAACTCTCTACTTCTTTTACTAATTTTACACTTTTTCTTAACTAAATAAAACCATGATAAAAATACCTTGTTGAAATATCAAAATGTCAACAGGAGAAACAAAAGAATTCACGTTTGCGGAGTCATGTCAAATTTAAATTTTATTTAATGTTTTCGGTGAAAAAAGTACGTAAAAACCTTAAAAAATTCCAATCATGCACTTTATTTAGGTTTTCATTAAAAAATAAACATATTACGAAATAAAAGAAAAAAAATAAAATAAAAATCGTCAAAAAGCTGAATTTTGGTCTTCCACTAAAAAATTCATAACTTTTTTCATGTATTTTTATTAACATTGGCTTGTTTTTTTTTGTAAAAATGTCGAACTGGATTTGATTTAAACCTTTCCCAGGACGATATGTAAATTTTCGACCTCAATTTTTGCCATTAAGTCAAAATAGATAGATAGATATCAAAAGTATGTAAAATAAAGTTTTAGAGGGCTCAAATACCTTCAATTTAAGGGCTTGTTTGACCAAATCAATCAATTAGATTTTAAGCTATACTCAAAAACGTCAAAACACCTCCAAAAATTAAAAACAAATTGAAAATTCAACGCTTCCATAAAAAATTTTTGTTTTGTGATTTTCGTGTTTAGTGGGTCAAAATACATGGAAAAATTATAATGGGATATGGTGGGCAGAACTTTTTTCGATTTCGTAAACTAGCAAATAATTGTAAATAATTATTTGGAATAATTGTGGTTAAATATTTGTCTCCACCTCCACTGTTAAAAAATAGCACAGTTGAGGAGATCAGACACCAATAAAACCGGATTTTCAAAGATTTCCCTGTCACATCCAGGCTGTTAAACAATGTGTCAAACTAACCAAGAACTTCACCAGCCAATGGGGCCTGGGGGGGCAAGATGAGGAAATTAATTGAAGGTTGAATAAATACAATTTCTAGTGTTAGATCGAAACTTTGGCATCGGCCAAAACTGCCACCTTCAGCTTCGGCTAAAACTGCGCATTTCATCCAGAGACCTACTTTTCGAAGTTATTTTTTTCGTACAATTTTGTCCGTTTAGCGAAAATTCAAATTTGGAAAAAAGTTGCAGTCGTCAAATTTTGTTCCTAACAAATGCAGATCAGACCCATGGGTCTGATCCCTTAAAACCTTTTTGAAAAGGAAATTGGGAAAACAAAAAACACGAATTAAAGGGTATAAAATACAGTTTTTATTTAGAATTACTCAATAATATCCGTAATAATAGGTTATATTAAATATATTCGTCATTCAGTGTAAAAATAATTAACACAACTTTACACGCGCCAACACCAAACTGTGTTATTCCAAGTCCACACGAAATCGTGTAAAATTTTAACACAGCATCAGTGTGTTGATTTGTTTTTTATATCGTGTAATAATTTACACGAAGAATAATTAAACTTTAACACATCGTTTGTGTAATTTTCACACAACTTTAGGTATTAAATTTCGCTGTGACTAGAGGCACGCTAACGTGCCGCAATTTGAAATGTTAAAGGCACGTTAGTTACGTCATAAACCCAACCGACCCCGCCCCATTGAGCAAAAAACCCAACTAAAATGGGCAAATTTATGTTACCTACGATAAAAATAAAACACTTTTAACAAAGGAACAACACATTTATGAAATAAAAAAAGTTCGACAACTTCTAGTAGATTTTATGTTACGATAAAACTAAAACAACCGAACACTGTTTAACAAAGAAACAACAAATTTATGAAATAAAAAAATAAAAAAAGTTCGACAACTTCTTAGTATCGAACCCTCGACCTCTCGCATGCGACCGCCCTACCATCTGAGCTATCTAGCTTGTTGTCAAATATTAAACGCTCGGGGAACGAAAACGGATTATAATTATGACGTAACGTGCCTTTAACATTTTCAATCTCGGCACGTTAGCGTGCCTCTATAGATAGACTATAGTCACTGTGATTAAATTTAACACCAGTTGGGGTTAGTTTTTTAATATTTTAGCGTGTTAAATTTAACACTAAATTGGGTAGATAAAAAAATGTTGCAAAAAAATATTTTTATTAAATATATATTTTATAATTTTAGGACATAATATCGTATTATAATATATTTATATAAAACAAATTATAATAATGTACACTGTACAGAGTTTTTCACTGTACATTGTACAGTGAAAAACTCTTCTGGGGTAAAAACGAATACTGCCCTGCTTAGCTACAATATTAAGTAATAAGTAATAAAGGACACAAGATCATTTTAATTGTTGTATTGTTGATAAAATTTCATGGGTTACTAGCAAATTTGCTATTACTCACTTTGTTTCGTGAAGGCGAAGTTTAAATTTCATATTACATATGTACATATACATATGTATGTGTTTATTTACGTTGTATCACAAAATAGTTTTTTATAAGAAAAACACCAGCACAATATATCTATAAACGCACAGAAGACGAGACGCACTTACAACAAAGCAAACACAATTGTGTTTGCGGCATTAATGCCGACTAGCTTCGGCACTAAGGTGGGGCAAATTTTACACGATATTTGTTAAAATTTACACAACTTTATGTAGGATTTATTAAATATAAGTTTATAACACATTAACGTGTAAATTAACAAGTGGTTACACGGTTTAGTGTTGATTCCCAATTTAGGAACATTCGTGTAAAAGTCTTAAAACAATTTTTACACAAAATTAACACAAAAAAAGAAAATTTACACACAGATATGTTTTGCAGTGTTCCTGATCACATATAAAAAATGTTGTTTTTTTAATAATTTACTTACCGCTTGCCTTATTGTTATCAACATCACAAGGTTTCGACATACTAAAACCAAATCCTCTTAAACCCGGCTTTAAGCTTTTTCCTTCTATGATTTGAGCTGACGTTGTTTTTAATCCATTTTTACTACCATGGTACAAGTACACCACACCATCGTCTTGGAATGGGGCGGCCACAGCAACATCTAAATTTATTTGTTTTATTATTTGTTTTTTAATTTTTAAATAATTAAAATACCTCCAAAACCGTCAGCATTAATATCGTTCAAAAACATAACTGACATACCAAATTGTCCATTACTATGTTGGCGTTCGATCAAGGAACCTTCTTTGGGGTTTTTTAGACTTCCCTAAAATTATTATAAGTAATTTGAGGACAATTAATTAAAAAACTCTGCTTTTACTTTTTCAAATTACAAAAATAATAGTTTTTTATATTACCTCATGCCCTTTAAATACAGGAAGAATAACACAGGATGCGGATACGGACACGGAAGTGACAGCATACCTGGAGATCTAACCCCAGGCCAATATGAATCACCTTATGTAAAGGACAAACGAGTCTAACCAAGAGTGGAAGGGGCCTTCATTCACAAAAATCTGATTACTAATTAATCGCATGACCTAAGACGCAAATTCGTCACAAAAACCTTACAAGAATCAATCATTATTACTGAAAAAACGTAACAATTTAAATAAACCAATCATTAGGTAAGAACGTCTCAAAACATAAATAAGCAAAAGCTTAAGAGGCCAGCCCCAACAAATTAAAAAATTTCCGATATTTGCCTAACATAAACATAAACTTTAAATTTAAGGCATCGAACAAAAGTAATAGTATTTTATTTTTAGAATTTTTATATAAATATTTTGTGATATGTTTAATGTATTCTGAAACCATTTGTGGTGTGATTTTAATGTACTTAACTGTGCTCTTCTTTTAAGGATTTTAAATTTTTTATGATATGTACCTGTTTAACAAATGTAAAATATTTTAATATTGTTACATGAATAAACCATTATTAACCATTATTATTAGCCTTCTGCGAGCCGTATACGCGGTGTGCCTGAACGAAGTTTAAGTCACATAAAATGCCGCCAAAAACTAATTGCAGTATCTTGTTCGGGACCCTTTGGTGACTTAAAAATGATATTTACCAAAATCCTAGCTGCTCCTCTTTTCGACATTTTTTGAAAATTCATGATTTTTTTTAAATTTTTGTTTATTTCAAAGTCTACCTTTGACAGAGTTCACATTTGTACACCGATTTTTATAAAATTAGAGTATATTATTGAGGAGACTTAAAGAATACTTTTTAATACTGTTCACGTCATTTGATATATACAGGGTGAGCCATTTTTATTTTATTTTATTTTTAATAAAGCAAAAGCGTAAATTCATGATTTTGGCATAACACGCAAAAAAGGTTTATCCACATTTTTTTAGATATGTTTACGTTTATCAGGTTACAAAATGGCATTCTTATTAACCTTTTATAAGAAAATAGATTTTTAATAAAATTAAATAAAATAACGCTTAGAGAATATTTAAAATGTTGTTCAATTTAGGCTTTTTTTTAATTTTTGTTTATCTCACATTTAACAGGGTACACATTTGTTCACCGATTTTTATAATATTGGAGTATATTGTTAACGAGACTTGGAGAATACTGTTTTCATACTGAGCACATCATTAGATTTATACAGGGTGAGCCAAAAATCACTTTTTTATATAGTAAAAAGCATAATGCACAAAAAAGATATATCTCCAAAAAATGTTGTTTAATTTTATTCAAAATCAATTTTTTTTATAAAGTCTTAATTTGTAGCCTGATAAACATAAAAATATCTAAAAAAAACATGGGTGGGTATATCTTTTTTTCGTGTTATGCCAAAATCATGAATTTACGCTTTTGCTTTATTAAAAGAAGCGATTTTTGGCTAACCCTGTATATATTAAATGATGTGCACAGTATAAAAAAGTATTCTCCAAATCTCCTTAACAATATACTCCAATATTATAAAAATCGGTGTACAAATGTGCACTTTGTCAAAGGTAGGCTTTAAGAAAAACAAAAATTAAAAAAAATCATGACTTTTCAAAAAAATTTGAAAAGAGGAGCAGCTAGGATTTTGGTAAAAATCATTTTTAAGTCACCAAAGGGTCCCGAACAAGAAACTGCAATCAATTTTTGGCGGCATTTTTATGAGACTTAAACTTCGTTCAGGCACACCGTGTATAAGAGAATAAAAAATAAAAACAAAGTTAAGAGCAATTATACAAAATAAATAATATAAATGCAACTTATAATTGTTAGAAAAGAAAAGAAAACGTAAATACAATTTCTATCACAAAATGAAGACAACTATCTAGATAGATATTTCTCGACCTCTACATTGAAGAAACTGGTTTCGAACAGCAGGGCAATTGCTTGCAACAGTTTCCGAATTTCAGCAGACTACAAGAACAGCAAGGATAGGTCCTAGCAGCGTACTAACAAACCAAACCTCATTCGTGAACCCCAAATGAATGGCGGCATTACTAAATCCCTGGTTGAGGGGAATGTACTTAGTTTCGGGTCAGTCCAATGTCACCCAAAAACCAAAATGTTTTCCCTCCTCGTCCCGCACTCCACTAGCCCAAATCGGGCGTATGGCCCGGCCCGGCGACAAAATTCCGGGAGTGGCCTTAACCATCGACACTGTCATCCACGACCTCCTAGGCGAGATTTACCAACCACCAAACACAGGTAATGCTGTGCAGTGGCGGGATACTTATGAGAACTGAAAGGGGCTAAAATAACCCTGGGAGATCAGTGTAAGGCGATGCCGATGGGACCTGTCATACGTTCCTTATTCTCATACTCATATGACAGAATTTTGACACCCTTATTGTTTTAAACGATGAAAATATGCTATAGCGTCCCGAGCAATTTAATACTATTATTTTATACAATAGTATATTTTATTACTTAAAAGTATTGTAGCGAGTACCGCTCTGGATATCGGAGTGATGACTCATCGCCGGTTAGTCATCGCCGGTGAGTCATCGCCGGTGACTCAGCGCTCGAATAATCGAGAGTGTGGAGCTCGCTGGAATGTTCCAGAAGACTTGGGCGCTAAATATATAAGAAACGGAGCAGCACAGGGCAGTCAGTTGAGATTTGGTACTCGCGAAGAAATAAATAAATATAAGTGCAAATAAATAAACTTGAACAGTAGTGATATATAAATAATTAGTAGTTAAGTGTTTAGTTAGTTTTATAGTGTTTTAAGTGTAGTTAAGTTATTAAATAAATAGTTTAGTTCGTTAATTAACCAGTGCGTGTTTTTATTCACACTACGAACAGTAAAAAAACAACATTGACATTGACAACATTGGTGTCAGGAGTGCGGTTAGTGTGAAACTTCGCGAAAATGGTTTCGTTAATGGACTTAAAAGTGGCGGACCTTAAGCGGGAGCTGGAAGAAAGAGAATGTGAAACAACTGAAAAAAAGAATGTGTTGCAGCAGCGGCTTCGAGAAGCGTTGGAACAAGAGGGTGAAAATCCAGATACCTATTTATTTGAAGGTTCGTGTGATATGCATTTATTGTTGCAAAATTTGAAAGGTGATTTACAACAGAAAATGCTAGAAAATTCTAACGAGTTACAACAGAAAATGGTAGAAAATTCTAGCAATTTAAAAGTCGATTTACAACAGAAAATGCTGGAAAATTCTAACAAATTACAGCAGAAAATTCTGGAAAATTCTAAAAATTTAAAAGAATATTTGGAACAGAAGATTCTAGATAATGTCAATGAATTAGAAGAGAAAGTAGGACAAAAATTTGACGACGTAAGGATGGAATTGAATAACGTAATGAGGGAATTAGATACAAGAGAAGAAAAATTGAACGAGAAATTAGATGTCAAAATTAGAGAAATAAATAGTAAATTGAAAGCTGTAAATCTACCCATGATGCTGGCGGAACAAGGAGCAGTGCCGGAGGGGAGCCGAGTTAGGATGAAACCACCTCAGTTCGATGGAAAATCTTCTTGGACAAATTACATCCTTCAGTTTGAGGCAGCTGCAAAAGCAAATGGCTGGCTACCAGAGGAGAAGGCTACAGCATTAACTCCGTTATGGAACGATTAGCGGTTCAAGCCTTTTTGGATGGACTTCGAGACAACGAAACAAGACAGGCTCTAACACTGGCTCGTCCGAGCAAACTGGTTGATGCATTGGCTCGAGCTTTGGAATTCAAGGCGGCAAAGCAGAGCTGCAGGAGCCAGCCTAGAATAAGGAGAGTCGAGGAAGAGAAAGAGGAAGAACCCAGTATAATTGAAGCAATCAGGCGAGTTTTTAAAGAAAATCTACCAGAGAAGAAGGAAATCCGGTGTTGGAGATGTGGAAAGCTAGGACATATACGAAGTCGTTGCAGAGAAAGTCAGGCGGTGCCGACTTCGTCTCAGTCGGAAAACTAGATAGGGTCGAGGAAAAGGGGCCACCGTCGACCTGTAACCAGTATGCCCCAGAAGATATCGAACGTGTTGCATCTCTTTTACACCAGTCCAGCAGTGTTTTTGTGGATGGTTTAATTAATGGAAAATTACATGTGCTGCTGCTGGATACAGGTGCGACGAAGACAATTATTAGGCCAGATATTGTCGAAATGTCCAAGATAAAATCTACCAATCGGCGACTACGTACTGCAACAGGAGAAACCGCTACTGTTCGTGGAGAAGTGGACATCACGATGGTCATAGGAAACACGAAATTTAAACATCGAGCATTAGTTGCAGATATTGAAGATGAATTTATTGTAGGCATGGACATTATGAACTCAATAGGATTTGAACTGAACTTTAAGCAAGGAATATTGAGGGTAAATGGAGAGGAAGTCGTGTTGCATCGATCTAAAGAGAAGAATATTCGTGTAATGCTAACAGAAGATGCTTTGATACCGGAACACAGCGAGATGATATTGAAGGCTTTCTTGGATTGTAAATCGGAAGATGGAAGTATAATGCTTCTGGAGCCGAGAATTGATGACAAAGAGGTCGGTCGAGGAATTGTAGTAGGGAAGACTTTAATACGCGTGGGAAAAGAAGTGCCTGTAAGAGTATTGAATGTTAATGGTTACTCTGTGAACTTGAAGAAAGGAATCGTTTTGGGAAACTGCTCTTCAGTTTCCTCGATTATTAGAGGCATTCGTGAGTCTGCAGTTCCGGCCAAGAAAGTTAGCAATGAATTGACGAATCTTCTGTCGACTTCTTCAAAGAATATGAAACCCAATGAAAGGATAAAGCTAAAAGAGCTGATTCACAATTATCAGGATATCTTTGACGACGGACAAGAAAAGAAGGGTAGGACAAGAATTGTCCAGCATAAAATCAACACCGGTGATGCACAGCCCATTCGACAGTCGGCAAGAAGGCTACCACTTGCCAAGCGAGAGGAAGCTGATAAAATTGTGCAAGAAATGGAGAAGGAAGGGGTGATCGAACCATCCAACAGCCCATGGTCTTCCCCAGTGGTGTTAGTTAAGAAAAAGGATGGATCAACTCGATTTTGCGTCGATTTTCGTCAGCTGAACAACGTGACGAAGAAGGACAGCTACCCTCTGCCTAGGATAGATGACACCCTGGATACGTTGGCTGGATCCCAAATATTTTCGACTTTGGATTTGAAAAGCGGTTACTGGCAGGTTGAAATGGCACCAGAAGATAGAGAAAAGACGGCGTTTACCGTGGGTGCTGGACTGTGGCAGTTTACTGTCATGCCGTTTGGACTATGTAATGCCCCTGCAACTTTTGAAAGGCTCATGGAAATGGTTTTGAGGGGACTATCCTGGAAGACTTGCTTGGTGTACCTTGACGACATTATTGTGGTTGGAAAATCATTTGAGGACCATATGAAGAACCTGAAGGAAGTTTTTCAGCGCTTGAGAAGTTCCGGCCTGAATCTTAGCCCAAAGAAATGTCACTTGTTCCAGAGGGAAGTGCAGTATCTGGGCCATGTCGTTTCAAGTCAAGGAGTTGCAGTTGATAAACAGAAGGTAAAGACGGTGCGGGAATGGCCAATACCGAAGAATAAACATGACTTAAGAAGCTTTCTTGGATTATGCACCTACTACCGTCGGTACGTACCAGGATTGGCAAAGGTTGCTAAGCCTTTGACACGTTTAACAGAGGGAGAAAGACGATTCCAATGGGACGACGAATGCCAAGAAGCCTTTAAGAACCTGAAAAACGCGTTGACCAGCTCACCAGTCCTGAGTTATCCACTTCCAGATGGTGAATTTATTTTGGACACGGACGCCAGCAATGTGGGCCTGGGAGCTGTTTTGTCGCAGATTCAAGAAGAAAAAGAGAAAGTTATTGGATACTTCAGTAAAACTCTATCGAAACCAGAGCGAAATTACTGTGTTACTCGACGCGAGCTGTTGGCAGTGGTAAAGGCAGTCGAACACTTTTACAAGTACCTGTATGGAAGAAAATTCTTGCTAAGAACGGATCATGCTGCCCTTAAATGGCTTTTGCAATTCAAGAATCCTGAAGGACAGGTAGCAAGGTGGATTAAAAGACTACAGGAGTTCGACTTTGACACAGAACATCGTGCTGGGACCATCCATAGAAATGCTGACGCCTTATCGAGAAGGCCTTGCCCGGAAGACTGTAAACATTGTCTCAGGGCCGAAGAAAAGGATGTGTTTGTTCGCAGGACTACAATCGTGGATGATCATTGGCAATCCGCTGAGGTTCAACAAGACCAGGAAAGGGATCCGGATTTAAAGCTTATCATCGATTGGAAGAAGAACGACCGTAAACCAACGTGGCAGGAAGTCGCCCAATATTCGCCGAATGTGAAATCGTACTGGGCCCAATGGAATTCCATCATCTTAAGTGACGGGCTTCTAAAGCGCGTTCTGGAGATGCCAGAAGGGGGGGAAGACCGAAAGCAGATAATAATCCCCAGAAACAGGATACCAGAAGTGCTGCAGGAAATCCATGATGGAACTACTGGAGGACATCTTGGGGTGACCAGGACGCTCGGAAGACTTAGGGAACGGTTTTATTGGGTCCACAGCCAGCGAGATGTGAAGGAATGGTGCAAGAAGTGCGCCGTTTGCGCGGCAAGCAATGGACCCCAGAAGCGCCCAAAAGCCCCAATGCGACAGTACAATGTGGGCAGCCCATTTGAGAGAATTGCAATCGATGTGGCGGGTCCATTTCCGGAAACAGAATCTGGAAACAAATACATCATCGTTGTAATGGACTACTTCAGCAAGTGGGCGGAAGCGTACGCCTTGCCAAACCAGGAAGCTGCCACAGTGGCCGATGCCCTTATTACGGAGTGGATTTGTCGTTTTGGTGTGCCAATGGAGATGCATTCAGACCAAGGCAGGAACTTTGAATCTATACTGTTCCAGAATGTCTGTAAAAGGCCCCACATTCGGAAGACGAGGACGACTGCATTACATCCGCAGTCTGATGGAATGGTAGAACGAATGAATCGAACGATAAACCGGTACCTGTCCAAGGTAGTCTCTGATCACCAAAGAGACTGGGACCGCTTCCTTCATCTGTTCCTGTTGGCGTACCGTTCTTCTATCCACGATACAACCGGCCAGACACCCGCTAGCATTGTTATGGGGCGTGAACTTCGTCTACCTTGTGACCTGAGGTTTGGTTGCCTACCAGGGGATGATATTGCTGGAGAAGATTACGTCAACAATTTACGTAGGAAAATGAGCGACATTCACAGCCGAGTTCGTTTAAACATCCAGAGTGCCAGTGATAGAATGAAAGAGGCATACGACATCAAGGCGGAAAATGGAGGATTTCAACCTGGGAGGGACCATACGAAGTCATGGATCGAATAAATGACATCATCTACAGGATCAGGAAACAACCAAGAGGAAAGCCGAAAGTGATCCATTTCAACCGATTGGCCCCTTACGCTGGAAACAATGATCAAATAGACGATGCTAGAGTAAGGAGAGTTAATCCGCCGGAAGACGACTTGCCTTTTGAAGACTTCATGTATTTATATTCGAGCGGTAAAAAAGCTCGGTATGGTGTCACTCGAGAAGAGCAAAAAGATCTGTTCACGGTTTCGGCCGATTACTCCTTGGCTCACTGTGTTGCGGAAGACCTTAGGATGTCCAGGGGTGTCTTTAAAAACAAATTTGGAAGGGTCGACGAGCTACAAAGGCAGAGTCCCAAAGTTGGAGAGGTGCTTGAAATTGTGGATAATGAGCAGATAGGTAACCGAAGTATCTTCTATCTGGTAACGAAGCAACTCTCCAATCAGAAGCCAAACTACCGTGATGTATGGAATGCCTTAAATAAATTGAGGGATACCCTTTTGTCCAAGGACATCATTAACCTGGCGATACCAAAGATTGCTTGTGGACTTGACGGTTTGGACTGGAGAATAATTAGAAGTATGGTGGAAGTTATCTTCAGATTTAGTGGCATACACATTCTTGTCTGTTGCCACAACCCTAAAAGAACAACCGGAAGGAAGACCGTAGACTGCTACTTCTATAGGACGTCACAATGCAAGTTTGGATCTCTAGGTATGCAAATATCGCCATGGAGCTGAGGACCATTTTCGGGACGAAAATGTTTTAAGACGGGGGCAATGTAGCGAGTACCGCTCTGGATATCGGAGTGATGACTCATCGCCGGTTAGTCATCGCCGGTGAGTCATCGCCGGTGACTCAGCGCTCGAATAATCGAGAGTGTGGAGCTCGCTGGAATGTTCCAGAAGACTTGGGCGCTAAATATATAAGAAACGGAGCAGCACAGGGCAGTCAGTTGAGATTTGGTACTCGCGAAGAAATAAATAAATATAAGTGCAAATAAATAAACTTGAACAGTAGTGATATATAAATAATTAGTAGTTAAGTGTTTAGTTAGTTTTATAGTGTTTTAAGTGTAGTTAAGTTACTAAATAAATAGTTTAGTTCGTTAATTAACCAGTGCGTGTTTTTATTCACACTACGAACAGTAAAAAAACGTTACAGTATCAAGAACAGTAAGGATAGTTTACCGATCGACGAAAATATTAGAGGAGATCTACCGAACTCGAGAGACCTGGTCCCTTCTCTTAAATTTATGGAGGTCAAAGTCGTTACCATTTTACTTACTGTTGTACTACCCAGAAAAACATAAACGGCTCCTTCGTTAAACGTTTTGGTTTTGTAGAATGGCGCCCCTACGACAATGTCGTCCAAATGGTCACCGTCGATGTCTCCTGTGGCGATGCAGTACCCGAATCCTGCGCCACGCTGTGTTCCTTTTTTTATACGATTACCAGGGATTCCAGGATCATCTTCAGGTTTTGTTGATTTGGGTGGAAAATCGAATATTTTTATCTTGAAATAGTGTTACAGTTAGATTGTTTTAGATAGGTACTTTACTTTTTATACTTACTTTTCCATAGGCATCATTAACTAAAAGTGCAGACACAACATAATTTGTGGTATCATTTTTAAAAAAGTTACCAGAAGAAACAGAATAGCCTAAAATTAAACCATATTTTATTATGTATTATGTATGTAGATTTATTAATAATAAATAACCTGTGAAGAATGAGTAATTATCTCCTAAACTGGGAACAATATAGGTGCCATTGTTTAAATTCGTTTTAACGGCGGTTCCTCTTCCCGCGAGATATCCTGGGCTTCCCAACATTAAACTATCATGATCGTTCTTAAAAATAATTTAATTGTTATAAATCTTTTATCTTTTTAATTCCTTAAGTTAACAAGAAAAAATAAAAAATTGAAGAAACGTTTTAAAAGGTTTTAATAATGTAGCGAGTACCGCTCTGCATATCGGAGTGATGACTCATCGCCGATGAGTCATCGCCGGTTAGTCATCGCCGGTGACTCAGCGCTCGAACAATCGAGAGTGTGGAGCTCGCTGGAATGTTCCAGAAGACCTTGGCGCTGAATATATAAGAAACGGAGCAACACAGAGCAGTTAGTTGAGCTCTGGTACGCGCGAAGAAATAAATAAATATAAGTGCAAATAAATAAACTAGTAGTGATATAAATAATTAGTAGTTAAGTGTTTAGTTAGTTTTATAGTGTTTTAAGGGTAGTTAAGTTATTAAATAAATAGTTTAGTTCGTTAATTAACCAGTGCGTGTTTTATTCACACTACGAACAGTTTAAAAACGTTACAATTGGTGTCAGAAGTGGGATTAGTGTGAAATTTCGCGAAAATGGTTTCGTTAATGGACTTAAAAGTGGCGGACCTTAAGCGGGAGCTAGAAGAAAGAGAATGTGATACAACTGGCAAAAAAAAATGTTGGAAAATTCAAACGAGTTACAACAGAAAATGTTAGAAAATGTCAACGATTTAAAGGATGATTTGCAACAGAAAATGTTGGAAAATTCAAACGAGTTGCAAGAGAAAATGCTTGAAAATTCTAAAAACCTAAAAGAATATTTGGAAGGGAAGATTCTAGAAAATGTCAATGAATTAGAAGAGAAAGTTGACGATGTAAGGATGGAATTAAATAACGTAAGGATGGAATTGGATACGAGAGAAGAAAAATTGAACGAGAAATTGGAGGTCAAAATTAGAGAAATAAATAGTAAACTGAAAGCTGTAAATTTACCTATGATGCTGACGGAACCAGGAGTATTGCAGGAGGGAAGCCGAGTACGGATGAAACCACCTCAGTTCGATGGAAAAACTTCTTGGACCAACTACATCCGTCAGTTTGAGGCAGCAGCAAAAGCAAATGGCTGGCTACCGGAAGAAAAAGCTACAGCATTGACTCTGGCTTTACGCGGAGATGCAACGGACATCTTGCAGACGCTTTCTCCCAACGAACAAGAAGATTACGAAGCGTTGGTGAAACATCTGGAACTTCGATATGGCCAGACACATTTGGAACATGTCTACCATTCCCAACTTAAGAACCGCTGCCAGAAATCAAACGAGACTTTGCAAGAATTCGAGGCTGATATTGCACGCTTGGTTCGGCTAGCATATCCAGCTACTCCAACGACCGTTATGGAACGATTAGCGGTTCAAGCCTTTTTGGATGGACTTCGAGACAACGAAACAAGACAGGCTCTAACACTGACTCGTCCGAGCCAACTGGTTGATGCATTGGCTCGAGCTCTGGAATTCGAGGCGGCAAAGCAGAGCTGCAGGAGCCAGCCTAGAATAAGGAGAGTCGATGAAGAGAAAGAGGAGGAACCCAGAATAATTGAAGCAATCAGGCGAGTTTTTAAAGAAAATCTACCAGAAAAGAAGGAAATCCGGTATTGGAGATGTGGAAAGCTCGGACATATACGAAGTCGTTGCAGAAAAAGCCAGGTGGCGCCGACTTCGTCTCAGTCGGAAAACTAGATAGGGTCGAGGAAAAGGGGCAACCGTCGACCTGTAACCAACATGCCCCAGAGGATATCGAACGTGTCGCATCTCTTCTACATCAGTCCAGCAGTGTTTTTGTGGATGGCTTTATTAATGGAAAGTTACATGTGCTGCTGCTGGATACAGGTGCGACGAAGACAATTATTCGGCCAGATATTGTCGAAAAGTCGAAAATAAAATCTACCAATCGGCGACTACGTACTGCAACAGGAGATACTGCTACTGTTCATGGAGAAGTTGACATCACTATGGTCATAGGAAACACGAAATTTAAACATCGAGCATTAGTAGCAGATATTGAAGATGAAGTTATTGTAGGCATGGACATTATGAACTCTATAGGATTTGAACTGAACTTTCAACAAGGAATATTGAGAGTAAATGGAGAAGAAGTCGTGTTGCATCGATCAAAAGAAAAGAATATTCGTGTAATGCTAACAGAAGATGCTTTGATACCGGAACACAGCGAGATGATATTGAAGGCATTCTTGGATTGTAAATCAGAAGATGGAAGTATAATGCTTCTGGAGCCGAAAATTGATGACAAAGAGGTCGGTCGAGGAGTTGTAGTAGGGAAGACTTTAATACGTGTCGGAAAAGAAGTGCCTGTAAGAGTATTGAATGTTAATGGTTACTCTGTGAACTTGAAAAAAGGAATCGTTTTGGGGAACTGTTCTTCTGTTTCCTCAATTATTAGAAGCATTCGTGAGTCTGGAGTTCCGGCCAAGAAAATTAGCAATGAATTGACGACTCTGCTTTCGACTTCTTCAAAGGACTTAAAACCAAATGAGAGAATAAAGCTGAGAGAGCTAATACACAACTATCAGGACGTCTTTGATGATGGACAAGGAAAGAAGGGTAGGACAAGAATTGTCCAGCATAAAATTAACACCGGTGATGCACAGCCTATTCGACAGTCGGCAAGAAGGCTACCACTTGCCAAGCGAGAGGAAGCTGATAAAATTGTGCAAGAAATGGAGAAGGAAGGGGTGATCGAACCATCCAACAGCCCATGGTCTTCCCCAGTGGTGTTAGTTAAGAAAAAGGATGGATCAACTCGATTTTGCGTCGATTTTCGTCAACTGAACAACGTGACGAAGAAGGACAGCTACCCTCTGCCTAGGATAGATGACACCCTGGATACATTGGCTGGATCCCAAATATTTTCGACTCTGGATTTGAAAAGCGGTTACTGGCAGGTTGAAATGGCACCAGAAGATAGAGAAAAGACGGCGTTTACCGTGGGTGCTGGACTGTGGCAGTTTACTGTCATGCCGTTTGGACTATGTAATGCCCCTGCAACTTTTGAAAGGCTCATGGAAATGGTTTTGAAGGGACTATCCTGGAAGACATGCTTGGTGTACCTTGATGACATCATTGTGGTTGGGAAATCATTTGAGGACCATATGAGGAACCTGAAGGAAGTCTTTCATCGCTTAAGAAGTTCTGGCCTGAAGCTTAGCCCAAAGAAATGTCACTTGTTCCAGAAGGAAGTGCAGTATCTGGGCCATGTCGTTTCAAGTCAAGGAGTTGCAGTGGATAAACAGAAGGTGAAGACGGTGCGGGAATGGCCAGTACCGAAAAACAAACATGACTTAAGAAGCTTTCTTGGATTATGCACCTACTACCGGCGGTACGTACCTGGATTCGCAAAGGTTGCTAAGCCTTTGACACGTTTAACAGAGGGAGAAAGACGATTTCAATGGGACGAAGAATGCCAAGAAGCCTTTAAGAACCTGAAAAACGCGTTGACCAGCTCACCAGTCCTGAGTTATCCACTTCCGGATGGTGAATTTATTTTGGACACGGACGCCAGCAATGTGGGCCTGGGAGCTGTTTTGTCGCAGATTCAAGAAGGAAAAGAGAAAGTTATTGGATACTTCAGTAAAACCCTATCGAAACCAGAGCGAAATTACTGTGTTACTCGACGCGAGCTGTTGGCAGTGGTAAAAGCAGTCGAACACTTTTACAAGTACCTGTATGGAAGAAAATTCTTGCTAAGAACGGATCATGCTGCCCTTAAATGGCTTTTGCAATTCAAGAATCCTGAAGGACAGGTAGCAAGATGGATTGAAAGACTACAGGAGTTCGACTTTGACACAGAACATCGGGCTGGGACGATCCATAGAAATGCTGACGCCTTGTCAAGAAGACCGTGCCCGGAAGACTGTAAACATTGTCTCAGGGCCGAAGAAAAGGATGTGTTGGTTCGCAGGACTACAATCGTGGATGATCATTGGCAATCCGCTGAGGTTCAACAAGACCAGGAAAGGGACCCGGATTTGAAGCTTATCATCGATTGGAAGAAAAACGACCATAAACCAACGTGGCAGGAAGTCGCCCAATATTCGCCAAATGTGAAATCGTACTGGGCCCAATGGAATTCCATCATCTTAAGTGACGGGCTTCTAAAGCGCGTTCTGGAGATGCCAGAAGGGGGGGAAGACCGGAAGCAGATAATAATCCCCAGAAACAGGATACCAGAAGTGCTGCAGGAAATTCATGATGGAACTACTGGAGGACATCTTGGGGTGACCAGGACGCTCGGAAGACTCAGGGAACGGTTTTATTGGGTCAACAGCCAACGAGATGTGAAGGAATGGTGCAAGAAGTGCGCCGTTTGCGCGGCAAGCAATGGACCCCAGAAGCGCCCAAAAGCCCCAATGCGACAGTACAATGTGGGCAGCCCATTTGAGAGAATTGCAATCGATGTGGCGGGTCCATTTCCGGAAACAGAGTCTGGAAATAAATACATCATCGTTGTAATGGATTACTTCAGCAAGTGGGCGGAAGCGTACGCCTTGCCAAACCAGGAAGCTGCCACAGTGGCCGATGCCCTTATTAAGGAGTGGATTTGTCGTTTTGGTGTGCCAATGGAGATGCATTCAGACCAAGGCAGGAACTTCGAATCTATATTGTTCCAGAATGTCTGTAAGATTCTTAACATTCGGAAGACGAGGACGACTGCATTACATCCGCAGTCTGATGGAATGGTAGAACGAATGAATCGAACGATAAACCGGTACCTGTCCAAGGTAGTCTCTGATCACCAAAGAGACTGGGACCACTTCCTCCATCTGTTCCTGTTGGCGTACCGTTCTTCTATCCACGATACAACCGGCCAGACACCCGCTAGCATTGTTATGGGACGTGAACTTCGTCTACCTTGTGACCTGAGGTTTGGTTGCCTACCAGGGGAAGATATTGCTGGAGAAGATTATGTCAGCAATTTACGTAGGAAAATGAGCGACATACACAGCCGAGTTCGTTTAAACATCCAGAGTGCCAGTGATAGAATGAAAGAGGCATATGACATC